GGGAAGCGCAACATTCTCCTTCCAAGACTTCAGGTATGGAACGTTGTCCTTCACATCGAGATGAACCTTGTTCCCGTTGTGGTCCCTGAAGTAGGGTCTACAATTAGCTCTCCAGATAAAGTCAAACCCTTCCTCCATGCACTTCTGTCCAACCGAGAGAACGGATGGTGAATCGGGTAGAACATATGGTTCGGCGGTCGTATTGATCGAAGGAATCCTAACCTTGCATTGTTTGTCAGCATAGTTAGGTCCGTTGGCGGTAATCATGTTGATAGGCCGATCCGACAAGAAATCCTTTACTTCACCGAGAACGTTTTTCGATATCAAATCCTGAGCACTGCCAGTGTCGGCAATCCATTCCATTTCAATCACAGGATCTGATCGGCTCCCCTTTGCTGGGCATCCGACAGATATGCCGGGCGCAATGCAATGAGCACAACCGAACTCAGTCTTACACATGAACTTACATGCTGGATTCGTACCTTGGTTCATACCTTCAACGGTTGACCTCAGCATTTTAGCTGTCGCCAAAGCATCCCGAACATCCTGCCCATCAGGTTTGGGCTTGTAGTTAACAGGAAATTCTTCACTGAAAACCCTCGGCTCGATTTCAACCTCACGCCACTTGGAAGATTCAGGGGGCGTGGGAATGTAGTGATACTCAGGAGCATTCGAGAATCGCACAGATGCCAGAGCAACGTGAGCGGTGCTTGCACACGAGTCAATGAAGTTCGGCATTTCCTTCCGGAAAGCGTGTGCATCGGCTTGGGATGCCGAACCTGCGACAAGTGCGCCTAAGAGGCAGACGGCGGCCGGAAGCGAAGCCTTAGGTTTCCGCCCCCCCGAGCCCTTGCTGTTCCCAGAGCCTTTGCTCCCCTTGGAGCCTCCACTACCCTTGGAACTTTTAGAGCTGGAGCGAGACTTCTTCCTATGCTTCTTTTCTTTCTTCTGTTTCTTACTCTTCTTTTCGCCGCTAGACTCTCTACCGCTACCAGTGGCAGGAGCAGAAGGCTGGCCTTTGTGTATGAAACGGCACTTGTCACCCTTGTTGCATTTACCATGCTTGAAGAATTTGCACTCAGCATTAATCTTCCCAGGAGAAGGGCTCCCCCTTGCGGAGGGCGACTTGCCTCGGCCTTTACCTTTGCTTGGTGTCCTACCACGTGGCTTCTCGGGTATCTGATGCTTATAGGAACATTTTTCTTTGTTGCACGAACCGTTCCGAACAAAGTCAATGCAGAAGCCTTTGGGCACACGCTTTAGCGGTGCGGGTGCCGATGGCATACCTGCTGCGGCCTGCCTTGCAATCCGTTCCCGGTTGCGCTCAAGCCGTTTGATCTTGATGACTCGGTTAACGGCATTGTACAGGTATTCATAGGATTTCTCCTGTGTGCCGTCTACTGCCCTTTCATAGATGGCTATGTCGTGCGCCAAAAGCTTACACTTCTTAACCTGTCTATGAAACAAGGGTTGCAAAACATCGTCAGCAGGTGCTTTCTTCATGCCTGAGAGGACAGTATCCCAATTACGCACGAATTGCACAAGATTTTCGTTAAGCATGACGACGTTGAGCAGATCCTCCATATCGTACACAGACCCGTGGAGTGCGTTGGTCGACAAATAAGCGTTGAGCTTATGTAGAATCTGTCGGCCACGAACTAAGCGTCCTTCGTGTCCTTCCCTCTCTTTAAAAGTGTCAATCTGGCGAGCAAAATCACCTTCCAGAATGTTTGTGATTGCCGAGAGGATCTTCGCATCAAGCGTTGTGAAACCGTTAGGATCACGAAGGGACTCTTCCGTGGTATCATCCTTCCACACTTCACCGAGCCACTCGAAAGCCTCATCGGGACGGTCAGAGGCGGCGACCACAGCCTCGCGTGCGCGAAGCCTCCAGTTGCGATAGTTCTCTGGCTGGGGAAACTTTGGAAACACAATCTTCTCAGCTTCCTTCACCTTGGGCCTTCCCCTTGTCGCCTCGGTTTCCTCGACATCATCCTTGTCTTTCTTCGACTTAACGACTTTCTTGAACATCTTCAGGAGGTCCTTTTTAGATAGGGAGATAGACGACGATGATGATGAATCAGATGAGTCTCTTTTCTTTTTCTTCTTTTTGTCCTTTTTCTTTTTCTTCTTCTTGTCACGGGAATCGTCATCGGGCTCATCCCCGTCGCCGTCGCTTTCGGGAGGCGAGTCATCTCCACCTCCCCCTGGCGGGCCACCATCTACTTTACCCAGACCCGGAGGGGTATGAATAGGGTGTTCAATGGGAGACTGATCTCCTACGGCAGTTGGTGAATATGCCGTGGCTTTCGCCAGGCGATCACGAAGCTCGGCATTGGTGCGCTCAAGCTTCGTCATCGACTCAGCCTGTTGGCGATGCACTTGCATGAATGCACCCATCTCAGACTTGAGTTGGCTTAGTTCGCCATTCATGACTGCAACGGTGTCTTGGCTAGCCCGACTTCGATTAGCCAGCTCTCTTTCAGCTTGGGCTACAACGTCGGAGACTGTAACCTCAGCCTGATGAAGCCTGAGCTTGTAGTCAACGGCTTCACGTCGCATCTGCGACAACTCGTCGCTGTGCTTATTAGCCATGCTTTCGCCGGCTGCTCGAAGCATTTCTTCTTTCTGTTGCAGACGACTCTCCGCTTGGGCAAACTCCAACCGAAGTTGGGCAGCACCGGATAGCGCCTGTGCATGAAGCTGGTTGAATTGCTCCCTATGCAAATTGTTTGCTTCGGCCATGATCAATCTGTGGCGTGCTTCAGCTTCAGCTGCAACGGCTGGTCCTGTGTCTACTTGATGCACATGGACTGCTTGTTGCACCGTTGGCGCAAGGACATTTTGTTGATAGTAGTTCGCGACGTTTCTGATCTCGCTGGGTGAATATTGGGCCGCATTATATTGTTGAGGCGATCCCGCCAGGGATGCGAGTTGGTGCGCTGGGCTTGAGACATATGCCCATTCTGACACCGCTCCTGGTGCACCTCTTCGGGGATCTGGTTGGGCCATCACGGCCAAGGCCTCTGCCGTCAGAGGAACAACTTGGCCACCCTCTCGGGTACCGGGGACAGCCGGATCCGTGCCATCGTCTTGGACGGACATGGCAGGAAGAGAACTGAGATCCTCGGTATCGACGCGAGCCGCGGAAATGTCTATCGCGGGAATACCTGCAGGATTTACGGGAGCATCCATCGCGATCTACAAACGAAGTGAGACCTACGGCTGATAACCTATGTTTACAGGCAGAACAGCCTGAATGCAGACGCATATTTTCTTGAGCCAATGAACGACAGTAGGTGCAGGTGACTAGCTACATCTTCCACAAAATACATCCTCCATTCCCTACTAACCAAAGGTAAGTTTAGGGTTTACGGCGTAGGGTTCTGGCTTTAAGGCTTAGGGTGCGGGGTTTAAGGTTTAGGGTCCAGAGTTGATGGTTTGAGGTGTAGGGTTGAAAAATCTATAGGACCTGAGCCCAGCGACTGTAAGAAACCCGCATCCACGGGCTGAACAACGGCTGCGGCTTCGAGCGCTTCAAACGAAAAAGTGCATGGAGAACCCGACGATGCGAACAAGACTCCCTGGTTCTTCGTCGGGAATGGGCTATCGAGACTACTATGAGGGACCTTAAGGGACGATCATGAGGATCCATCTCCCCCTTCCTTGCTAAGATCCAAGGAGAAGAGTTTGCGATGCGTTCACACTGGTGTTGGACATTAACTAGGCTTACAAGGAATATGATCGGAAGGCGAGCGGCATGAAGTCTGGGGTATGGGGTTTAGGACTCTTTGTGGGTTGAGAGCTGAGGGTATTCAGGTTTGCCGTAGCACTTCAACGCACATGCATGAATCGCGAAAGCTGTCGGAATCGCTTCAACACCGGGCCCCTTCACCTGGAAAGCTTTAGGTTTAGGGTTTAGGGTTTAGGGGTTTAGGGTTTAGGGGTTTAGGGGTTCAGGGTTTAGGGTTTAGGGCAAAAACACGGATCAAAAGACCAGCCCACGAACCATGATGGGGTCACAGAGCCCTCAGACCACGATTTCGTTGAGGCCTTTATCCTTCCCTGTCGATTCGGGCTCTGCGGCGAGTGAAGGAGTCCGGATCGGGCGAAGCCTCCTGGAACCTGCCTGAACCCGAAACCATGCTGTAAGTACATTCACGAACTTCAAGCTAAACCCCTAAACCCCTAAACCCCCAAGCCCCTAAACCTAACCCTGCAGGGCTCAGCGTGCAGGAAGCTGACCTTCACCCTCTTTTGGGCCCTAGAAGGTGCCCTGAATAATTACTAATACTATTTTGGGGGTTCCTTATGATAATTATGGTATTTTGGGGGGCTCCTTATGATACTTATGGTATACTAAACCCCAAGACCCTACTCTAATTTCTTAAGGCCCCTACACTAGGAGCACGAAGTGAGTAGCACCAAATACTCTGGGGTCTCAGGGATGAGGGTTCGCTTCCATCAGACGTGCAGAAGCACTCAACACGAGTTCCTCAATCGCAACACCACCAGCCACAAACCGCCCCCACTCAAAAAAGAATGTGAGTGTGTCTGTATTATATATGTAGAGAGAGAGAGAGAGAGAGAGAGAGAGAGAGAGAGAGAGAGAGAGAGAGAGAGAGAGAGAGAGAGAGAGAGAGAGAGAGAGAGAGAGGGAGGGCGAGAGGGAGGGAGGGAGAGAGGGAGGGAGAGAGGGAGAGAGGGAGAGAGGGAGAGAGGGAGGCGTTAAAGCTGAGAAGTCCACTGCGGTGTAAGCAAACACCCAAATTCTCAAACCATCCGCAGAGCCTCTATTGAGCCCATAATCAGAGTCAAAAGCAGCTCGAGCGAAACGAGGTATGTTCAAACTCTGAACCCTGAACTCCCAAACCAAACCATTATAGTAGCCTTATCACACCCTTAAACCACCCTCATAGTAACTCTTAACATAGCCTCATAGAACCCTGATGCGAACTTTTATCGACCCTCACCGTAACCCTTAAGCAACCCTTGGTGGCCTGCGATTTGCTTCCTCCAACTCTTGTCTGAGCGATGCCGAGGCCATGGCGGAAGCGTCCAGGCCTGGTTTCGTAGAACTTTTCTGTTTCGGATGCTCTTGTCAGAGGCTTTAAGGCTTATGGTTTGGAGCTTTCTTAAAGGATTTAAGGTTTATGGCATGGGGTTTCCTCGCTCTCTTCAAGGAGGGTTTTAGGGCTCGCGGCTTGGGGCTGATGGGGTTTAAGCTTCAGGGTTCAAGCTATTGCGGTTGTTGAGCCCTGTGGGTTCTTCTTCTTCCTGGCCATATGGAATACTGGCGCCAGGGATGAGACGATACAGGCTCAAGCTGTTTGAAGGTTTTAGGGATTGAACTTTGCCCTTTAATTTAAGACTACTGGGTGGTTTGCAGCTTAGGGCTTCGCCCCATTAGTGTAGGGTGTATAAGCGCTTAAGGTCTGGTCCTGGGAGGTTACTGCCTGACACAAGGAGGTAGAGGTTTGCTGAGGTTTGTAGTGATGCCAACTGGCTTTCATCGACTTTGCGTGAACGGGGTGTGCTTTGCAGGATTCATACGGCTTCACATAATTTCACAGGAGCCCCTCTGAACAGCCCTTGGCTGCTTTTTTTAGGCTCAGGGCTCAGGTAAGCCTTGAACCCTGAAACCACTTTAGCGCAACACGAAACCCCAAACCCTCAACCCCTAAACTCAAAACCCTAAACCCAAAGATCCGACCCCACAGAAACCCTGAGTTTTAAACCACCAAAACCCCAAGCCCTAAACCCAAAAATCAACTCTGAACTTGTTGGGATTGCATCTTGGGCCGCTCCCGGTCCGTTTCAGAGACCTCGTGGCGTATTGTGCGGCTCTGTGCCCAGACCCTAAAGCCTACCCCCTGAACCCTACTCCACCGTGAGTGAGCCATGAAACTGGGTCCTATACTTGACAATTAGGACACACCTCCTTCGGCGCCTTCAACCCCGAACCTTAAAGGTCTATATATATAACTTGCTTCAACTGGGAGGACTCTTTCAGACAGCCTACTGGGCTGTGGTCCGGCCTTGTAACTCTTGCGAGATACGTTGGGGAATCCGATAAAAACGATGCGTAGAACAACTGCGACGACCTACGAATCCATCATTAATCTCAAAACGACGAAACAGCTGCCAGAAGTCATCTTCAGACCTTGCCGAAGCTCCAACCCTTCTGAAGCCCAATTTCGTAGCACATGGGTAGTTGTCAAAATTAGGGTCCCCTTGTTGGGTACCTTAGTTCTTAGGTGCCGTATTATAACAGGGACCCAAACAGGGACCCCAATTTTGACGACGACCCACATCTCTTCTGGCCAGGTGGCCCCAAAGAGTCTTGGCCGCAAAGGCCGTGAAGTAAGGATGCTCCTGGGGTGTACAGTAGAAGTTAGAAGCTGCCCCCACCCTGAAATAGTGACTATAAGGATTATATAGGATTATATTAGGGCCCTATTATACTCTTATTATACCACTATTACAGGGTGGGGGCAGCTTCTAAAGTAGAAGAAGCCAAAAAGTTGGAAACCCAATGGCCTCAATCCTTAGGTGTAATGTATAGGGAATCCCAGCACTATTTGGCCTGAATCCGGTTTCCAACTTTTCGGGGTTTACTACAGGTTCCAAGAGAGCTCAATACCCCTTACCCCTTAATTATCCTACTTGTCGGGTATCATGGGGAACTAAAGGTTAACCTTTTTGGTTATATAGAGACTATACTACCCAAAAAGGCTAAAGGTTGCCTACTCCACTACTAGGTTATTTATTATGGCTTAACTTATATAGGGCTTCATACTATGATTTAAGCTATATTCCGTAATTAAGGGGTAGTGGGCTCTCTAGGTTTCTAGGTTCTAGTGCAGACTGTACTATAGTAATGAATCCTACGGGGCAGTTGTGACACCGTGTTCGGGCCTCTGCATTGTGGACCTCAAGTATATAGGAAGGGGACCCTAATATAGTACCCTAAATAGTAGGATCCTTTTATAAGGATCCCCAAACTAAGGGTCCCTAATGTTCGGAAACGTCAATATGGGCTCAGGGTCGGACAAAGCTTGGGCTTTTAGGCCGGCCCTCGGAGAGATTCCTTAACCTCATCTGGATATGGAGCCCCATGCCACTCTTGAATAAGGCTTCAGGGTTTAGGGCTTAGGAGTTTGTTTTGTTTTTTAAGATGCAGTGGCTCTTTCTCCGCTTGCAAGCTTAGGAGTTTAGGGGCCAGGGTTTTGGAATAAAGCCCAAGTATCCCTACTATTGAGCGCACCCTGCTCTAGAGGCCCCAAGCTCTTACCGCCAGGGCACAGCAATGGCCACAGCAGCCTTGGCATGACCCCGCTCGCAGGCACAGTGCAGCGCTGTGCGACCCCACCTCCAGGCAGCTATGCTTTGGTGCTAGGGTTAAGACTTGTGTTTTGGCATTTGCTGCAGGTATTCTGAGATTCAATTCCACGTTCGTAGAGAAAAACTCGCTCCAGTCCCTAAACCCCTTATTTAACGAACCCCCCTAAAGCCCCCTTTAAGCCCCCCTTTAAGCCCCTCCTTTAAGCCCCCCTGAAGCCTTATAAACACCCTCCTTCTAAAGCCCCGTCGAAGGATGTCGAGGTTCGGGGTATCCAGGATCCTTACTTGAAGGGTACTTGATTTAGTAAGCGGGCGGGGGGGGGTTTTGGGTTTAGGGTTAGGGTTTAGGGTTTAGGGTTTAAGGGGGGTGTTTCATCCAGGATAGCTCCAAGTCACACTGCTTATGCTCATGCTCCCCTTATAAACCTACTTGACCTGAATTACGCACAACTCCAATAATTGCTTGCTTAGTGACTTACTTAAGTGGGGTAATAAGTCCCCTAATATGGGTTATAACTATAGTTATCCTACTTATGACCCTACTTGTAACTACAAGTAGTCATGAACCAGTCCAATCACAGGCCTGTCTCTGCGATCAATCTCCTCCTCGAAGCTTTGCGTGGAGAGGAGGACCTTCACCGCCTGCTTTCGGGAGCAGGGTGGCTTTCACAGGCGTGTAGGGGAGTTCATGGGGAATTATGAAGTCCCAGGTTTTATGGCGGTGTTACAGCTGCAGAGCTTCAAGGGTTTCATGGAACTTTGTAAGGCTTCGAGCTCAAGGTGACTCTGAGCTGTTGGGTTTGAGGATACAAGCTTAATCAGGATGCCCTTAAGCTTCGGGGTTTCACTCAGTTTTGCCTTCGTTGTTTCTGGTGTCTGCCCAAAGAGTTTCAGTCAAGCTCGGCATTCATGATTGCTGAGCTTCCTCCTCTGCTTCTTTTCTTGGGTTTTGGTGTTTTGGGCTTGGGGCTTAGATTGAATATGGTATAACTACAGCGACTACAGGAATACGAATGAGCACGAAAGTTGCCTGTCTGTCAGTCTGTCTGCAATCTCTCGAGCTGACAACCTCGTTACTCTTGTCTCCCTGCTTCATCACAATTGGCATGAGCCTGCTGCAAAACACGCTCTCAAACGCATCCCTGAACCCTAAAACATGTCGTACATCCTGATCCCTTAAACCTTTAACCATAAACCCTAAAACCCTGAACCCCAAATCCTAAACGCAAGTACTTTACAGGTCCTCGGTCTCACCGTGAAGTGCCGCGACATGCAGTGCTGTCTGCCCATTCCGGCCCAGGCAGCCTGCTGACAGCTATTAGGATTTCAAGCAGGCTTGTAATGCTCGCATGCATAATTATAGTTGCTTTTGAGTAAATGACATTGATGTTTCACGTTTTCATTCCAGGTTTCATACTCGTATACTCACAACATACTCTGTTGTATGATACTATACGATGCTGTGCCCTGGTGTGCTATTGTACAACTCATTGGTGGACTTACTGCTACTACCTCTACTGCGATAAATGACACTCACTGTTTGCACTTCTCTTCTCCATCTTATTAGTAATTCTCCTTGTCATTCTTCTTGTTACTGTTACTACTGTTGCTGTTAGCGTATATGTTTGCTTGTTGTCCGCACTAGCATGAGTTTATCCTGCTGGTGCCACGCGTTCTGCTACTGTTGTTCCTATGCTTTTGAGTCATAATATTATTGCCTGTATGATGATGACTATAGATACTGCTAGTAATATTGTTCTTGCGACTGCTATTGCTGTTGTTAGCACTGCGGGTTTTATCGTGATTAGCCCTATTCCCTCTCGTTCTTGGTTAAGCGATTTCTGGAGGGTGTGTTATTGCGGCTCTGGAACATGTATTCAGTCATTCTAGCCAAGGGCCATGAGACGAAAAAAAACAGGCACGAATGCAGACTGATCATGCGCCATACTGGTCCTACAAATGCCCGCTTTTATATGCACAAATCATACAGTCGAAAAAGAGAAGCAGCAATAGCAGCCGTGAGGGAAATAGTAGTGGCAGTAGTAGTCGTCGTCGTCGTCGTAGTAGTAGTGGTAGTAAAAGAAGTGGTAGCAGTAGTAGCAGTAGTAGTAGTAGTTGTTGTTGTAGTAGCGTCAAGTCATAATAGTACTAGACATACCTGTGGTGTTCGCACCATGCCACAGCACAGCGATAATTGCGACCACCACTACTGTCTGTTAAAGAAACAAACCAGGATTTATGATAGCTTCAGAATGCGAATAAGAAAACAGTAACTGTACAACCATAACGCCTGTTGATCTTCAACCAAGGGCCCACACTCTGAACCCAAACCTTAGCCCCCAACCTAACCTCCAATCGCAAGCCCAAAGCCCCAGGAGCCTCGAGCCCCAAAACCTTGTACAGAAGAAGAACAACCAAAACGATCAAGAGGACAAGTACACACAAAAGCAACACCAAAGATTAAACACCTAAACCCACGAACCCCTAAACCCTAAACCGGCAAACGAAACATCCAAAACAAACAACGAGGTGCAAGCCTGGAATTGCCATGAGATCCTCGCACTGTAGGAGCTCCTTGAGACATTCTGCCTCGCAAACGATGGGGGGAGCTCTCCTAGTTGTAGGGTTTAGGGGGTAGGGTTTTTTGGGATTTACGGTTTAGGATTTGGGGTCTAGGGTCGTTTGGGTTTGTTTAGGGTTCGTCACGGTCCAGGTTGTCTGGAGGTTTGACGTTTAGGGTTCAGGTGTTGTTGAGGTTTGGGGTTTAGGGGTCAGGGTGTTTTTAGGCTTGAGGTTCAGAGTTTAGGGTTTGTGGTGTTCAGGGGCTCGGTCTTGTGTAATTTTCTAAGGCTCAGGCTCAGGGTCTCATGAAGGCTCGGGAAAATCTGGCACTGCCGGCACCCCAGTGTCTCCGACTGATCACAATCCACGGCTTGCGCAGGAAATCCTAACACAGAACAAATTTTCGGTTAAGGAGCCCGAACAGTTTGTATAGACCAAAAGTCAGGACCTTTGAGAAAAAGAACCGCGAAATAAGGTACCCCTAGTTTTAAGAACCCCTCCTAAGTCCCCAGACAAACCCTAGAGCCCCACGCCTTCAAAGCCTCAACCCTGTGAATTGCTCTGGGCAGCTGGCCTCTCCATTTTGTGCCGCGACGTGCAGAGCCGTCCACCCGCGCCAGTCCTGCGGCAAGCTCGCCAAGGCTTCCGTGTTTGCGAATGGTACCTCTGACCTTAGAAGGGGCCCCCACCCTGTAATAGTGACCATAAGGATTATATAGGATTATATTAGGGCCCTATTATATTCCTATTATACCACTATTACAGGGTGGGGGCAGCTTCTAACTCTGACCATGTTGCCAGGGTTGCTGCATTTGAACCATGCAGCGATTGCTATCACCGCCACTATTGCTAGCTCATCTCGCCTACCGGAGCAACAAGGCGACAACGAGTCCGCAGAGTAGGCAATAGTAACAATAATAATACTCATAATAATAATAATGATAATAATAATAATAATAATAGTAATACTATTACTAATAATACTAATAATAGTAACAATAACAATATAGTAATAATAATAGTAATAGTAATAGTAATAGTAATAGTAATAGTAATAGTAATAGTAATAGTAATAGTAATAGTAATAGTAATAGTAATAGTAATAGTAATAGTAATAGTAATAGTAATAATAGTAATAGTAATAATAGTAATAGTAATAGTAATAATAGTAATAGTAATAATAGTAATAGTAATAGTAATAATAGTAATAGTAATAGTAATAGTAATAATAGTAATAGTAATAGTAATAGTAATAATAATAGTAATAGTAATAGTAATAGTAATAGTAATAGCAATAGCAATAGCAATAGTAATAGTAATAGTAATAGTAATAGTAATAGTAATAATAATAGTAATAGTAATAGTAATAGTAATAGTAATAGTAATAGTAATAGCAATAGCAATAGTAATAGTAATAGTAATAGTAATAGTAATAGTAATAATATTAGTAATAGTAATAGTAATAGTAATAATAATAATAATACTCATCTCCAGGAGCCATGGGCATACCATTACGTGTAGAAATCCCATGCAGAGCTACTGAGCTTCGGGCCTTAGGGTTTGTGACTTTTCGAGAATAGGGGACCCTAATATAGTACCCTAAATAGTAGGATCCTCATTATAACGACCCCTGAATAAGGTACCCCTATTTTTGGAAACTCCTGTTTAGGGTTTAGGGTTCGCACATCAAAGGAGGCGGTGGAACGAACTGAACTGCGCTGGAGGAGAAGAGATGGTGAAGGCAACAAGATAACACACCCCAAAGCCTGATCAAGGCGTAACCGGGCCCCCACGTTGTTAAGCACAATACCTTCTACTCCTCAGTCTCGAGACAAAAATCCAGCTCACTTGCAGCGAGCCGTCAAACCCAGAACTCGGGAGGGTACCGTACTTGGGGGTTCATGGGTAGTTGTGAGTAGGATAACTATACTTATAACCCATAATAGGGGACTTACAACCCTACTTATAACTACCCATGAACCTCCAAGTAGAGGATCTGCTATGCGAAGAAACCGTGCTCATGGTCAAAACCCATACGAAAAAGTTGATCATATTCTCCATAGTGTAGGGCACCTAGGGTTTTGGGTATTGAGGATTGTAAGTGGGACCCCTTGACGTACGTATAGGCCGGTCTAGCTGTCTAGTCCGAAAGCAGCTCCTTTGCCGCTGCAAAGTCAGGGATGCCTTTGACCAAGAAGAAGGCTGAAGGCTTGTTTCTGCTTGGAGGTTCATGGGTATAAGGTTATAAGTAGGATAACTATACTTATAACACAAAAAAGGTTACTTAGAACCCTACTTATAACTACCCATGAACCTCCAACTGGGCGCGGTTTCAGGTCTTAGGAGCAGGAGGAGCGCCATGAAACCAGATCGAGCATAGTAGGCAAAATGAAGCTGCGAAAGTCATGTGGCACCAGCTCCGATATCCTGCTGGCCATGTCATACACACAGTCTGCATGTGTGACGTCTCGCTGTGCTTGCGGAAATTCTTCTGAAAATCCCTTGAACTTGTCGCGAATATCGGTGCTATGAGTAGGCTGTGCGAGCAGCAAAGACTTTCGGGATCTCCTTTTAGTGTGTCGGACCCAAACAGCAATTAAATAACCACTTGTGTTTACTGCTTCTCAAGGAGCACCGAATTCAAAGCCTGCACCCGAAACATGGCAGCCTAACCCACAAAACCCCGCAAGAACCCCGACAGAGTCCGAAAGAACCTTCAACACCCATAGAACCCTTGTACACCCTGCATCGCGGCCTGTAGAACCCCTTTTTTCAAACCCCTACTGTAGGGGCCTGAATAATTTGAATAGGGTTTGTGGGTAGATTATACTATAATTGAAAATAAGAAACTCCCCAAAACCCCATTCTCATTATTTATTAAGGACCCTACATTCTACTGCCCTTATAGACCCCTTATAGCAACCCTTCAAGGAACGCTTTAAAGGAACCCTATTCTCATTTTTAAGGCCCCTGCATTTTAGTACCCTTATAGTTCCTTTATAGTTACCCTTGTAGACCCCTGCAAAAGAACCCTCTTCTCATTACTAAGGCCCCTACGTTATAGTACCCTTGTAGATCCCTTACAGTAACCCTTAAAGCAACTCTTTAAAGGAACCCTGTTCGAATTCTTAAGGCCCGTACATTATAGTACCCTTATAACTTATAGATCTTGTAGGAACCCTTTTTCGAATTTTCAAGGCCCCTGTTTCACAGAACCCCAACTAGAGCTCCCCGGAGAGCGCCTCGGAGCTTCGAGGCCTTTACCAACTCGGCGCAGAGCGCATCCAGGCCCTCCTTGCAAAGGAGAGGGCTGTGAGCTCAGGGTTGAGGGACTAGGGTCTAGGGGGTTTAGGGGTTTAGGGATTTTGGGGGCTTGGGGGATTAAAGGTTTAGGGGTTTGGGAGTTTAGGGGTCAAGACTTATAAAGAATTAAAGACTCTTGGAAAACGGAGCTGATGAGTGTGTGGCTGACGTAGCGACCAAAGAACTGTACAGCAGAAACATGCGAAAGGCAAAGGAGCCGCTAAGTTGGGGTTAAGGGCTGGGGGTTCAGGGTTTTTGCAAGTGTTGTTGTTATTAAACCGGCTACTGAACTGGCTCTCTAAGGTTGCCGCAAGCGATCTGTAGGCGAAAAGGTTTCAAAGGGCATTTGCCAGGACCTTCGAAGCTCAAGGTTCTGGGTTGTGGGTTTAGGGCCTGGGCAGGGTTCGGGGTTCTGGTTGCATGCATCCACCATTTTGGGGTATGCGGCGGGTTTGCTTCTATACTCCAGCGCTTTGAAGGATTAACTTGTCTTCAGCTGTGGTGTTGCGGCTCCTGAACTCTAAAGCCTAAACCAAAACCTTGAACGCCTGGGCAGCCGCATGCAGGAGAGACTGCTGCGAGACCTTGGCTCGAGCTTCAATACTAGGGTAGGACTGTAGGATTGACGTCATAGGGTTTCTGGATTTAGGTCTGGACCCAGCGGTGGGACATAACGTAATGGCTCTTCGTTTCTATACCTGTATAAGCCATATACGCATGCGTGCGTGTGTGTGTGTGTGTGTGTGTGTGTGTACAAGTAGTGTGCATATCACCTATTGTACATCTAACCATACATGCTAACATTACTGCCATACTTTGGTGAACACCGAAATCCATAAACATAAAATAATGCCTGAGCTTTACTATCCAAAGCTCCTCTAAGACACGTACTTAGGGCTTTCTACGGTTGAAAGGTTTAGCGCGCTTAACATGCTTAACGCTTGGAGAATTTCAGGGTTCGCGATGCTCTGGCCTCTCGACCGTAAGGGAAGGATCCACCACGTCTAGAAACGGTGGGCGCTTATGATCTGCGTCCGCTTTTAGCTTGGAAGGGGAGAAGCTTGCACGAAGGGTACAATAACATATAAACCAGTCTCAGACAATTTAACCATGTCGAGCCCAAAAAAAAGTTGATGACGATGCACCCTTCAAAAGTGGGTTCCTAAGTCAGAGCCCTAAGCGCTCAATCCGAAATCAGAACAATACTCCCTAAACCCAACTGAGAACACGAAACCTCGAATCTGAGCCCCCACCGCAAACCGAACACTAAACCCTGCAACCCTAAACGCCTGAACCGTCGAGTCTGAATCAAAACAGCCTCCGGCTTCTGTCTCCGAGGCACTCGATGGCGGAATCCAAACGGGTTGAAATCCTGCCGTTCAGTGGAACAAGGCTATCATGTCTACTGGGGGTAGGTTTAAGAGCGTCGCAGTACTGTGTAAGGCAACGGGGCAGTGCGCGAAACCACAACCCGTCGGAATTTCTGCAAACACCCCATTCTCAACGAAATCCAGTCACAGTGGCACAGGTGAAAGTCACATTGCCGTCTACGACAATCCTGGCAAACATGAGATCTCATGGCCCCTAACTTCAAGGAGACATCATGGGTCATCATTTGGGGTTTACGGTGTGTTTACTACATTTCGGAGCTTACGGATCCTTACAAGAGCCACTAACATTATCCTCGCAAAGATTCTTAGATTACAGTTGTAAACTATCATATTATATAATACAATACAAAACAATGAAATTTACTATAGTACAATATATAATACAAAACACCATGTTATAATGTAATATAATGTAGTATAATTCTACAAGATAATGCAAAGTAATATAATACAATATAATATCATATCATATAATATAAACTAAATATATACATATATATATATATACCAGAGTATATCAGACTGTGGTATATAATAGGTCAACTTCCCATCCTTTCTCAGACTCCGAACCGTAACCTGGGGAACCACTCGAGACGTGCCCGCGCGACAGAACCTCGCAACTGCAAAGATTGATTGGTACCCGGTTCAGGTTTAGAGGTTAGGTCTGTGCGGGGATGGTAGAGTCGTTCAGCGCTCAAAGATCTTCGAAATTTCCCGGAACCACCGATATCTAACCTTAAGCCCGAACCCCTAAACCGATATCTGAGATCCCACAAAGCCCGCCGCTCCTTGTCGCGGACCACCCGGATGGCCACTGCCTCCTGCTTGCGAGAAGAAGCTCCTAAGCCTTTGCTCCTAACCCGTAAACCCCGGCCCTACCGTTGAGGTTTAGGGTTTAGGGTTTAGGGTTTAGGGTTTAGGGTTAAGGGGTTTAGGGGTTTAGGGGTTCAGGGGTTTGGGGGTTTAGGGTTTAGGGTTTAGGGGTTTAGGGTTTAGGGTTTAGGGTTGACGATATAAATCCTGCAGTGCCCCAAGGACCCTATATGGGAATGATGGTATATTCCTTACTATGGGTAATCCCTAAACCCTGAACCCTTTAAATCATTATTATTGTTTAAGGCTTTGGTGTATATTGTACTATAGTCATAATCAGCAACCCCCAGATTAGTAGGGGTAATTAAGTATTTAGGCCCTTATATTAGCTTTAAACCGCCAAACCCTAAAACCCTTTGACTGACGCTGTTCGATGCAGGGGCAGTCCTGGCGATCGTGGACGGCCTCGAACAAGGACTCCGCATTGCGAACCTAGGCTTGTGGTTTCGGGCTTGGGGGCTTCTGTGCAAACCTCTTTGAGTTCAGAGTTACACATCTGGCGAATGTTCACATCCCCATTGAGGAAACACCTCTTCCTGTTCCGGTGGTCCTGTAAAACCGATGACGACGAACCGATGACGACGAGCCTCTGGTCTCAGCTCGATTTCGAAGTGCTATGCACCAGGCTCACGGCTTCCGAAACGAATCATTCGAAACCTTTGCTGTTGCCTTGATTCTGACGCCGAGGAGGAGGAGGAGGAGAGGGAGGAAGAGAAGGAGCAGCAGCAGTAACCACTGCTTCAAAAGCAGCGGTAGCAGCGCAGCAGCAAGAGCAGTAGAACCGGCAAAAGCAGGAAAAGGAACAAGCGGTGCGTTGCGTTAGTCTTTGAGTCTGCCTCGGCTTACAATTTACATTAGCATCAGCATAGGGTCTCAATCAATGAGGCTGAGGCTACTAAACCGTTTGGGGCCTCAAAAGAGGTCTGCTCGATTCACTGTAATATCGGGGTCTAAATAATTACCACTACTATTTTGGGGGTTCGTTATTGTACTCATGGAATCATGAGCCCCCAAACCCTATTCTCTCCATTATTAAGGCCCCTATATTATCTTTTTTTGCCCTTTCTGATCTGCAGCTGGGACACGTGCTTGATCTGCCTTGGCGACAGGATTGCACATAACACTTTGGCCGGGCATGCAAATGCTCAACTCAACGTCTAGGGTTCTCGGCCACCCCACGGCTACCCCGTTTCTCCAAAGGCGGAAACCACAACCGAAAGCACAAATTACACCAGCGAAGACCCCAAACAGAATGCATCGAATCATACCGGTTCAAGCTGGAATGTGTTGGATCCCAATCTGGCTTCGCCAGCAGATTTTGCGAAGAAGAATTAGGCATTGGGCGATTTATTTCTGCGAAAGAAGAGTGGGTGGTGGGACTCAAGCATGTGGGAAGGTTCCAGGGAGCATCGTTCAGAGGATCTTGCTGCAACACCATGCACGGAAAACATGCACATTTCTTCCGCAACTTCCACATTGTTGCCGCCTTTGCAAAACAGGATACCTGGCCTCTGCTGCAAACGTTCGCGGACGAAGTGCAAAAGAGCTTGGTGTTCGCTTCGGTTGGCTGTCGGACGGGAAGAAAACGAGAACTTTGCCGTGCATGTTTGGCAAGAAAGGTAGGAAGGGATTTGTCGGCTTACAAGGCAAACAAAAAGCTCACTTTACACGGAACCATTCACGTGTTCTCTGCCGACCGAACGAAGAGCATAGTCCACAGGATTTTGTTGCCGCAGGAACCGCACAAAGAAAAAACGGAACTTCTCCACAATTTTCATAACATTACCGTTTTGCAAAACAGGATTCCTTGCCTCCGCTGTAGACATTGGGGGAAGAAGCACAACAGAGGTTGCTATATGGATCGGTTGGCTGTCGCACGGGAAAAAAGTGTGAACTTTGCCGCGCAATTTTGGCGAAAAGAAGCGCGCACAGAGGTGCGTCGGCTTACAACACAAAACAAAGTTCTTTCTTTACACGGAACCATTCACGACCTTTTTCCGCAGACCGAACGAAGATCCATAGAATCTTGCTACCGCAGAAACCACGCACGGAAAAAAACACGCACAACATTGCCGTTTTGCTTGTGCAAGACAGGATATGTGGCCTCTGCCGTAAACGTTTGTGGAGAAGCGCAAAACAGGTTGGTATACGGATCGGTTGGCTGTCGCACGGGAAAAACGTGTGAACTTTGCGGCGCAATTATGGCGAAAAGAAGAGCAAATGGGTTTGTCGGCTTACATGGCAAGCACAAATCTTTCTTTACACGGAACCATTCACGGTTTTGTCCGCAGACCGAACGAAGATCCACAGGATCTTGCTGCCGCAGCAACCACGCACGGAAAAAAACACGCAACATTGCCGTTTTGCGAGACAGGACATGTGGCCTCTGCTGTAGACGTCTGTGGGAGAAGCGCAAAACAAGTTGGTATACAGATCGGTTGGCTGCCACACGGGAATTGCCGCGCAAACTTGGCAAAAAGAAACGCAAAGGGGTTTGTCGGCTTACATCGCAAACACAAACCTTTCTTTACACGGAACCATTCACGGTTTTGTCCGCAGACCGAACGAAGATCCACAGGATCTTGCTGCCGCAGAAACCACACGCGGAAAAAGCACGCAACATTGCCGTTTTGCGAGACAGGATATGCGGCCCCTCTGCCGTAGACGTCTGTGGAAGAAGCACGAAAGAGGTTGGTATACAGATCGGTTGGCGGCCACACGGGACAAAGTAGGAACTTTGCCGCGCGAACTTGGCAAAAAGAAACGCAAAGGGGTTTGTCGGCTTACATCGCAAACACAAACCTTTCTTTACACGGAACCATTCACGGTTTTGTCCGCAGACCGAACGAAGATCCACAGGATCTTGCTGCCGCAGAAACCACACGCGGAAAAAGCACGCAACATTGCCGTTTTGCGAGACAGGATATGCGGCCCCTCTGCCGTAGACGTCTGTGGAAGAAGCACGAAAGAGGTTGGTATACAGATCGGTTGGCGGCCACACGGGACAAAGTAGGAACTTTGCCGCGCGAACTTGGCAAAAAGAAACGCAAAGGGGTTTGTCGGCTTACATCGCAAACACAAACCTTTCTTTACACGAAACCGTTGACGATTTTTTCCGCCGACAAAAAGAAGAACGTCGTCCACAGGATCTTGCTGCCGCAGCAACCACGCACGGAGAAACACACAAGTTCCCCTTTGCACCATTGACGATTTTGTCCGCGCACAAAACGAAAAACGTCGTCCACAGGATCTTGCGGCCGCAGAAACCACGCACGGAAGAACACACAACCTTCCCGCAACTGTTACCACATTGCTGCCTTGCAAGACATGATACCGGATACCTGCCCTCTGCTGTAGATGTTTGTGGAAGAACCACAAAAGAGGTTGGTTTACGGATCGGTTGGCTGTCGCACGGGGAAAAGTGGGAACTTTGCCACGCAAACTTGGCGAAAGGAAGACCGCACAGGGGTGTGTCGGCTTACAAGGCAAAATAAAAATCGTTCTTTACACGGAACGAATTTTTCCACAGACCGAACGAAGAACTTCGTCCACAGGATCTTACTTCCGCAGAAACCACGCACGGAGAACACACACACACACACATAACTTTCCCGCAACTGAGTTAATCCGACCCTCAACAGCAGCACAACGATATTGGGGTAGGATGGCCGGGCAAGGCAAGGAAACCCAAAAGGGAAACCCAGCCCAAAGAGGAACACAAGCTGCAAGCGTACCTCTTTCTCATTACTTGAGCCAAACATCATGTCATTGGCACATTAAGCTACACAGTCAGACATGTTACCTATACAAGGACAGGGAACGTCGTATTCGATCAACTAACTGTTACAACATTGCTGCTTTGCAAAACAGGATACCTGACTTTTGCTGTAGATGATTGCGGGAGAAGCACGAAGCAGGTTGGTTGGTATACGGATCGGTCGCCTGTCGGACGGAGCAAATTGGGAACTTTGCATTGCAAACTTGGCCAAAAGAAGTGCGAAGAGGTTTGTCGGCTTCTAAGGCGAACGAGATTCTTCTGTTGCACGGAACCATTGACGGTTTTTCCGCAAACCGAACGAAGAGCGTCGTCTACAGGATCTTGCGGCAAGTTTCCCGCAAGTGTCACAACCTTGCCGTTTTGCAAGACAGGATACCTTGCCTCTGCTGTAGACGTTCGTGGAAGAAGCACAAAAGGGATTTGTATACGGATCGGTCGGCTGTCGCACGGGAAAGACGGGCAACTTTGCCGCACAAACAGGGCAAAAAGAAAGGCGAAGGAGTCGGCTTACATCGCAAACAAATAATTTTCCTTTCACGGAACCATTGACAATTTTGAAGCAAATCGAACGAAGAACGTCGTCCACAGGATCTTGCTGCAGCAGAAACCACGCACGGAAAAACACACAACTGTTACAGCATTGCTGCTTTGCAAGACAGGATACCGGATACCTGGCCTTTGCTGTAGACGTTTGTGGCAGACCAGGCGCCCAGAAAGGAAACATTAAGGGAACCCAGCGGGAGCTCTGCGGCCCGCCCGTCCAACCCAGGAGCCCAGAAAGGAAACAGGAAGGAAGCCCAATTGGCAGGCCAATCCCTTTTCCGCGGCCCACCCATCCAATCCAGGAGCCCAGAACGGAAACATGAAGGGAGGTAAACGGGATTGCCGCGGCCCAAGGAAACATGAAGGGAGCCCAACGGGAGTCCAGGTCCAACCCAGCAGCCCAGAAAGGAAACATGAAGGGAGCGCAATGGGAGCCCAGGTCCTTTGCCGCAGCCCACCCGTCCAAACCAGGAGCCCAGGAAGGAAACATGAACATGAACGGAACCCAATGATAGCCCAGGCTCTTTGCCGTGGCCCACCCGTCCAACCCAGCCCAAAAAAGAATTGAAGGGAACTGAATGGGAGCCCAGGTCCTTCGCCGCGGCCCACCCATCCAACTCAGGAGCCCAGGAAGGAAACATGAAGGGAACCCAATGATAGCCCAGGTTCTTTGCCGCGGCCCACCCGTCCAACCCAGGAACCCAGAAAGGAAACATGAAGGGAACTGAATGGGAGCCCAGGTCCTTCGCCGTGGCCCACACGTCCAACCCAGGAGCCCAAAAACGAAACATGAAGGGAGCCCAACGAGAGTCCAACCCAGGAGCCCAGAAAGGAAACATGAAGGGAAGTGAATGGGAGTCCGGCCCACCCGTCCAACCCAGGAGCCCAGGAAGGAAACATGAAGGGAGCCCAATAAAGCCCAGGTCCTTTGCCGCGGCCAGGAGCCCAGAAAGGAAACATGAAGGGAAGTGAACGAGAGCCCAGGTCCTTCGCCGTGGCCCACCCGTCCAACCCAGGAGCCCAGAAAGGAAACATGAAGGCAGGTCCTTTGCCGCGGCCCACCCGTCCAACCCAGGAGCCCAGAGAAACATGAAGGGAAGTGAATGGGAGCCCAGGTCCTTCGCCGCGGCCCACCCGTCCAACCCCGGAGCCCAGAAAGGAAACATGAAGGGAAGTGAATGGGAGCCCAGTTCAAGCGCCACGCGACTTTTGGAGCCGAGGCCATTTAAGCTTGGCTTTCCACCCTGAAATTAGGGGCTAAGCATCAGCGGCCGACGAAGTTAACAATGCACGATGTTGGGGTACCACGGGCTCCAGCTCTCAGGGGCACAGAAGCACTGATCATTTAAAAGATATACTTAATGTTACTTTATTATCCTTCATATATTATTAACGATATAAAATTTCTAGGTAATATTAATAATGATTAAGCCTATAGGTAGTAGGCTCCTGCGTCTACGTACTCCAGCTAGTGACCCCTCAGCCCTGACACTGCAAGACCCTTCCTGAGAGCCCCGAAGTTAAGCCCCGGACCCCAAACCCACTAAACCCTAAACCCTAAACCCTAAACCCTAAATCCTAGGATCTAAAACCCCAAAACCCTAACCCCGAACCAACTTGCGGCCAAACTTCTTTACCCTCTGCTTGGCCAGCTCTCTCATCTGGAGAACACGGAGGCGGGCCAAGTAGCCTTCCGAACAGACTCAGCTTGAGGATGTTTCAATGGGTTTAGGGTTAAGGGATAATGCGCTTATGCTGCGACCGGGTTTCGAAGCGACCTTTCATAGAGTTGTCTATGGCTTACCTTTGGTTAGTAGGGAATGGAAGAATGGTAGTAATAGTAGTTATAATTGTACCCCATTCCTCCATTCCCTACCAACCAAAGGTAAGCTATGGGGGCTTGAAGGTTTATGACTCATGGCTTAGGGACTTGCAACAGCTTGGGTATGAACCATGACAGGACCAGGATGGAGGGTTTCAGAATCCCAAAGACCTAATGCCCTTAAGCCCTAAACCCTGGACCCTAAACCTGACCTACGCCCTAAACCCTAAGCCCTGAACCCTAAGCCTAAACCGTTTCAGGTCTGCGGTTCAGCCGAGGTCAGAAAACTTTTCGGGCAAGAGGGTTCAGGGTTTAGGGGCCTGGGTCCAAGCTTTAGTCGGGTTTGGAAGTTTGGAGTTGTCTAAAGCTTTAAACCAAGTAAACCCAAAGAAACCTAAAAGTCTAGGGGCCCAAACTCAAAATCTGCATAGAGAGCCCGAACCATAAACTGCAAAACCCAAAACCCTGAAATCGAAGCCCCAACCCACTCAAGCCCCCAAAGGCAGCAAATCCCTTCATGCCTCGCCAACCGCGCTGCAGCGTCCGCGCCGCCCGGTGCCGCCGTCGCAGCTGAAGGCGTACGAACTTCCCGCGAATCACGGCCTTCTAAAAGGGTTCCTAAAAGCTGGCACGGTTGCTGTAAGGGGTTCCCGTAAGGGGCTCCGTAACAGGGTTCCCCCGTAGGGTTCCCTATAAGAACTCCTTATAAGGGTTCCTGGTGAAAGGTTCCTGAAAAAGTTCCCAGGATGTAGGGTTGTGAGCTTTGGGAGCTTTGCAATTTAAAGTTTCAGGTCGGGGTTCATAGTTTGGGGCTTTGGGTTTAAGGTTCAGGGTGCTTTGGGTTTAGGCTAACGCACGCAGGGTCTCTAACTCTAAGCTAAGGTAATTAAATTGCCGCATTAAAGATCGGACGAAGGAACCCTGCAGTGTTTAGCAGGTTTTCTTCCAACAATGACCAGAACCCTGTAATTCAAGGCTTTGTAAAGGGGAACTTCACAGCTAGAACAAGGTTTCGGGGTAGATGATACCGCATTCACAACAAGGAACCCTACGGAACAATATTGCAATTATTCCGATCCCTGATTCATTCCTTGATTGAGGGTGTGCTGGGCGCTTGGGATTTGAATCTGCGGCTACTTTAAGGGCCTTGACAATTAGAATAGGTTTTGGGGGATATTATACTATACTTATAAGGAACCCCAGAATAGTAAAGGCAATTTATTAAGGCTTTTATGTTGCCGTGTTGAGGCTGAGGCTTCCGACTTAGGAGAGTTAGTCAGAAGGTGGTGCGGGATTTCGACGAGGGTTTAGGGCTTGTGGTTCAGGTTTAGGGTCAAGGAATGAGGTTAGGGGCTGCAGGTCCTCTGAAGGAAACGAACTGCTAACTTTTGGGTTTTCTGGTATTCCATAGGTTTTATGGACGTGTATAAGATACTTCTTGTCATCCGCTTTTAAGACAATTGGGCAGGGCCCTGGACCCCAGTGTTTTTCATAGGAAGCTCTTGAAGAAGATACCTGAATTGATGTGTCCAACCTTTTTGGGGGATCTCTATAAATAACAAGCCTACCTGCATCCAGCGAACCCGTTTCCACCGTCTACCGTTTAAAAAGGTTTGGGGGTGTACAGGTGTTGGAGTTTACGCTTCAGGGATTGGGGTTTACGGTTCATACACAAGCCTTTGCAATTTCTGTTGAACTTCGGCACACAGCAAGCGCAGCCTACGAACAACAACTGTCCGTGAAACCTGCAAAACCTTCTCATGTGTGGAGAATAGCCTCAGGACGAACCTCGTCAGCCCTAAACCCTGAACACTTGTACCATGAAAATTGAAAGAAAAACGCCTACCACCAATCCCGACATCCTAAACCGTGCACCCTGAACAATAAACCTTCAAACCCCTTAACCCGTAAACCCTAAATCCCTAAATCCAGAAACCAAACTCCTCAACCAGCCTGGAGCAGCACAGACGCGCGACTCTTCAAGTGGAGCTCTGCCTCAGTTTGCACCTCCTGCCGCTGCACCTTGCCAGAGGTACTTGATTTCATACGGGAGTTTCCGGAAACAGTGGACCTTAATTATAGTACCCATAAGTAGTAGGATCCTTATTGTAAGGACCCCAAAATCAGGTACCCCTAATTTTTCGAAAACTCCCATATGAAATTTAGGGTATCAGTTCTATCTGGTATGAAAATTATAACTCAGAGCTGGAGTTCAGGGTTTGAGGTTTGAGGGCCAGGTTCAGGGTTTCGGGATAAGACCTCCTCTACACGGAACATCACCGTCGGATTTTCCATGATAGTCCCAATAGTCTGAGGTAGCGCCAGCAGATGGCTCAAAGCTCCATAAGCCAGGGTCTGAATCCTGCAAACCCCAAACCCTAAAGCCCGACATCCTAAATCTTTAAACTCTGAGCCCCGAAACCCCCCAACCCCCAAAACCGACCTCCGACAGCTCAGAGGTTCAGAGCCCCTAAACCCTAAACCCTAAACCCTAAACCCTAAACCCTAAACCCAAAACCCTAAACCGTCCCGAAACCGAAGATGCAGGGCTTTGCAGCTCTGCTCCAACTTAGGTCTGCGGGCTTTATAAGAGGTTTCAGAACATCATGTCTTCCCGGTTTAGGGTTTAGGGTTTAGGGTTTAGGGTTTAGGGTTTAGGGTTTAGGGTTTAGGGTTTAGGGTTTAGGGTTTAGGGTTGTGTTCCTTGTCGAGGACGCGTTCCATACTGAGGATATCACTACTCAAGGCTCTCTATGTGAATCCATTCTTTTCCGAAACGCCCATCCGTGGCACAGGCTTGAAAACGAAAGCCCGAACTTGCGTCTGAGTCTTTGCAATACACGAAGAATGTAAATGTCTAGATAGATGGGGAAATTGAAGAAGGATGACTCTCAACTCCTAGGAATCCTGCATCTCTCACTATTTACCCAGACTGTCCCCACGGCCGCCTGAAGACGTGCCTCCGTTTCACGAAGCTGCTTCAGCTTCTCCTGCTCCTGCGCGCCCAGGAGTTTGCCTGGGATCCGGTCACAAAGTTTGAGTAGGGTTTAAGGCTTGGTTTTACAGTCAACTGTAGGTTAGTCAACGTATATACGTGGAGGAACATGGGGGTTCAGGATTTCGGCTCATTCCGTGTACCCGCAGGAGTGAAAGCCTGCAGCTCTGCATCAGCAACCCTTCATCCCACGCGCCTGGTTCCAGAATCTGAACTCTGCACCACATAGAAGTCTACGCACCTTGTGCTTCAAGGCCTTGGCGCCCTTGAGCCTGCAACCCTAAATTCAGGAAGCGGGAGAAGAATAATGGTCCGATGGAGAAATAGACAGACAGGCCTACAGACAGACATGAAGACAGGTAGGCAAGCATTCAGACTGGCTGACAGGTAGACAGACAGACGGACAGAGAGATAGATAGACAAATAAACGGAGTAGATAGATACATACATAGGTCGATAGAACAAAACACACTGCACACAATAAAAAGACACACCCAAACAAAGTTCCCTAAGGAGGAGCACCTGGCATGTCTACCACGACACCTCCTGCAAAACCATCATACAAGGGTTTCCATACTTAGTCGGGTTCCTTTAATTTAAACTTAAAGGATTCTACAAGTAGGGGCCCTATAGCAAGGGCTTGGGAGCTGTCGGGCCGGGATCAGAAGCTTCTTCAAAACCTATGTCGCTTCCATACCACAGGCAGCCCAATGACGCACACTCTCCCGGTCACCGTGATAATCCTTAATCGCGGGAGGGCTTTGAAAGTTAGCAGCCAGGAACTCTGGCTTTCGATAGCAGTGTAGTTTTATCCCCAAACCTTCATCCAGTTGTGAATTCCGTTTGTGCTATACCTTAAAGCCCTAAGTAAACCCCATAGTCCCTGAATCGGCTTCCAGTAATTACAGAGATGAAAACAAAGCCGGCAGCTAGTCGTTAACAACGGCAATGCACAGGCAGCTGCTTCTAGATCCTGGCAAATGTATAGTCGCAGCAATAGCACTAGCAGCAGCAGCAGCAGCAGCAGCAGCAGCAGCGACAGCCGCAGCAACGACAAAACCAACAACCACCACAATAACTAAGCAGTAGCGAAACACCAAAAGACCTACAATGCACATCTCAGCCGTAATACACAAGCATTAGGCATAGCGACATGGGATCAACATCAGTTGATCCGGCATTACTAGCAAGCTTTCGCATGCCTGCCCGGAACCCTTGAATCGACCCCTCAACCTTTTCAATACCCGGAACAGTTAGACCCCACGATACTCAAGCCCCAAAAACCCCCAAAAAAAATTAAAAACCTAAAATCTAAAACAACCGAAGGCCCCAAAAAACTATAGATCCCCGAACCCCTAACCCTTAACCCCTAAACGCTAAGCCCATAAACCCCCTCAACCACGCCACCAGGTCGTCCTTTTTTGAGTTGTTCGATCTGCTTCTGGATGGCAACCTGTTCTAGGTGGGGCTTTTAAAGCCTTTGAAAAATATTAGAAAATAAGATCCTCTTAAGCCCAATAAGGGAAAATATAAAATGTCCCAAAGCCCTAAATAGTGCTGGGGGCGAAGGGCCACGAGCTGCTGAGCGGGGGGCTTTCGGGGGTTTCGGGTTTAAAGGGCTCCTTAAGGGATCTATAGGGCTCCTTAAAGGGATCTTTAGGGTTCCTTAAAGGGATCTATAAGGGCTATAGGGCTTTATGGGCTTAGAGTTTAAGGGTTTAGGGGTTAAGGGTTAGGGGTTCGGGGGTTTAGGGTTCGGGGTTTAGGGGTTTGGGGTTTAGGGGTTAAGGGTTAGGGGTTTAGGGTTTAGGGGTTTGTGGGTTTTAGGGTTCAGGGGTTTAGGGTTTGGGGGTTAAGGGTTTGGGGTTAAGGGGTTTAGGGGGTTAGGGGTTTAGGGTTAGGGGTTCGGGGGTTTAGGGGCGGTTCAGGGGTGTACGGTTTTGGGGTTGAGGCGGCTTAGGGATTTACAGCTTTAGGTGCTAAGAGGCTCGTCTTTTGTAGGGATGCCCTGCACCCAGCGACGTGCACGCTTTGGCGCTCGCCCCCTTATTCCTCAGCTTTCTCTTTAGCTCTACGAATCTACGGTTCGGTTATGGAGGCGGCGTGGTTGCTCCGTATTTCCGGGTGTATCCACTTAGTAGATGTTGTTCCTTGAGAAGTTTGCGGGTTTTTGTATATCCTGCCTGGCGAGCATTGCTGCTGATACGTGCACAGTATGATGCCTTGGTTCATGAGCAACAGCATGAGGAGGAGCAGGAGCAAGCGAAGACCAGAGCAGGAGCAGGAGCAACAGCAAAAGACAGAGCAGTAGTAAGAGCAGGAGCAAGAGCAAGAACAAGAGCAGGAGTAACAGCAAGCGAATTAGTAAAAGCACAAGCAACAACAGCAGTTTGAGCTACCAGTAGAGCAGGCGCAAGAGACGCAGCAGGAGCAGGAGCAAAAGCCAGAGCAGGAGCAAGAGCAAGATCCCTCAAAACTGACAGTAGATATGAAAATACCCTTAATCATACAAATGCTTTCTGAAGTTGGGGGGCGGACACCCGCCGTTTAATGTAGGGGGAAGGGATACTCGATATTTACAGGGGAGCATTAAACTTTGAACGACCCTCAGGCATGTCGGGCCGACAAGCATCTGAAGCTGAACCCTTAAGCCTACAACCGAAACCCTAACTTCCTTAACCCGAGCCCTTAAACCGTAACCTAACCCTAAACCCTAAACCCTAAACCCCAACCCCGAACCCTGAACCCTAAACCCTAAACCTCGAACCCCAAGCCGTAAACCCTACATCCCGAAGTCGTCTGCTCTCTTCGGCCTGGCTCTTCCTCTCTTCGGTTCCAGACAGCCGAACTTGTCGACGCAACTCAGAGATCTTCCACTCCTGATTTTGGGTTTAGGATCCTTCGAGGGCTCCTTTGCAGGGATCTAAACAGGTTCAATTATGAGGTTCATGTAGGGTTTAGGTTTAGGGTTTAAGGTTTAGCGATTTGAGACTAGGGTTTAAGGTTTAGGGTTTGGGCATTAGGGACAAGGGTTTAGGGTTTAGGGCTTCAAGTTATGGCTTAGGATCTAGGGTTTAGGTTCAAGATCTTGGGTTTAGGGTTCACTTCACGATTTAGGGCTTAGGGTTTGGCATCTGCTGTTAGGGCATCATACAAGCTTAGGGTCCAGCGATGAAGGTCTGGGTTTGGGGCTTGCGGTGACTGATTTTGGGGACATGTTGTCGGACCCTGGCTGTGCAGTCGTCGAAAAACATATTCAGAATGATCAATCCCAATGCCGAAGGCTTGAAACCCAAAACCGCGACATTAGTGGACTGCAGTTGCCACTGAAGTCCTACAGGTTCAGGGATAGCTAGAAGTGGGGTTCGAAGTCCCCTAGCATTCGCTTTAACTGTAGAAATCCAACCTATAACTCTCTAGGATATTGCTTGAATCATCATAACCATGATTTGAGATCTCTTCGTTAAAAACACTCTATCGGCCCTGGAGAAAGTAGTATTGACCCTCGAACCTGTAACATCTCTCTCGAATTCAGACACCTTCTACAATGCAAGCAGCAGTCTCAAGACACATGGGGCAAGCAAGAAAACATCATCCTTGTCATCGTCACCACGAAGCATCGACATCCTGAACAGGCTCGCAAACAAACTGGCTGGAAGCATCACGGTCCTGGAACTCGTCTAGTCAATGTTGACTTAAGAGCTACTAATCATAATCAACCACTCACAACAAATCGATCTATCAACTAATGAGATGATGGGTTGATTTTGAATCGTGGATTCAAACTACATGATGATATTAGAGTGATTCACTGGTACTATTTCAGTGGCTGTCAAAATTGTGGTCCCTTTCGGGGTCCCGAATATAATACGGCACCTATTATTTAGGGTACCCAAAAACGGACCCCTATTTTGACAACCACCCATTTGCATTTAATTTTCTTGTTGGTGCCTTGATGTTCACCAGCAGAGTCTGAATTGATAGGTCGATAATTAATTCATCATGAGTTAATAGTAAAAATTGATGATGTTCGCGTTATGAACTACCACTGTTTGTATTTCAAACTGCAGGTGCCTTGATGTTCACCAGCAGAGGGAAGTCCGCCGAAACCAGGCAGCGCCGCCCTTCGCGGCTGACGAGGCGTTGGTCCTCTGGGGCCATGTCCAGTCCAGGGCTCTACTCGAAGGGCCGGGGAACATGGTAAGTAGTTAGAGAGTCATAAGTACCCAAGAAGGGGCCCTAATTAATTGGGACTGATGATACTCATAAGTACCCTAAAAGGGACCCTAATTGGGGGTGATGGTACTTATTAGAGTCATAAGTACCCTGAAAGGGACCGGGCTATGGTACTTATAGCTCTAAGTGCTGGTACGGTCTGGGGTTGGGGGGTTCAAGGCTTGCGGCTTGGGAGGTTGGGAGTATGGGGTTTGGAGTTTCTTAGGGTTTAGGGTTTAGGGGCTTGGAGTTTCTTGGGAAACAGGGTCTGGGATTTAAGGGGCGGCTGCGGTTCAGATCGCCTACCTACGGAAATTGCTTCGCCAGACCATGCCGTGCACAAAGAAGAAAAAAACAACGTCCACTGGGACACTACGGGAAGCTTAGCAGCTTCTGACATGTTGCCGGAATCATGTATCCAAACTGATATGAACTGACCTTGAAAATAAGATGTACGAAGCCAGGCCAGCGAGTGCTCGGTGATGATGCGCCCTAACCCTAAATCCTAAAACCCGAGCCTTAAACCCTGATACCCTAAACCCCAAACCCTACGCCTTAAACCCTGAAACAATGAACCCCAAGCCTTAAACCCTAAAACTCCAAACGATGAACCACGAGCCCCAAGCAATCCAGCCGGCCCTCGTAGTTTCAGTTTGAGGCCTTCCCCTAAAGTGTCGCACACTGATGCAGGGGCCTCACTAATGAGAACGGGGTTCCTTTAAGAAGGCTCCCTTAAAGGACATCAAACAAGGATGACTACAAGGGCTACTATGGGGATTTAGGGTGTAGGAGCCTCAATGTTTAGAACAGGGTTTTGGGCTCCTTTGTAGTATACGTACGAGAAGGAACCCTAAGGATTAATATTGGATCCTGACTGCTATCAGCTGAGCCGTGGAGACCAGCTAGTAAAGGGTGTTATCGCGGCGAACCCTCGCTTCACGTTCCCCTCAAAACGTTCAACCCAGCTGAGACCAAGCCTTCATGCTCTCGTAGGTTACTACAACAAACAGTCAGTAATAATACCAATCATACGATCGCAATACGATGACAATTATTGCCATAATGGTTTTTCGATGTTCGACGTGTGTCCTGTTAGTGTGAATACAAACTTGCCTATCATTTTATTCTGTTAGGGGAGCCAAAGAAGCGCACATGGAGGAGAACTTCGTATCAGCGGTCTAGGGTTTAGGGTTCAGAGTTCAAGGTCTACGCACCACTCCTTCAAAGAGAAGGGGACGCCTTTGCGGTTGAGGACCTCAAAGCGATCGCCCTCTTGGTCCTTGGTCTACGAGGCCATGCGGAGTATTTCGGGTTGAGGGCTGAGGAACTCTTAAGTTGAGTGTTTGGGGTTTCGGGGTAAATGGCTAGGATTCCCGGATTAAGCTTTAAGGCTGCAGGATGTAACGGTGTCAAAATCGGCTGCATGTTCCGGATTGCACAGTCGCTCTGAATTCCGGTTGGGTCAAGGTCTTGGGTATGCTCTTTTGAGGGGGCGGTCCAAGCCCAGGTTTTCTGTCGTAGGATCCGGCTTCAAGATGCGACAATCCCTTTCCCTGAACCCCATGCCGGAAACACAAATCCGACACCAGAAACCTGAACCCAAAATGCTTACGAGCCATAGATTGAGTACAACCGAACAGATTTATTAGAAGCTGCCCCCACCCTGCAATAGTGACTATAAGGATCATATTAAGGCCCTATTATATTCCTACTATACCACTATTACAGGGTGGGGACCGCTTCTAACAGATTTATCAGCACCGTGCTATTTCATGCATAGGCCTGGGTCCTTCGGGATTTGGGACAGGCTCTAACCACGCAGAGCACCGCAGATCCCTCCCCTCCAGTAACTGCAGCACAGCTTCTGGTCGGTACCCTTTCTTCTTCAGGAGTCCACCGATGGTGCTGAACCAGTCCTTGCAGAAGGACTTCCATCTTAGGTTACCACTCTGGGAAGACTGGCAGAGAGTGATATGGGCCTCAAACCCGTCACCCCTAAAACCCCCACAATACCACAAGCCTAAAACCCCTCAACCCCTAAAACCACGTGCTAAGACTCCCGAACCCTAGGCCCTAAACCAGTCTGAGACAACAGGGGTTCTCAGGATTGCGGGCCCCCAAAACCGAGACCTAGCCCAGCCCACAAAACTAAAACCCCAGGCCCCTGGCAACTACGGAAGCTGCGGTCTGTTCCAGAGTCAACATAATGCTCAACAACGCCATGGAGTTGTGTTGAAATACAGAATACAAAACTACTCCTGAAATTCTGGCACTAAAGAAAGCGCCCAAAAGGTTAATGGCTCTCTTGTAGGGGCTTCTACCCAAAGTATGTCTGAGCTGCATCCATCTCGGGGACTTTCACTTGCTTCCAGTCTCGCCTTGGATTGCACTGGATTTCGGACCGATGCTATGCAAGTTGTCGATCTCAAGAGTCCCCGAAATTATTCCTAAATTGGGCTCATATTGCCAAATAATCAGGGATATTCAAAAACTATCCCATATGGGAGTTTCCGAAAATTAGGGGTACCTTGTTGGGGGGTCCTTAGAATAAGGATCCTACTATTTAGGCTACTTTAAAACGGGTCCCCTATTTTTGGAAACTATCCCATATGTATACCTAGCATGACAACGAAGCCCTGGAGCGATGGTATCTGCTGGGCTTTCGAGCTTCCGCTGGGCCTTGAGCCTCCCTGAGGCCCCTTTGCCCCGAAGCTTCGAGTCCCAGCTGCTATCTCGAAGTCTAGCCTCTACTGTTTAGGGTTTAGGGTTTAGGGTTTAGGGTTTAGGGTCATCACCATCATCATCATCATCATGAACAACAACAGCGACAAAAGCATCATCAGCAACGACAAAAACGACGACCACAACGACAAGGACGAGGACGACGAGGACGACGAGGACGACGAGGACGAGGACGACGGCGACGGCAACAGGATTGATCACCTTAACCATCAAGATCGTGAGCAAATCGCACGAAGAAGAGCTGCTCCTAGCAACTGTAGTGATGTAAACTGATTGCCATCATTGGCGTTTTGGTGCTTCTCAACTTTATGCTCTTCTGATCATCGCCGATACTACTGCTTGCTCCTAAAGTATAACCGGAAGCCGCACTATAAGGCACCCCAAAACCCATTCTAGGTATTATTAAGGCCCTTACTTCAAGGTTCATGGGTAGTTATACATCGGTTTTAAAGCGGGATCGCCTTCGCTATAACCTACATTGGGGGACTTAGAACCCTACTGACTCTAAACTACCCACAGAATGATCCAAGGCGCGGTTTCCGGTCGGCCTCCAGGAATTTGGGACTCGTTATGCGCTCGAATCTCTCCTGCACTTGAGACGGGCTCCCGGTTCTAATTCTAATTAGAGGCTTCTGTTCAGGCTTCTGCAGGACTTTACAAGCGGCTGTACGAGGGTTCATGGGGTTTCATGCTTTAAGGTGTAAGAAATTGCATGTGCAGGGGCCATCGTCATTGCCGACACTGCGTTTTCTCCAGCTGCAGCACCCTTGGATCGGCATGGCCCAGCACGATGTCAGATCTACTGTGGCCAGCGAACTTCGCCAGTAGCAAGGCATCCGGACCCTCAAAGCTGCAGAGCTCGGGTAGCGTGGGATGAGCGAGCAAAGGATGATCCACCTGGGTGGTTATTAAAACTATGGTCCCTTTTTGGGTACCCTAGATATTAGGTGTCGTATTATTATAGGGACCCAAAAAGGGACGCTAATTTTGACAACCACCCACCTCCTCCACGGAACCTTTCTTGGGTAAGAAGACCCGATAGTCACCCTCTGGATCTTGATCCAGGCCGTTTTCCACGACCAAACCGTGGAAGACGAGGAATGCTCTAGCATGTGCTTCGTCCTGGAAGGCGAGAAGCCTCACCAACGCCGACAATTTCACCACATCCCCGATCGAGCGCGGGTACGCCCGACTGAGAATCCACAGCTGCCGCACCCTTGCCAGATCAGCCAGCTCAGCCAGGGCCACAGCAGAAAGAAAGTCTGCTCCTTTGTAGAAGCGCAGGAAGCCGACGTAGTCACCGGAAAGGAAAGCTGCACATGCAGCAATAGCAGAAACCAGCAAGGGATGCCGCAACACCGTGGCGCCCAGATCTGCAAGATGCGCAGGCAGCGTGGCCGGGGAACTTGCCAAGAGAAGTAGCACCACGAACCTTTGAATTGCAGGTTCGTTACGAAGCTCTGCATCAGCTCCCTGATAGCACCGGATCTCTCGATATGCAGCCAACAAGGGATCGATGGTCTGAGAGATTGCTTGCAATCCTAAGTGTCTGCTGTAGCCTCCTTGAGACGATCCCTTGCCAGGCTTGAGACGGGGAGACAGAAGAAAGAGCGCCAGCATCTCGAAGCGGAGACAATACTCGTGGCACTCCACGAACTCCTGCTCCGAACGCGTTTAGGGTTTAGGGTCTAGGGGTTTAGGGTTTAGGGTTTAGGGGTTTAGGGTTTAGGGTTTCGGGTTTAGGGTTTAGGGTTTAGGGTTTAGGGGTTTAGGGGTTTAGGGGTTTAGGGTTTTAGGGTTTAGGGGTTTAGGGTTTAGGGTTTAGGGGTTTAGGGGTTTAGGGGTTTAGGGTTTAGGGTTTAGGGGTTAGGGTTTCGGGTTTAGGGGTTTAGGGTTATCTGACTCACGTGAAAGGCCAGCAGGGTCTTAATCGCTCGGCCCACTGCAGCCGTGCGTCCAGGCTGCGTCCGCTGAGGGGCTGCTGCAGATGCAAGTCTTGCCGCACTGCCCTGCTCCGGTCGCGAAGATAAGCATAGACCTGCAGGGAGAGTGACGAAAGTCTTGCAGGCAACCACAGATGCAGAACGCCAGCAGAAGCGACATCGGCAGCAACAACAACAACGACGACACATCATTCCGGCAAAAGAGCCGAGTTTTCTTATCACATCTCACACTTACCAAACCTTGTTTTGTAACACCCACAACTCGGACAATTCTGCTCCGATTTCCAGGCAGGGGTCTTGGCAGCAGAGGAATATCTACCGCTTTGGGTTTGTCATGTATTCTGAGGTCCCTAGTCAGTGCATGCTCTTGAGGACTTTTTTGTCTTTTCTCGAGTTTAGGGTTTAGGGTTTAGGGCTTCACATTTAGGGTTTAGGGTTTTTGAACCATCTGAATCGTGCATCGGCCCACATGCAACTTTTGTCGTTGTGCGTCGCCCGACTTGCTGATTGATCTGGCCGTTGCAAGGCACATCTTTGACATGCCTCAATTGCAGAATTTGACAACTTGACATGTGATGTCTCAAATCCAAGTTGACCTACGCACCCGCTTTAATTTCAGTGGTTAAACTTAACAATCCTTGTTACTGCAAGTACCTCAAGATGAGAGCAGCAGCTTCTAAAACGATTCTGCACCTCCAACCCCTGATTGTGAGGTTCTCAAACCAATCCTTATACATAAAACTTGAACTCGCCAAAAGCCGGCGGCCCCGTGTTATGATCTATAGGTGTTTTCTCAGATACGTACATAAATACATAGATACATACAAAACTAACGTGCATACAAACGCACATACATGCTCCATGCAAGCAATCGCCAGCCGCAGAAATCCCCATCTTTGAGACATGCTTCAAAACGGCGAGTTCTGGAACAACTTCTGGTCCATGGCGCACCCGCGTGAGAAAACAAGCTTAAAATGCCTCGCATGCCCAGAGGACCTCGACTCTCCAGGATCCTCCGTTAAACCCTACCTGTAGCCGAAAGGGCCTACCTTTTTTAAGGTTCCTTATTATGGTTTCTATATATGTAGTTCCTTAAAAAGGTAGGTCTTTTCGGCTACAGGTAATCGCAAGATGAAAGTATCCTTGTGTTAGTAGCATGATATATAGATCTACATTTGGGTCCTGTTACTTTTTAAATTAAAGTATCGTATATCAGATGTAAGTAATTTAATACCTCTTGTATAATGTAAATAACCCCAATCTGGCGTAGAATCATAAACATTGCGACCGGAACAATCGCAACCATCAGAATGCAACAACGAGAACTGAGGGGTATGATCCTTTGCAAGCATTTTTCCGAGAACCCAAAACCACTCAGTATGCTTGCATGAATAACGAGAAGGCAAACCCTGTTTACATCCATCCCAAAGCATCTGCTATACAATGCCTCCGCGTCATGTCCCTGTTCTTTCCAGCTATCCTGCACGATACCCGATACCCCAAACGGTTCCAAACCCCTGCAAGCATGAAACCCTCAAGCCTTGCAATTCTTCACGGCTAAACCTCGACTTAGGCATCCGAAACCGATGGCTGTAAAGGGCCCTCTGGGAGACCCATGGCTGGCGTATGACGTTGGCACTGTTTCAATGGAAGCAAACTCTTGTGGCTTCGCAAGGCCAAGCGGCCAGCGCCATCACCTGCATCCCTGGGAAGATCCAGCAGGTGGAACAGTAGGGGTTTAGGATTTAGGGTTGTTTCGGAAGTCCTACTTTCTAGATCCTCCCAAGGCTGTGGGTACTGTATGCCCACAGCATTAGAACACACATGCCATGGTAGGCCCGATAGGCCCTGTAGCCGCTGCTGACTGATTGGGGATTCTCTCCGCCAGCATTGGATCCGCTGACGGTGGTGCCGTCTTGGCCGGTTGTGGTCTCATCTGAATCATCTCCGTCTGTGGTGGTGGTGGTCTGGTCATCCGAGTCATCTCCAGCGCCATCTTGGCTGGTGGTGATGTCACTTGTGCTGGTAGTGGAAGCGTCTGTGTCATCCACATCTACACTGCTGTCATCATCGATGCTCGAATAGCTCAGAAGAGGGTCATAGATGAGCACATCATCTGATGCGAAGTTGGCACGTGGGACCTCCAGCACCAACGTTGTTGTTCGCTGGGTGGCTCCCTGTGTGCTCGGAGGCGGATCGATTGTGAGAGTGGGGTTCTTTGGCAATGTGAGCTGCGTGATGGTACCGTCTTGAGATTGGATCATATAGGTGTTGAGCACGGACAGGAACACACCACCCAGATCCTCAACGGCACCGTTCTCGCAAGAGCCACCTGTGCAATCCGGAAGACTCCTTGACGAATTTGTCGAGGAATCGCCTGAGTCGTCAGGGTCATCTGAATCGGCCTCCACGACTACCTGGTTGATCATCTCGATCGTCAAGCGAACGGCATCACCTACTCCGTTTGAAGATTTGCAGTTGCCGGCACACCAATTCCACTGGCTCATCTTCACGTTGAACTTCACCGTTCCTTCGGCGACCGCAGGATAAATGAATGAACCATCCGGATTTTGGAACTTCAGGATGGCATTCTCCATAAAGATGATCGTTTCAATCTCAAGCTTCGAGTCTGTTGCTGGGTCTCCGCTCCCGAGGTAGCTTGTGAAGGACACCGTGGTTACGTTGTAGTCTCTTGTGAGGTATCCTCCGTTTGGGCTATCTGGGACGAGACCGTTGGCTGCAGCAACGTCTCTCTCCACTCCTGTAATGGTCTTTGCCTGAGGAGTGCCGAATGTAAATGACTGTGTGGCAAAGCTGTTGAAGGAGTGCTTTGCAGATCCGCCACGACCCACCACTGTGCCGTCGGCTGCAAGCTCTTCCAGGCTCGCCATTTGAATCTGCACCCGATCTGCTGCCGATCCTATAGGCTCTGACGTGGCAAAAGTCATCTTGCCACTTTGGCCCTGAATCTTCATGAAGATTCCGCCGCCACTGATACCCTGATCACCATGCACAAGAATGAAAGCTGCAGCAAGGTAGAGCTGCAGGCTTGCAATCATTACGCTCCCCACTTATTGGCTTCCGGCACAGGAACTTCAACCAACGCCAGTTTCGAGCACTACAGGCCTGGGCCAAATGCTTCAAATAGGACGTGATAACTCATCGGTGATTGTAAATCTAGCAACACCCTGCCGTGCATGCCAGGGACAAGTATTGGGATGCCTCGCGAGGGTGTTGGGTGTGCGAAGGCCTAGTACATCAATGCAGCACAAAGGACGTTAGGCCTCCATGTGTTGCCAATGTCTCAACAGCACCATTGCTGCCTGCCATCACAACCATTATCACCACGGCACAATGAATATCAGCATTGAACCTCTTTCTCTCATGTCAGGGCATCTAGCAGTACTAGCGACGCTGAAGGCTTTCGGCATCGCACGCAAGTGACGGGTTTCGGCACGGACAGTCCTGATATCGAGCCCTTAATGATTAGGATAGGATTTTGGGCCCATATACTATAGTTGTAATAAGGAACCCCACAAGTAGTATAGGCCGCTGTAGTACGCCAACCACGGCCTGCTCCAGGGACGGAGTCACGACAAAAGGCGTTTCAGGAGCGACGTCCGCCGACAGGACCTGGCATTCCACTTGCCCGATAATTGGCTGAATCACCGCATGGTTCGTTGCTTTGGGCACCTCGGGGGACTCCTTCTGCGCGGCTTGAGTCGGAATGTGGTCTCTAAGGTTGAGGACGAACGAAGTACGCTTTGACATCCTCGGAGCAGCGAGTGCTGCCGAACACTCCACCGTTAACTATGATTGACTACCAGGAGTGGTGCTACAAACAGTAAGAGGCGGAGTTGCAGTAACACTAATCGTCGTTGGTCGTCGTCATAATGGTGGATTAATCACCGTGTTCACGGTGGCACCGGTCGTTATCGTTATCATCGTCACCACCATGCTATGCTTGTCATTGCTATTACTAGTTGTGGTATCGTTGTCGTTGCATTCTTCTTTTGCATATTCTTCCATATTGTTCTTGTTATTCTTCTCCGTCTCTCTGTCTTTCTCTCTCTCTCTCTCTCTCTCTCTCTCTCTTTTGTCTCTGTCTCTCACTGATCACCACGGCCCGAGGGCATCGGAAACGAAGGGCAGCCAGCACGCTCCGTTGTCCGGCTCGAAGCACATGGAGCTTACAATCACATGGGTGGTTGTCAAAATTATGGTCCCTTTTGGGGTACCCTTGATATTAGGTGCCGTATTATAATAGGGACCCAAAAAGGGACTATAATTTTGACAACCACCCATCTGGGCCGTAATAAATACCTATACTATTTTGGGGAGTTCCTTGTTGTAGTTATAGTACAATGGGCCCCAAAACCCTATTCTACTTATTAAGGCCCGTACATCCCACATGGAGTACGCCTTTGACTACTGGAAATCATCTTCGGCTTCCTCAGGAACCCTGAAGCGCCGCGACCTGTGTCATGAGGAAGAGCATGGTCCGGGTGCATGCCTCCAGGGCCGATGGGTTTAGGGTTTAGGGTTTAGGGTTTAGGTTTTTTTTTAAGGGCTCCTTTTCGATCTGCAGAGTGGGTTTAGGTTTTAGGGCTTAGGGTTTAGGGATAGGGGGCGATAGAAGCCCCATGTTCGGCGGAACCGGGGAGAGCGGCAGAATGAACGGGACTGGACTTGTTCCTCCGCACATTGATTGCTGCAATGTGTAGTAATACTCGTGTTATTACTGTATTGCTATTATCAGTATTGTTGGTATTGCTTTCATCATTATATTTCTTATATTATTACTACAACTATCAGTGTTATTATTGTAACATCTGTATTCTTAACATGTATAGAAGTATTTCTAGAATTATTCCTCTGCAATGGTCCATGGGAATTCAAGGCTTCCGGGCCGAGGTTTCGGAGCTTCGGAGTTTTCTGCATCTGTGTAGCACTACTTACTTTCATAGGGATCCTTAGGGGTGTACGGGGAGGGGGGGTAGGGGGCCTTAAGGCCCATAATAAGGACTAATAAGGCCTATTTAAGGAAATATAGTCCCCTACACCCCTCCCCCCTACACCCCTAAGGATCCCTATGATACTTACTACAGATGGGCGGTTGTCAAAATCATGGTCCTTTTTGGGTCCCTATTACAATACGGCACCTATGATTTAGGGTACCCAAAAAAAGACCCTATTTTTGACAACCACCCATATGAATCCTGCATGACCCATAATAAGGAGTATACCATAATTCCCTTAGTGTAGGGTTCTTAAGGTAATGCACGATTTATATCATCAGCCGTGGTACCGGACCCCGGGATCCGTCAAGTTGATTAGAGTTGCGCTTAGGGTTTAGGGATTAGGGCTTTTTTGTTTTTAAGCACCTTTTTCTGAGACTGTCTGCTGCTGCGAATCCCCGTGGGGAAGGCGATCAGGGTTTAGGATTTGCGTTCCAGCTGCTTCCCTAAGTCCGGTATCAATGCCTCAGGTCAGTCCAGAGAGAAATCACATGTAGCAGAGCGCTACCTACATGCAACCTACTCTAGCTCTTGGCACAGAAAAGTAAGCTGCTCGGCTGCCCCGACTATGATAAATAGCTATCGTCGCTACTACACAGCAAGTACTCCTACCTAAAGCACAAAGTGCCTGCAGGCTGCGGACCTCTTCCGCAGCAAAGACCTGGAGATCAGCATGTAAGCGCTTGAGGCATTCAGGATTTGGGGCTTCGGGGATAGAAGATGTGCATTTGGGTCTACATTTCGTCGTCGGTTTGGGTTCTCGAGGATTAAGGATTTACATTGCTCCACATTGAATCTCCCTAAACCAAACCTGAACCACACGAAAGTTCGCTGACTTCCATTACATCATATTACTCTTAGTACAATTGTTATTATTACTATTACTAGTATTGTCATTATGTTAACATTGTGATTAGATTTCGGTGCCTTGGTGCTTATGGCTTCCTTGCTTTCGGGTCTGGGGCTGAGGGGTTCAAGAGGTGTCGTGTCTAGGGCTTGGGGTTTAGACTTTAGCGTTTAGGGCTTAGAGTTTAAGGTGCAGGGCTTTGGGTTCAGAGTTTAGTGGGTTTAGGGTTAAGGGCTTCGGGTTTAGAGTTTTCTCTGGCTTAGAGCCTTGGGGCTTCTTTTTAGGTTGACGGTGGCCGGACCCCGACACCCAACAACGCCTAGGCCATGCAGGGTTTAGGGGTTTAGGGTTTAGGGTTTAGGGGTTTTGGGGTTTAGGGGTTTAGGGTTTTGGGGTTTAGGGGCTTAGGGTTCAGGGCAGTAGCCAGCCTTGCCAGCAGCGCTTCGCTGGTACCTGGAGACATCAACAAAGTGGGCCAAGGGCCTGTGGACTGGCTCTGCGGTACCAGTGTCCTATCGATGTTATCAGCCTCATTCCGGTGGTGATGATGATGATGATGATGATAGCGACGATGATGGTGATGATGATGACGGCGAATGATGATGAAGAAGATGAACAGGAGGAGGAGGAGGAGGAGGAGGAGGAGGAGGAGGAGGGGGATTGTGATGGCGATGGCGACGGCAGTGGGATGGCGACGGTGATGACGGTGATGATGGTGATGGTGGTGAAGACGGTGATGATAGTGGTGCTGATATTGACGCTGTTGGTGGATAATCATGATGACGACGATAACGATGACGACAATGAGGATGATGATGTTGATGATGAAAGATGGTGTTGTTGATGATGATGATGGTGATGATGATGATGATGATGATGATGATGATGAAGAAGAAGAAGATGATGATGATGATGATGATGATAGTGGTGGTGGTGATAATGATGATGACCATCGTGATGATGATGTTGATGACGATGACCATGATGATGAGGAGGAGGATCAAGATGAGGAGGAGGGGGATGATGAGGAGGAGGCAGGAGGAGGAGGATGAGGACGAGGACGAAGGTGGTGATGGTGGTGATGGTGGTGGTGGTGGTGGTGGTGGTGGTGGTGGTGGTGGTGGTGGTGGTGGCCGTGGTGGTGGTGGGCTGCTGCAGCACCACCCTCTGCTCAGCTATCAGAGCGGCTTTATCGAAGATCATCGAAGGCAACAGACTGGACAAGGACACTTCCGGGGTCACAGATCGACACAGAGACATAAGGATCCCTAAAATCAAGGGTGCCTGGAATCGTCCTGACAAGGACCCCTCTACTCAGAAGGTAGAATCCTTGCGTGCTGTCCTGGGCCCCCAACTTCTTTGTGGTCAGAAGTTTGTCAGCCTTCGGTGCCCGCGGCTCGCTGCCCGCCAACCACCTGAGATCGGACGGTGCGATCCGCGGGTCTTTAGGGTTTAGGGTTTAGGGTTTTGAGATGAGGATTTAGGGTCCAGGGTTTAGGGCTTGGAGAAGGTGAGGTTTAGGCATTGGGGCATTGCGTGTATAGGGTTTTGGGGTTTGTGATGCATGCAGAGCTTGAGGGTTCTGAGACGTGGCTTTCAGGATCTTGGGCCAGGATCAGGGGAAAGAGTGCCTACTTCACATGTGCAATGCCGCAGCACTTATTGGAAAGTCGAAATAGGATGCCTATGAGCCGAGACAAGATCTGTGTAACACCTTGGACTTTGCTTACTTGGAGGTTCATGGGTAGTTATAAATGGGGTTATAAGTCCCATAATATTCGTTATAACTACAGTTATCCTACTTATAACCCTACTGACAACTACCCATGAACCTCCAAGTAATTGTGTCTACTCGATCTTGGATGCATCCGTTTCCTACCTCTCACGCTCTTCGCAATGCTGTTGTTCTATTTACTCGCCCCGTCTTGCCAACGGATCGTCCTTGGCACCACTGACATAAGCTGATCCTCTGTCGCTTTGCGAGTCTCCCTGGTAGCTCATACCCGCGAACTTCTTAAGAAGCCTGCAAGGCGACCCTTGCGACTCGCACATCTACCACCACCCCTACATGACTGATTGTCGCATCATGGGTAGTTGTAAGTGGGCTTGTAGATAGGATGGCTATAGTTCTAACCCATGTTAGGGGACTTATAACCCCACCCACAACTACCCAAAAACCTCCAAGTAGACCCTAAACCCTATACCCTTATAGAATCCCTATAGATCCCTTTAAAGGGACCCTTAACGGAACCCAAAACCCCTAAACCCTACCCATAAACCTCCAACCAAATGTGGACCATCCCCTGAGAGAGAAACCTGCGGACCCTAACCCAGAGAGCCCAATATCCCTCAATTAAGGAATACCTAGGGTTCCTCTAAGGGATCTATAAGGGATCTACAGGCTTAGGGTTTATGTAAGGAGTATGGCTTCAATTATGTAGGGCTGCATATTATGATCTAAGCTATATTCCTTAAATTAAGGGGTATTGGGCTCTCTGGGAAACCGTAAATTCTGAACGCTGGACCTTCCAAGCCAGAATCCTGCACTCCCCTGAGAGGGGCTTCGAGCTCAGGCTTTCGAGCTCCAGAGGTCATAGGGCTATTTCTTTCAAAGGCGAAAAGGAGGGACCCTTAATGGGGACCCCTGCCCTATAATGGGTTTAGGGTTTAGGGTTTAGGGCTTAGATTATTGGTCATAGGACTCTAGGGCTATGTTTGGTATAGGGTTCTCTGGATTTACAACTTTTGGGCTATAGGGTTGTCGATTTAGTGTCTAATATCTGGGCCTGAATAATCAGAATCGGGTTTTGAGGTATTTGAGGTATATTATACTAGAACCCTAACAAGGAACCCCTGAAACAGTTTAGAAACTGACAGAAGCCCCTCTACTAAACCCCTATAATACCCCTTTGTAGAAACCCTTATAGACCCCATGAACAGGAACCCTCAAATTAACCCTATTCTCATTATTGTGTAGTAGGGAGTAGGATCCCCGAACTACCGCGGCCCAGCAGCTCGAGTGGGTCCAGCAGCCTCTCGGCCTCTCGCTGCCGCAGCTCCTCCTCCGAGCACATCTCCTCGAGGCGGGTCGGCCTTGGTGGGCCATTACAGAATAGGCCTCTCTTAAGGGTTCCTTTTAAAGGGTTCCTTAGAATAGGGCCCTCTTAAGGGTTCCTTTTAAAGGGTTCCTTCGAATAGGGCCCTCTTAAGGGTGCCTTTTAAAGGGTTCCTTAGAGTAGGGCTCTCTTAAGGGCTCCTTCAAGGGTTATTACAAGGGTTGAGTATAGGGGCCTTAATGATTAGCATGGAATAGGGTTTTGAAGCCAATTGAACCAAAGTTCTAAGAAGGAAGCCCCCAAATACGGTTGATGATATAAATCCTGCACAACCTTAAGGACCCGAAACTATGGTAATTATGGTACATTCCTTACTATGGGTAATGCAGGATTTATATCATCAACCGTAGTATAGGTAGGTATTAATCTCCTCAGGGGGGGGTCGGCCGATGGCTCTTTTGTGGGGGCCCTTGGGGCTTTAGGGTTTAGGCTTGGGGTTAGGGCTTAGGGCTTAGGGTTTAGGGTATAGGGTTCGGTGCTTGCTGCAAGGTTTCTGTCAGGTCTCTTTGCAATTTCCGTTTCGGGTTTAGGGGTCTTTAATACGGGTTTAGAGATTTGTGCAAGGGTTCAACAAGGATTTTTGATGGTTCCTGCAAGGGTGTTGGTGTTTGCATGCTTCCGTGTTTAGAGGCTTGGATTCAGCGGAGCTATGAGCTTACATAAGAGCTTGCAGGATCTTCCAGGTTCTGGAGCTTTGTCGACACCCATCCTGACAACGAAAACTCAATCCCTCAACACCCTCATGAGAAAACCGGAGCAGGCTTGACCCTGCTGTTCAAACCCAAAAAAACCTACAAAATCCTACAACAACAGCCACCTTTCAAGGACCCCTCAGCCCTACACCCCTTCTGAAGCCCGGCAACACCCTGCAGACTTACCTTTGGTTAGTAGTGAATGGAAGAATAGTAGTAATAGTAGTTATTATGGTACCCCATTCCTCCATGCCCTACTAACCAAAGGTAAGCAGAGCGCTTTAAACTGCAGTCCTCCACGCGACCAACCAGGGTCATGGTCAAGGGGATGGAGGAGTCTCACCGACCATGCGCGGAGAAGGGCAGCTAAAGGGGGTAGGGTTTAGGTGTTTTTTTCCGTCTTGCAAGAATCCGGAACATCAGTTTAGGGTTAAGGGTCTAGGGTTCAGGGTTTAAGGGTAGCGAGTGGAGTTAGGGCTGAGGGTCCAAAGGTTTGGATTTTAGGTTCTAAGTAAGTTTGGGGTTTGCTGAAGATATGTGGGAGTTTCCGAAAATTAGGGATACCTTTGTGGGCTCCTTATAATACGGATCCTATTATTTAGGGTGCTATATTAGTGGCCCCTATTTTCGGAAACTCCCATGTATGCGCGTACACCTAGCTGGCGAGAGATGGCTCTGCTACGCTGTGCTTTGCATCAGGGGTTGAGACTCTGGCACCGAGGCCCTGTCTTCGGATGCCGGGGCCTCCCTACCCTAAACCCTAAACCCTTAACCCTAAACTCGTGCCCTGGTTTTGGGGCTTCGAATTTCGGGTTTGGGGCCTTTGAAGGTCTAAGGCGTACATACGGGTTTGGGCCTTTCAAGGTTGTGAGATTTGGGGTTGAGGCTTTCCTGATCTTAAGCCTCGGGCGTTTTGCTCTTGAGCAAAACGCTGCGAAGAGGAGTCGATGGGCAAACTTCCGATTACCTCGATATGCTCCGGATTGTTTCAGGCTATTGAGCAGATTTAAAGATAATCTATAATATAGACATATACAGTCTATAATCCATAGTCGGTTTATCTGTTATCTGTTACATATGCGTAGTTGTCAAAATTAAGGTCCTTTTTTGGGTACCCTAAATAATAGGTGCCGTACTATAGTAGGGACCCAAACAAGGGACCCTAATTTTGACAACCACCCATATACTAATACATAGTCATGTCCAATCCGGACGGAGGGCGGGGAATCCGTATTATTCATAGGAGCCTTCGTCCCATCGCAGCAGAGACGAGCCCACATCATGCTCGAAGCTTCCCCACTAAGCAATTCTAAATTCAGGGTTTCGGGTTTAGGGGTTTAGGGTTTAGGGCTTTCGGCGTTTGGGGTTTAGGGGTTTGCGAATTCTAGACTCTAGACCCTTTGTTCACACCAAACTCTCTTGCACCCTAAAGCCCTGAAGCCTAGCCTCCTCCTGAAGCCCTGAAGCCTCGACGCATAAACCCTGAATCCTAAACCCCTAAACCGCCTAAAGCCTAAACCCTAAACCGCCTAAAGCCTAAACCCTAAACCCCTAAACCCTAAACCCCTAAACCCTAAACCTCAAGGCTGATTATCAACCAGTCGAGTCTCCAAGCCCAGACAACGGCTCAATACTCCGAAAACTGAGTGAAAGTTCTGTACCCAAACCCTAAAAACCCCTAAAAACCCCAAAACCCCCAAACCCTACTAATCCTACAACCCTAAATCCCACAAGTCTAAACCCTCAACTCCTAAACCCCCTTAAAGTAGGGAATGGAGGAATGGGGTACAGTTATAACTACTATTACTACCATTCTTCCATTCCCTACTAACCAAAGGTAGGATTGTAGAACCCTCATGCAAAGCCTATTGAGCCCTTACAACACTTTTTAAAAACCTTTTCCAAACTGAGAGACACCTCATACTAACCAAAGGTAAGAAAAAGGCTTGCTCCTTCATCGCCACCGCGCGCTGGTGCTCCGAAAGATGGGGATCTCTTCCCGCACCCTGGGGTTTAGAGTTTAGGGGGTTTAGGGTTTAGGGGGTTTAGGGTTTGGGGGTTTAGGGTTTAGGTGTTTAGGGTTTGGGGGTTTAGGGTTTAGGGGGTTTAGGGTTTAGGAGTTTGGGGTTTAGGGGGTTTAGGGGGTTTAGGGGGTTTAGGGGTTTGGGGTTTAGGGTTTAGGGTTTTAGGGCTTAAGGGGTTTAGGGTTTAGGGCGAGATCTTTTTAGCTCGTGGACAAGTCAGTGCATGTTTCCTGCGGATGGTCTTCGCAGTTGTAGTTTCGGGTTTAAAACTTAGAAGAATCAGCAGTCGGAGGCTGGCTTCTACTCGGCTGCTAATTGCAGCTGCTCGACTTTATGCTTGATGTGCGAACGCGTGTAAGTTGCCAAGGGGATTCGAGAACTCGCATGGGTCATGGCGGCTTTCTGTTTGGCCTTCGTGGGAAGTGACGGCCGTTTACTGCGACAGGATGCGTAGTCCGTACTGTTTGTTTGTTGTTTACGAAACTGCTCGCAAACTCTCGTGGCACTACCTGTCAATCCGTCATGTCAAGCACTGTCCCCTAAACCCTGAACCCTCCGAGTGTCCCTTCTATAAAGGCCTTAATGATTGGAAATGGGATTTGGGTACCCCTTAGAAGCTGCCCCCACCCTGTAATAGTGAGTATAAGGATTATATTAGGGCCCTATTATATTCCTATTATACCACTATTACAGGGTGGGGGCCCCATCTAAGGCACCCCCCTTAAAATCCTAAACCCTAAACCCCAAAGCCAGTCGAAGGCTCGACCCCAAAACCCCAGACCGTGGCACACCTGCTAACCAAGGGGGCCTTGATAATTACCGACACTATTGTGGGATAATGACCGTATAACGGACCCCAAAACCGTATTCTAACTATTAAGGCCCCAAGTACCCTTATCGTAGCCCTTAGAGTAACCCTTATAGACCCCTTCATAAGAACCCTTTACAGGAACCCTATTCTAATTATTAAGGACCCCACATTTTGCCCTGCGCCCCACGCCTCTCGGCTCATGCCAGTCCGAAAACGGGGCTTCTCTGCGGCCTCCGGTCTTTGGGGTTCATCGACGTCTTTAAACGGTTGTCATAGAAGTCGTCGTCGTAACATATTGGTGATAGCCATAGCCACCACATCATCATGACCGCCAGTGAAACATCATCATCTTGATAAAAACTCGTGATGTTGATGTGAACGTCTGATTAATACTACGGCACCAACACGAAAAACAAGAAATGTTATTGCTACTGCTGTGGCTGTCCCTAACTTGAGCGTCAGATCAAAGCACACCTAGACTAAACTAGTAGTCCTTGATAGAAGGTCCCCGAATCTTGGGCAACCCGTTTGCAACCCGTTCAAAAACCGTGTCAAATTCCGATATGCCACTATACACCCCCATGGCACCCTTGTAAATTTGCAACCCCTGTGAACCCAAAAAAACCATGGACAGCCGCTTAAACCTGCAGGCAATGAAAACGTATCCAACATTGGGCTGAGGGGTTCCGGAGCGCTAACATCATCGAATCCCGCATTGCCTCTCCACGGACTTCGGCATCCTGCACAGTGCGGTTCTGGGAATAAGAGGTTCTGTCGGGCCGTGTGAGCTTCCGTACGGGTTACAGTATGGGTTACTAATACGGGTTTGCAACGGATTGCGGGCTGGAGCGCGTAGTAGTAGTAGTAGTAGTAGTAGTAGTAGTAGTAGTAGTAGTAGTAGTAGTAGTAGTAGCAGGAGTAGGAGTAGGAGTAGGAGTAGGAGTAGGAGTAGGAGTAGGAGTAGGAGTAGGAGTAGGAGTAGGAGTAGGAGTAGGAGTAGGAGTAGCAGTAGGAGTAGGAGTAGGAGTAGGAGTAGGAGTAGGAGTAGGAGTAGGAGTAGGAGTAGGAGCAGGAGCAGGAGCAGGAGCAGGAGCAGGAGCAGGAGCAGGAGCAGGAACAGGAGCAGGAGCAGGAGGAGGAGTAGGAGTAGGAGTAGGAGTCGGAGTAGGAGTAGGAGTAGGAGTAGTAGTAGTAGTAGCAGTAGTAGTAGTAGTAGTAGTAGTAGTAGTAGTAGTAGTAGTAATAGTAGTAGTAGTGGTAGTAGCAGCAGCAGCGGGAGGATTAGGACTAGTACCAGTACTACGGTTGATGATATAAATCCTGCATTACCTTAAGGATCCTAAACTATGGGAATTATGGTATATTCCTTATTATGGGTCATGCAGGATTTATATCATCAACCGTAGTACTAGTACTCGTACTGGTAGTGGTAGGGGTAGTGGTAAAACCGCAGGAGTGGCGGTAGGAGTGGGAGTGGGAGTAGGATTTCAGTAGCAGTAGCAGTAGCAATAACAGTAGCTGTGGTAGCGGTCGTCGTCCCTCAGCTCTAAAGTCTCCAGGCTACAAGAGCGACCCATGCTGAAAGCCGAAACACACTTTCCAAGGCCTTGCTTCCAAAGAGCGTAAGGTGACCCAGACCCTTTCAAGAATCCGAAAAGTTTCCTTAACAAAATACACGATAGCTTCAGGTAGGACTTTGGCAGAGGTATGTGGGTGGTTGTCAAAATGATGGTCCCTTTCTGGGTACCCTAAATAATAGGTGCCGTATTATAATAGGGACCCAAAAAGGGACCCTAATTTTGACAATCACCCATGTATCTGTGTGGGTACAAGACCCCGATTCCTGTCCTGGAGACGACTGAGCGTCTGAAGACGTCGCGTCTTCATTTCCTTCCACAGGGGCATCTGAGGCTTGGAGTTAAGGGTTCAGAGTTTAGGGCTCCGATCGTGAGAGTTTAGAACTTAGAGGGATGAAAGCTTTTGCGACTTCCTTTTCTTGTTATGGCTTGGCTTACGATGTGGGCTTAAGGTTTAGGCTGCAGGGTTTGCGTTTCCTAAGGTGAAAGTTTGGGCTCTCAGGCACATGCAGCCTGGGAGGGATAGCTTCTCGTGAGCCTTGGTGTGTGCAGGCTTTGGCTTAGAAGGCCTTGCGCTTTGACCTGATTATGACCCCTCTTGTTCAAGGGGCTGAAATTCGGATTCGGAAGGTTATCCATTTAAATTCAATCGACTTCATTATGGCTTGGACGACTTACGGTCTTCAGCGGATGCTCGATCAACGACCCTCTGCCACGCTAGGCATGGTTATGGGGCATGCTATACTACAGGAATCTTCTTAGTAGATACTGTGATCTCTATGTACCTTATTTTACTGGCTCGATCAAAGCCTTACTTGCCACCCTATGGCCAAGTGCACTCGATTTGGACTTCAGAACCCATGCCCCATGACTCACATCCCCTCTAACCTCACCCCCCCTCAACCACTAAGCCCTAAACCCTCCCGAACTTTCCGAAACCCCCTAAACCCCATAAACCCAAAGCCTAAACCCTAGAAGGGAAGCTGGAGTTTCAGGTTTAGGGTGTAGAGTGTAGGGGTGTCAAGGCCGAAAAAGATCAGCTCGGAGATTCAGGTCTCAGTAGTTGAGCGGCTAGCATGAACTACTGCCCCGAACCCAAAAAGCCAATGTGGGAGCCTTGATAATCGTAGGAGGGCTTCGGGGTATAGTACAATATGACGTAGCCGGACCAAAGGGGGAACAGTATTGCTATGTACGCCGAGCCCTATGTTAAACTTTGAATGACGGAAACCGGTACACCTGGAACATCCGTAAACCACGGGGCGAGAGTTTAGCAATTCACGACTGCAGCGACCAAAATCAAGCCTGAACCTCAAAACCTCCCACCCGAGGATTTTGGGCTTGGGCGCTGAGAGGCAACGGTGGATACGGCTGATGGACAAAATCCTGCATTACCCATTATAAGGATTATACCATAGTTCCAATAGTTTAGAGTCCTTAGGGTCATGCAGGATATTGTCCATCAGCAGTACGGTAGGGAATTTTCGGAACCCTCCGATCTGGTGAGTCTGACGCGCTATGCAGGCCCCTTTGCCTACTGGACGCGTGTCTTGGCATATATTGCTGGCAGTAGCTACTTCTGCTTAGGTAGGCAATTGTGTGGTTTGTGCTTACAGCTGTTCTTACTGGTCTTCCTGTTCAAATCACTTTTTACGACTGTATTGCTGTTCTGCTTGTAATACTATTACTATGAGTGCTCTCTCTTGCACCGTTGCCACTCTTCTTACTTGGACTACTACTGGTTCTGTTTGTGTTCTGCAAAATGTCACCGCCGCAGTTCCCCTAGAACCAAGGAAATGCCAAATTCTTTACGTCGTGAGCTGCGCAAGGAAGGTGGGCTTGTACACAGGTCTGAATGTCTAATCATCATATCTCCCTACGCAGCAACACTACAACATGTCCCAAAACTGTTTTCCAATTATTCAGGAAAGTATGTACGTGACTGAATTCATATATGTGCCGGTGTACATTTACACCTACATCTGTATATACATAATTAAATATATGTATATACATAAATACATACATACCTACGTAGATACAATCATAATTACATACATACATACATACATACATATGTATATGTAACTCTCTCTTTTTGAACGGATCTACCTACCTACCTACCTACCCAGCTATCTGTCTATCCATCTGCCTATCTGTCTGTGTGTATGTATATACATGCCTATGTATATATATATATATATATATATATATATATGTCGGACTTATACCGCAGCATAAGGTCAAGGATACTACTGAAATTGCTAAATTACTACAAGCTAAATTACTACAAATGGCACAACCGCTCTGTCTAAACCACTGGCCTCCGTCCGCTCAAGGTGCCTCCTGAGCTTGGCCTCCATTACTGGGAGGTTCATGGGCAGTTATAAGTGGGGCTATAAGTCCCCAAATATGGGTTTTAAGTATAGTTATCCTACTCATAACCCTGCTTATAACTACCCATGAACCTCCAAGTAGCAACTAAAACCTATACCCTGATAGAACTCCTATAGATCCCTTTAAAGGGACCCTTAAAGGAACCCTTATAACTACCCATGAACCTCCAAGTAGAGTTAAGGCTGGGCTCAAGGACTTCCCTCATGTAAAGGCGTTAATAATTAGAATAGGGTTCCTTTAAAGGGTTCTTATAAACGGGTCTCTAAGGGTTACTATAAGGACTACAATAAGGGTACTGCAATAAAGGGGCCTTAATAATCAGAAGAGGGTTTTGGGGGCTCCTTAGTACAATTATAGTATAATGTACCCCTACCCTATTCTAGTTAAGAAGGCCCCTACATTACATCCTGCATGCTGGATGCGTATGACACTGAGCCACGCTCCAAAGTCTACTTCGCAGGAGTTCGAGTTTGACGATTTGGCGGCTTAAGCTATCGCTCTGGGGCTTCCTTACGAGACTTCTGGGAGTCGAGTTCAGAATTCAGGGATCGTGTGGTCTGGAGCCTCGGGTGTACGGCTGTCGGATTTTCTGCAGGGCTTCGGGTTTGAGGCTTAGGATCCCTGGAGGCAGTACGATTCTAGGCGTGAACCACCTGACTGCCATGTGGTATAAAAATGGTGTTAACCTACTAAAGATAACTTTGACAACAATGATGATAATTTCAAGACAGTAACTGCAGCATCAGTACTAGTGAGAGCCAAACCATACTCATCTCTATTACAATGAGCATCATCCTTATCGGCAGCACGATCACCATCACTTTAACTATGCTTTCCACACGGGAACGGCATGGAACCGTAAACTTGCCATTGGCCGCATACCGGCAATTCGGAAGAGCGGAAGCTCGAAATATCCACGGCTTACGGTCGAAGCCCAAAAGCCCTGAGGCCTGATACCTCCTCAGCAGAAAAACAAACATACCCAAACAAATCCTGCACTACGTATTGTAGGGGAGGTCAGCAGGTTGCAACGGGCATGCCGGCAGCGTAGCGACAGAGGGCGGGGAGGCTCCCTCCAAACCCATCTTGCTGCCGCCGGTATTTCCGCACGCGAAGGTAAACCCAAAATGATACTTGAAGTTCATGGGTAGTTATACGTTGGGTTATAAGTCCCTAATATGGGTTATAACAATTTTTATCCTATGTTATCCTGCTTACAACCCTACTTATAACTGCACATGATGGACCCCTGATGCTGCGAAACCCCTATAACAATAGCACTGACTCCATTGGGGAGCCAAGCCCCAACATGAACGGTAGAAGATCATGCTTCTAACACCCCAGCTAGGCCGAATTACTAATCCCACATACACTAATCCGCCCAAGTGCCACATGAGTGTGAAACGCTGAGCAGCTCTGCTGCTTGACGCTTCGTCAAGAGACACACAGCAAGGGCCATTTTGGCGCTTCTTGCTATACTTATCATATAATATACCCCAAGGCTCTGTTCTCATGATTAAGGCCCTAAAGTACCCTCATAGATCCATTAAAGTAACCCTAATCGTTCAGGTTTCGATGTTATTCGGAGACCCGAAGCAAGTTTCGGACCTCCCCGACCCGAAGAAGTTACGCGCTTCCCTATATCAACCCTAAACTCTAAACCCTAAACCGAAACCACGGGCTCTTCCGGTGCCTTCTGCTGGGCGATGACCTTCAACCTCATGGCAAGAAGGCTTCTTTCCAGCATTGGGCCTTGAAGATTTGACCCGAAGCCCTGCACCACGGAGCTCAGAGACCCGGAGTCCGGGTTTAGGGTTTAGGGTTTGGGGGTTTAGTGTCAATCCCAGATTGCACAGGTGACGCCGCTCGCGCAGGCACACGAGTCTGGCTCGATGAAAAGAGCCGAGGTCCGGAAGGGAGGGTTTGGTTTGTGTTTCGGTCGGGGTTTGCGTCTTTGGTTCAACATTGGTAGCGGAGCTCGGGCCGCGGTCCCGGGCGTTAGTGGTTGGTCTTATCGGTCGAGTGGTCTTTTGGTTGTTCGGGGGTGTTTTCTGTAAGCTTCGGACCTTAGTTTCTCCGACCTGTGTGCAATGGCGATGGCAGATGTTCTGCCTGCGGGGGAAAGCGGCGAGCAGACGGCGGTCGATGAAGCCGTTCCAGGAGCGCAAACGGCTCCGGCGGACCCATGGGGCCAAGCGGGCCAAGACCCCTGGGGGGGATCTTGGAGTGCTGGGGATGGGCCGACAACGACCCAATCCGGAGCGAACGAAACGGAAATGTGGAACGACTCGACTGACGCAGCTGCCAATCTGTGGGATTGGTCTGGCCGCAGCTCTGAGTGGCGCAGCAACTGGGACTGGGAGTGGCGACGGTCTCAGCAAGATAGTCGATCAAGAAGCTGGTGGGAAGAAGACCGTTCCCACGACAACGGGAGTTCGACTACTACGGCGGGTGATGGCTCGTGGCAGGCCGATGCAGATCGCGGCCGACAGACTCCGGAGACCTGGGATTCTACGTGGGACTCAGCACGTGACGCCAGATATGATGGGAGCGCACATCGCGACTCCCGTTGGGGCTCTGGCAAAGACGAGTGGGATGCTCAGTACCGGGAGTTCGATCGTCGCGGAGCTCCTACAGAGAAGATGGCAGTCCCGGGTTTTTCTGCGGACGCCCTGGGCGAAGAGCTCGGGACCTCAGCTCGGAGCTACTTGAGACAGATCGATGTGTGGTGCAAGGTCACGAGGACACCTCCTGACCAACGGGCGCTGATGTTGTATCAGCATCTCTCAGGCCGCGCCTGGGTCGAGGCAGAGGAGCTCAATGTGGAGACTCTCTGTAGTGAAGAAGGCGTTGAGACCTTCCGCCGCTGGATTCAAGACCGTTACCAGGAGGTGGAGGTGTCGAAGATCGCTGAGGCCCTGACTTTCTTCTTCCGTCGTCTTCGTCGTGCTCCAGGCCAGACTGTTAGGGAGTTTAATTCCAGCTTCGATCGGGCTTACAGTCGTCTTCTTGAAATCGATTGTCGTCTACCTGAAGTCGCACGGGCTTGGGCGTACTTGAATGCCATGCAGTTGACATCCAGTGAAGAGCTGGCGATTCTGGCATCGGTCGGAAACGAGTACAGCCCCGGAAGGCTTCAGAAGGCGGCGATCATGCACGAGAAGAGCTTGAAGGGGCCCTGGTCCTTTCGCAAGCCCGGCGTCTTTGACGAGAAGCGGAAGCCGACCAAGAACTACCTGGCCGGGATCACCGAGGACGATGAGGACGAGGACTCGGAGGGCACGGAGGTCATGCCGGAAGAGCTGGCGTACGAGCTACACGAAGCATATGTTGCTCAAGAGTCGGCAAAAGCTAAGTACAAAGACTTCGTCAAGTCTCGCGGCTATGAGGCGGGCCGCGGCTACGATGCGGGTGGCCACGAGAAGGGGACCGAGCGCTCGGCCTCCGAGCGTCTGAAGCTTGCGAAAAGCAGGAGCTTTTGCGCTGGCTGCAAAAGGAGAGGTCACTGGCACAGAGACCCAGAATGTCCGTTGAATCGGACCTCGGCGGGCACTTCTGGGAAGACTGAGGGCGACGCGGGCAAGGACACCAAAACCAAGGACGCCTATGTTACCCACGTTGCCTATGTCGTCGGTGAGGCCGCCCCAACGGAACGCTTGATGGCAATCACAGACTGTGCATGTAGCAAATCTGTTGCAGGGCAAGGATGGCTAGAGCAATACACCCGGTCTGCTAGACACCTCGGTCTTGATGTTCCCCTACATCCCTGTGATGAGAACTTCCGATTCGGCGCGAGCAAGGTCTTCCACGCCAGCTTCCTTGCCACCATCCTGTTGGAGCTCGAGGGCCGCCGGGTGCTGATTCGTGTTGCAGTTGTTCATGGTGATGTACCACTTCTCCTCAGCAGGAATGTGCTTGCTAAGCTAGGTATGATCTACAACATGGCTGACCACACAGCAAGCTTCTCTGCTCTTGGAGTACATGATTACCAGCTGTGCTACACCGACAGCAAGCATCCAGCGGTTCCCGTGCAGCCTCAGAGTGCCGGGGGTTTTGTGTTTCCGAGCCCCCAAGAGTGGGGCGGCGATGAGATCAAGATCCTCGCTCAGAATGCTCGGCAATACACGGCGTACATGCTTAGTGATTGCGGTTCAGGGCTTGCAACCACTACGCGAGTGTTCTTTCCCAAGAAAGTCAGTGCTGTAGTGTTCAACATGCTCACGGATGACGTCCTGAACACAACTTTGTTCTGTGATTGGTGGTCCGAAACCAAGGTTTCCAACGACTTTTGGCTTGAAACGAATGAGGCCTTTTACAGGATCCACGTCGTCCCTCGAAGAACACTTTTCAGGCCCGATCGTTGGACTATACCGGAACTTGAACTCAAACAGCAGCTCCTGAGTGAACTTGGCAGTGTGCGCAGTACATGGCCTGTTGCATGCAGTGATCATCGCCATCTGCAGACCGTGCACGACATGTGGAGCGGTGACGACTCTTCTGTGGCAGTGTTGTGGATCGGCAGGACGGTTTTTGCTAGACTCCGCCCCGAATTGTCCGCCCCTCGTGCTCCACATGGCTCCCAAGGTGAACGTATGGCGCTGCAACAAGAAGGAGCTGATCAGCTACGCCCACGAGCTGGGCATCACAGTCTACGAGGGCTGGACCGTCGGGGAGATCAGGCACCTGATTCAGGAGTACCGGAAGGCGAACAACCTGATGAACACCAGCGAAGTTCCGAAAGGCCTGGGGAGCATGTCCTTGGCGGAACTCAAGACGAAGGCCGAGGAGCTGGGACTGGAAATCCCTGCACGAGCAACGAAAGGGTCCCTGCAATTGGCCATACGGGACCGTACCAAAGGAGCGGACGAGGAGATCGTGACCTTCGGGAGGTACCGCAATCACCTCTACAGAGAGGTACCGGATGCCTACCTGGCTTGGGCAATCAAGGAGACCCAAGCGAATGCGAACGCCTCCCTCGAACTTCGTCACCTCGCAGCCTGGGCCGAAGGGAAGCTGGAGGACCGGAAGGCTACGAGCTCCGTGGATCCAGAGTCGGTGGCGGTGGTTCCGTACAGCCCCACGGAGCCTGGGACCTCGTCGACCTCGCGGTGGTCAATGGTGGCACCGAGGACCGACGGGCAACTACCGCTGAAGCCCAAGGCCAAGGCGAAGGCGATCACCGAAGTGGTGGGACACCGCGGCTATCCAGAGGACCGTGGGACGAACAAGCAGTCCCGGGCACGTTCGGAGATCAGCGAGATGACCGAAAGGATGAGTCAGGACGTGCCGCCGGAGGTCCAGGAGGAGCTGGCCGAGCTCACCACCCGACTCGCCATCCTCAAGGACAAGTTCGGGGTGCCGTGAAGGCACCAGCTGGGCGCGCCGACACTGGTCAGCGCGACGCGCCCTCTTCCATAGCTGACCAAGACGGCCGGGCTGCTGGAATTTCCCGGAGCAGCTGGGCCGAGACTTCTATGAACTCCGGGCCGGATGGCATTTGGCTATCTGGGGGAGATTGTCAAGAAGACGCCGCCCAACATGATCCAGGCCCTAACCACCTTTGCGGCGCAGTTTGCAAGAAGAAGGTGACGTTCGACGTCACCGAGGATCGGGCCGATCAGATTGCTGATGTTATGAGCTCCGGGCCTGATGGCACTTTGCCACTGGGGGGAGACGTAGACAAGACCGAGGAGGCCTACGGCGAGAACGGGAGCGATAACTACTACGAATGCCAGGACGAGGACGACGCTGCGATCGACGACCGCACCCGTTACCCGGATGCCCCTGAGCACATCGGCTACCTCGGCGACCACACGAAGAACGAGACCATCGAGGACCTCGCCAAGAGACTACGACGCGATCGCCGTTTCAGCCTCGAAGATTGCCAACCCCTACTACGTCTCCTTGGGGAAGTCGGAACCAAGAATGCGAATCGCGATGTTCATGGGGACAAGGCAGCTACTCTGGCGATCGGGGCCTACGCTTACGGCTCTTTCTATGGTCTGACGAGAGGGACGTATCAGTACGTGGAGTCGGCCCGCTACCTGAACGAGCTCCTAAAGCGCCAGGGCATGACTGGGAAGTGGACAGCCATTTGCCTTAGCAGGAATGCCCCTGCCAAGGTTCACCGCGACTCCAACAACTGTCCGAACACCTACAACCAGACCATCTCCTTCGGCGACTTTTCGGGTGGTCGGCTTTGGCTTGAAGACACCAATGGTGAGGCATCCTACCACGATACTCGAGGAAAGGTCTTTGTTTTCGATGCTCACCGCCGGCATGCTACTGAGGACTGGGTCGGCGAAAGATTTACTCTCACCACCTACACGCCCCGAGGAGCTGAACACTTGAATCAGGTTCAACGTGACACTCTCAGGACTTTGGGTTTCCCGATTGGTCGTGACCGGATTGAAAGACCGGCCCTGGATGGAGCATCCACAACCGGACAATCAACAAGAGTCAGACCGAGGAAAGGAGCCCGAAGAACTTTGTGGAAGAATGCCCTGAAAGTGTACATGCTTTTCGCGGTCACCCTCAATGCTGTCTACAGTGTCTCCTCTGAGGTTTATGGTGGTCGTCAATGGGCCGGGAAAACGGCCATCTTGGAGGTTGGCGATCATGCCAACACCTGCGCCGCCGCCGAACTCGGCAAGGATGTCGCCGAGCCCTTGGAGACCAGTGACTTTCGAGGTGATGTTGGACTCAGGCGGCTTCGTGCTCTACTTGACGAGTTTTCTCCTCGCGTCCTCTGGTTCAATGAGCCCCAGATCACAGAGGAAGACTGGCCACGAGTCTTCGAAGCTGGAGCTGCCCAACTGGTGCGCGGAGGCACTCTCATTGTCCAGCAGGGAGATCCCGGACTTGACTGGTCCACCGGATTGACGGCCCACTTCCATGGCTACAACTACGAGGTCCGAGAAACCGAGCAGGGCTTCCTTCATGTGATCAAGAACAACGAGATTGACTACCACGATCCTGAGCACGAGCTGTGCTATGTCGTTGATCAAGAAGGAAGGCCAGGACCCGATGCGGGACCGTCCGGAGCGAGCGCCATCACTTTTCCGAGTCATGTTCCTCGGCATGTTCAGAGCTCCCTTGCCCGGCTACACCAGAACCTGGGGCACCCGTCTCCGGGCGATTTGAGCCGGCACCTCAAGTATGCGGGCGCAGAGGCCTCCATCTTGAAGGCCGCCAAGATGATGCGATGCCAAGTTTGTGACCGGAACAAGAGGACTCATGCGGCTCGCCCGGCCGCGCTGCCAACCTTGTTGGACTTCAACGCCCTCGTCTCTGTCGACGTCTTCTCGGTGTTTGACGCTAACAAGAAGCGACACTCCCTCATGTCCGTCATTGACCACGCGACGACCTTCCATATTGTCCGAAGACTGGAGGGTCACAGCACCGAGGCCTACGAGCAGGCCTTCATCCAGGCCTGGGGCAACTCTTTTGGAGCGCCAGTGACTTTGTCCGCTGATTTAGAGACGGGCCTTCAAGCCGGTCTTACCCGGTACGCCGAATTTCATGGTGTGAGAATGAGGCGGTCAGCCGGCCAAGCACACTGGCAACAAGGTCTGGTAGAGCGCCATCAGATGTGGTACGAGGACATCATCAAGCGGGTCATCGACGAACAGACGGTGACCGAAGACGAGATCGATCTCGCAGTGGCCTGTGTGAACCAGGCCAAGAATCAATTGCGCCGGAGGCACGGGTACTCGCCATCACAAGCAGTTTTCGGAAAGGATCCGGCCACTCCGGAAGAACTTCTTGCCGGAGGCGACGAGGAACGATTCCTCGAGATCATGACCGCAGACCGGAAACGCCAAAAGGAAGTCAGCATCAGGAGTGCCGCTCGAGTTGCCTTCTTCCGCTCCCAGACCGACACCAGGCTGAGGAGAGCTTTGATCCAGAGGGCCCGTATCAAGCACACCTCCTACCACATTGGCGAGATGGTCTGCTTCTACCGCATCGAGAAGGTTGCCACCAAGCGCGGGAGTTGGAGAGGGCCCGGAGTGTTGGTCGGAACGGAAGGGCCCAGCAACTGGTGGGTCTCATTCGGTGGCCGCTGTCATCTTGTTGCTGAAGAACATCTCAGGCCCTCCACTGCAGAGGAGTTGAACGAACTACTATCGACACGAGTGGCCAAGGAAGACTTGGACCGATTGCTCCGGAACGACCCCGACGATCCGGAGGTCTTCGAGCCGGAGGACATGGAAATGGATCCGGATTTGGCGGAGTACTCCCCCTCCGAACCGGACGAGAACTTCGCCTACGATTTCCCCTCCGGCGATGTCGAGATGCCTGAAGTCTCCGAGAGTGCGGTCCCCGAAGTACCAGGCCCAAGCGAACCTACTGGACAGGACCCGCCAGAACCGTCCGGGTATGGTCCCATCCTACGACGAGTCCGAGGGAAAAAGAAGGCGGAGAAGGAGCCCTACTCCACCCTCATGTTGCGCAAGGCACACACAGAGCGGTCGAGAGAGAAACAGTTCGAGAAGGAACTGCCTTGGCGGATGATACCGCCATCAGAACACCATGGGTTCAAGCTCGCGGAGGACAAGCAGATCAAGGAGCACCTGGACAACAAGGCCCTCACTCCTCTTTCCCTTCAAGAGTCCAAGGACATCGAGGCCACCATCCCGGCGGCGAGGATTCTGGGAAGTCGCTGGGCCTACCGCGATAAGAACTACAGCAAGCGCCGCTTGGACCCCAATGTTCCTTGGCGACCGAAGAGTCGCCTGGTGGTGTTCGGGCACCAGGACCCCGACATAGGCAAGGTCCTCACCGATGCCCCGACGATCAACCGGATCTCCACCTTGATCCTTCTCCAGTTTGTTGCCTCGAGACAAGACGGCGATGATCCCTGGCAAGCGAGTGCCGGAGATGTGACTGCTGCTTTCTTGAACGGGAAACCAATATCCCGCACACTCTACATGCGACAACCGCGAACTGGAGTTAAAGGAATGGAACCTGGAGCTTTGTTTCGGATTGACAAGGGGATCTTCGGTCTTGTGGATTCGCCGAGGTCGTGGTGGCTTGAGCTCAAGAATATCCTCCTGGAACTTAAGGTGTGCCACGAAGGCATTGAGTATGTGTTCAAGCAGCACGTGCTCGATCCATGCGTCTTCATGGTGGTTCCATCTCAGGACCCAGGGTCTCCACCGAAGGCCTACCTCGGTGTTCATGTTGATGATCTGCTACTGGTTGGTGGCCGGAAGCTTTCACGGGCCATTGAGGATGCTCTGAATGCTGTCCTCCCCATTGACGAATGGGAAAGGAATGACTTCGAGTACATCGGTTCCCACGACTAAACCCCTTAATCCCGAGACCTGGTGGAAAGCCGTGGAAGGAAACCTCTCCATGCCTCTTCATAGCCTTGTACATTAGATGAAGAGGAGAGTTGGAGCAGTGTCAATCCCAGATTGCACAGGTGACGCCGCTCGCGCAGGCACACGAGTCTGGCTCGATGAAAAGAGCCGAGGTCCGGAAGGGAGGGTTTGGTTTGTGTTTCGGTCGGGGTTTGCGTCTTTGGTTCAACATTTAGGGATCCACTTTGGGGCAGTGCTCGGCAAGCCTTTCTGGTGTTACGAGAGCACGGCTGGGACCATCTAATTTTAAGCCCTCGCACCCGCCCACACCAGACGCAGGGCCTGAAACAGCAGGGCTTTCGTGAGCTAGGGGTACCGTTTTCGGAGTTTTGCGGACGGAGCCCGGGAGTAAGACTGAATTCAAGTCCTACGGCCCTACGGTTGATGATATAAATCCTGCATTACCCCTAATAAGGAATATACCATAATTCCCGTAGTTTAGCGTGCTTAAGGTAGTGCAGGATTTACATCATCAACAGTAGCAGCCATGAAGCCCTGACCCCAGAATCCCATACCCCGACTCCGAGCTTCAAGCTCTAACCCGGCTGGATTTCTTTAAAGGGGTCGGCTCAGTAATCATATCCCATGCGAAAGGGTACGAAACAGAAAAAAAAACTGAACCCTGATGTTAAGCCCCTTGTAGTTTCTAAGGGTCCAACCACTTCTGCTTCCGGAAATAGATTTTCCACCAGCGCTGGATCCGCTCCTGGCAAGGCTGCGGCAACTCGGGGTCTTAGGTTTCAGGGTGTAGGCTTGAGGTTTCAGGGTTCAGGCTTTAGGCTTTAAGGTTTAGGGTTTAGGGCTAAGGGTTTAGGCTTTGGGGTTTCGGGGCTGGGCTGTGGGGGTTTAGGGTCTGGGGTGTAGGCTTCGGGTTTGGGGCTTGAGGTTTGGGGCTACAGAATCAGTCAAGGTAGAGGTACGCCACAGTCGGTGTGCGAGGAAGATTCTGACGAAGCTCAGAATTGGAACTTTGATTCTTCGTAACCTTTGGTAGAGCATTATGGTACAATGGGGCTCTTCTTGCATTGGAACTTTGCCACACAAAGCCCCTCTTGGTACTGCCGTTTGTTAGACCCCCAGCCTGAGCCCGTGCCCAAGTCAGGGCCATGCGGGTGGTTGTCAAAATTAAAGTTCCTTTTTGGGCACCCTAAATATTGGGTGCCGTATTATAATAGGGTTCCAAAAAGGGACCATAATTTTGGCAACCACCCATGTATTCCGACAGGTGTGCGATCTGTGCAAGGGTCAAAAAACGGCGGATGACTTGAAAAGAGCTGCTTGCTGCCAGCCGCTGCAAGGATCGAAGAGTCCCAGGGCGGTAGGGCTCAGAGGCTTCAGTTCGGATTTTCTGGTTCAGGGTCTCGTTTGTCAGAATCGCGGTGGAGGCTTTCAGGTCTATATAGGATGGCCTAAGTTACAGGCTTCAGGCTGCGCCAAGACGTAGTCGGACTCCACTTTAACAATTTATGAACACCTCAACGCAGGTTTGTGGTTCATCCCAACTCGAAGCCGCATGCTCCTCACCAAGTTATAAGCGCAATCTCAGCTCTCCAAATCGCCGTTTCTCCCCCGCGTTCGCGAACCCTATTCCCAATAGGTTTAAACTTAACGATAGGACCCGAACGCAAGAAACCCGAACCCCAAAGCCCCAAATTGTCCGAGCCTTAGAAACCCCAAACCTAAACCCGCCTGCTCCTTAGATCACTACGCCGTGACTACGATAGGTCTGGAAATCAACACCTCCGTTCATGGTATCAAGACTGCCTGCAAGAGTTCCGAGCTGTGTTCGGATGGTTCGTTTGGGGCAATGTTTCCTTCTTGAGGGTCTGCTTTCGTCCAGCCTCTGTCCCAGCTGCTTGGAGCGTAGGGCTTACGGCATCGGGTTCAGAGTTTGGGCCTTAGGTTGCAAAGTTCAGAGTCACGGACTTTCAGGGCTTAGGGTCACCGGGTTCAGGGTTCAGGCTTTGGGTTTAAGGGTCTAGCTCTAGGATTCTGGAGGTTTCGAAGCTTCTGAAAGCCGACCTAAGCCGAAGCATTCAGCACTCCGACTTGAAAGCCGACCTCGGAACTCCGGCGAATTCGTGAACTTGAGTCTCAAACCTTGAGGCAAAAATATCTAAACTGCCAAGCCCAAAACCGAAACGTTCCATCCCGAAAACACCCTGTCGAGAAACCTTTTCACACCTCATAAGCCACTTTGACAACTGTAACTATACAACCGTTTTATACCAAACCTTTACAAGACGCTAACCCTGAACCCTAAACCACTCCGGCCTGAACCCCTACATCCTAAACCCCAAACCCTAAACTCTAAGCCCTCAAAGCAGAGTGCCAAAACCCTAGATTCCTGACTAATCCCGTGTAGATCCCTTTAAGGATCCCTCACCGAACCCTTTATGGAACCCTGTAAAAAAGGTACCGCTCAGGAACCCAGAACCCTAATAGAACCCTAAGCCCTGCACCCCAAACCCCAAACCCCTTAAAGCCCTCAACCCCGAACCCTTTAAGGAGTCCAAGTCCAACGTCGGAAGTATGGGCCCCTAATATGTACCTTTCGGCCTTCTTTTTAGGGTTCTAGGGACCCTCAAGGGTCTATATAGGGTATAGAGTAGGTATATAAGGATCCCAAGGTTAAGGGCCCATATTAGGGGCCATTGTTTCAACCGTTGGCCAATAAGGGACCCTATATCCTATACCCTACACCCTATCCTAAACCCCAAACCCCTGACGCCCTAAACCCGGAACTCCCCTTTAAGAAGCCCAACAAGGGACCCTAGTTTCCAAACCCCAAACCCCTAAAGCCCTCAACCCGGAACCCTTTAAAGAGCCCAACAAGGGACCCCGAGAGGCCGAAACTTCCGCCAGCGGGGCCGCTGCTAAGTCCTTCCGCGCGCGTTTGGCAGCTTCAGCCTCGCCCCAGGGAGGTTCATCAGGGCTTCAGGGTTTAGGGTTTAGGGTTTAGGGCTTAGGGTTTAGGGTTTAGGGCTTAGGGCTTAGGGTTTGGGGTTTATAGGGTTTAGGGTTGAGGGTTTAAGGATTAGGGCTTAGGGTTTAGGGTTTAGGGAAGCCCAATACCACACGAAGGACGACGTCCATTTTGGTGTAGCTGACTTGGACGGTAGCGGTGTTGGCCCCCTCCCGCACGATGACCTGTCCAACTTCGGACGGCGACATAAGCTGGCAAAGAATGTCCGCGACATGTCCAGCCTGGATGCGGCGCCATCCTTCCGTAGGGTCGAAGGTGAACGTCATCTTCCAACCTCGGAGACGATGGCCATGTCGCTCACTTCCACAGCAACAGGAGATCCTGTGCCGAGCTGTGTGAGCCAGCGCTGGATCTCGACGTACTGCGTGCCACCAGTGTCCGCCCAAATAGAGCTTTTGAAAAGGCTTCGAAAAGTGGCATTTTATAGGGGTTCTGGGATCCTATGGTTTGGGAGTGAGGGTTCCAGCAGAGATCTTTACATCATGGGGACACTTGGGGGGGTAGGGGGGATTGGGGTAGGGGCCTATACTTCCTTAAATAGGCCGTATTAAATCCTCATTATGGATATTAAGGCCCCCTACGCCCCTCCCCCGCAACAACCCTAAGGGTCCCTATGATTACAGGGTCCAAAAGGTTCTATTTCTAGGCGCTAGGCTTTGGGAGTCTTTTGCTGCGGCCTGACGCGCGCGTTTGTGCTGCGGCGCTAGCCGGAAACAAGGTTCGCGAACGTGTTCGACGACTTGACTATGCTTGAAGTGGGGTCAGGGGCAGTGTGAAGCTGGCACAGTTCCTTGTGAAAGTCATTAAAGTTGGTTGACGTATTACTTCGACCAAATACAGAACCCACACATACTTCCGTTCTAGGCTGAATACAAGCTTCCCTGCTTGTACCAAAGTGGAGCTCTCGCAAGGAGTTGCTTCGTCCCATACGTCAGCGTTTAGGGTTTAGGGTAATCCTGGAGTAGGAAGTCTTAATACCCACAATAAGCTTTAGGAACCTAAAGTAGAGCTGTCGACTCGCTTAGCATGGGTGTGGTTGGAGTGCGCGCATGCACGCCGATCATAAGTATGAGCACTCCAGTATCTTGGAAGATCTGAAGCTTGCTATGCTGGCTGAGGCAAGTTCTCCACATCAGGTGCAAGGAATATAGTTAATTACATGTATATGTATATACATGTACACACCTATGTGATTCTTCCCTTCTTCCCTAGGAGACGACTTGCTTCCCGAATTCCGCACTTTAGTTTCCCAACCCTTCCAGAAAATCCTGAACCCTGAACCCAAGCTGAGCACCGATCCCAAAAAAAGCGTACCCCTAAACCCTAAACCCCTAAACCCTAAACCCCTAAACCCTAAACCCTCAACCCTAAACCCTAAACCCCAAAACCCCAAAACCCCCAAAACCCTAAACCCTAAACCCCAAACCCTAAACCCTCAACCCTAAACCCTAAACCCTCAACCCTCAACCCTAAACCCCAAACCCTAAACCCTGTACCCAAAGCCTTGCGAAGACTGTACCCAAAGCCTTGCGAAGACGCCCGAGCTGCCGTTCGTTTGCTTCAGTCTCCTGGTTCACCTGCTTGGCTTAGGGGTTTATAGGGGTTCAGGGATCCAAAAAAGCAATTGGGGGGTTTAGGGTTTAGGGTTCAGGGTTTAGGGGTTTTGGGGTTTTGGGGTTTAGGGTTGTGTCGAATGTTGGGATTTGGCCCTGCAGTCTTGAAGCGTTCTGAGATTCCACATTCGGCACATTCGGCAGAATCCCGTTCAGGCCATGTGGAGGGTGGGCGGGGGTCATTTCAAAAACTCTACACAAGGTTCCTGGCACCTGAATGGTACTTTGTTCTGACACTCCCGAACGGAAGGATGGAATGCCTGGCTCGAACCCTAAACCCCTTATCTCCAACTCCAGAAACCTGTCCGGGAATCCTTCCTGGAGCCTCTAGGCCCACAAACCTTATAGGAACATGAGCAAATCCCTAAAGAGCTCTGAAACAGCTACACCAGACACCCCAAACTCCTAAACTCGAACCGCAAAGCCCTTAAGGCCTGAACCCCAAAACCCTGAAACCCTGAACTCGCGATCCTTCTTCTCACGCAGCCTCTTCCTGAGCTGAAGCATGAGGACCTCACAAGAAATCTGAGCTCAGGGTCTATCGAGTTCTATCAGCGTTTCATAAGGCTCCTATATGTTATGAGGTCCTAAGATGGGTTCGTACTTGGAGGTTCGTGGGTAGTTATAAGTAGGGTTATAAGTAGGATAAATATACCTATAACCAATATTAGGGGACTTATAACCCCACTTATAACTACCCATGAACCTCCAAGTAGTCCCTGAACCCTATACCCTTATAGAACCCCTATAGATCCCTTTAAAGGGACCCTTGAAGGAACTCTTATAACTACCCATGAACCCGGGTTGGGAGCTTCTGGGCTGAAGTTCAAGCAGCTGAGGTGAAGAGGTTGTTCAACGAGGTTAATAGTAACCCTTATAGGTCCCTTATGGATCCCTTATAAAAAAACCCTTATAGGTCCCTTATGGATCCCTTATAAAAAAACCCTTATAGATCCCTTATAGATCCCTTGTAGTAACCCTTATAGATCCCTTATAGATCCCTTATAGTAACCCTTATAGATCTCTTATAGGTCCCTTCTAGTATTGTTTCTTAGGGTTGGAGAGTTTAAGGCGGTTTGGGGTCGTGGGTTGAGCTTGACTGGTTCGAAAATACGACTATTGAAAAAGGCATCTGAAAAAAAAAAAAAAAAAAAAAAGTAGCCCTCGGAGTGGTGTTGTAGAGCGCATCTGGTATGCATCTGCAAAAATGACTACATGCATGCAGGCGCCTTCCGCCGAAAACGCTGATGGCATGCATGCTAGATAACAACATAGACGTGTGCACCTCCATCTTGCACAGACGTTCAGGATGATCACGATTACAGGACTACATACTGACCTCACGCACAACGGCCGTGGTTCGGCCTTGGTTTTGCTCCTCCCGCGCCAGAGCTGCTGGATGAGTGTCGCACCTCGATGCAGCCAATGCCAATGCTGCAAAGACTGCTATTTGGGTGGTTTGTCAAAATTAGGGTCCCTTTTTGGGTACCCTAAATAATAGGCGCCGTATTATAATAAGGACCCAAAAAGGGACCCTAATTTTGACAACCACCCATTTGTTTTGGGGGTGAAGGTGTCAAGGTTTGAAGAATGGCCTGCTGCTAGTTAGCTAGGGGTCCTGGATGATCAGAGTCGCTTCGTCAGGTTTCAGAAACACCCGTGACTGAACGCCATGATCGTCAAAGCCCAAGCAGATCTGCATTACCGAACATGCCGCGGCAGATAATAGAAGCTGAGCTTCTGAGCGACAGCAGACGGATTATCGAGGTTCGTGGTACGGTTTGAGGCTGTGTAGAGGCGTCCTATTAATAAGTCCGCGTATAGTGGTTTGCATAAAGGTTGCATTGAGCGTTTAGGAGGCATTGACGAGGAATGCAGCTGGACTTCCGCGTTTAGTACGTAGGCTCTGGAGTTTACAAGCTCAAGTAGCAGCTGCACCGATCGTCGTCACTAAAGCAGCAGTTTCTTCAGCATTCAGAGTTCAGAGGTCTTACTTAGCATTGCAGTCCTATTGTCCTGAGTTGCACTAACAAATGCTCCCGATGCAGATACTCCGAATCCAAGAATCTGTACGTTTAGGTGTCTAACCCATAGGGTTTAGGGTTTAGGGTTATTTAGGTGAGTTCTGGACCCTTGGGAGATCAGTCGCTGTGGGGCACAAGGAATGACCAGGCGACCCCGCTGCGTGTGCGGAGCGTCGCATCTGCTTCGGCCATCGCCTACTCGTCACGACACGCTGGAAAGAAGGGTTGGCCATAGTGCTCACAGTTCTGGTCATGATCAGAGGTTGGTTGTTGCTGCCATCGTCGTAGTAGCTGCAGAGTAGGCAAGGTTCGGACTAAAGGTCTCAGGTTCTGGACTCAACATCATCGGTCGGCGGCAGAACGGATTGTGCTGAGGCCCCTATAACCTTTACAGAAGTCCACCATCTCAGTCGTCGTTCAGGCAGTGGTCGCTTAAAAGACCCGAACTGAAGGCACCGGTGCTTTGAATGTGAACCTCTTCGGGGCTGAATACGCTGGAAGCTTCAAGGTTTCGCTAAAGACTGAAACTTTCATCGCGCTCCATGATGGAGATCAGAGAAACCCGGCTGTAAACGGACCGACCCAACCTCCCTTCCTGTAATGCATCCAGGACATCTAACTCTAAGAAGCACCCCCTGTAGATGGGAACCTTTAAAGAGCAAGTAAAGGTATGAGAGTTTAGGTTGTTACACGCCTGAAGAAACCTCCGCACTCAAATCCGAAATTCTCTGCCTCAAACAAGCTAACATCGCTCAAAAGACAAACCCTCAACCCCTTCCAAACGTCCGCACACGAGCATCGTACCGGGTCGAGCAGGCGTGAGAAGAGCGGCTGGCAGGTGACCATTTCCAACTCTGCTAGCTCGACCTGCTGCTCGAATGGAGGGTTAAGCGTAGGGTTTACGGTTTACTGTGGGGTTTTAAGGAGTTTCGGGGCTCGTGGTTCGTTTCATTCGGGTTCGATGCGGTTTTGGGTTGCCGGCGAGGGTTCTATGAGGATTCTACAGAGGGCTGCACAAGGGTACTCTACCGGTGCCATATGGGTGGTTGTCAAAATTTGTGTCCTTCTGTAATACGGCACCTAATATTTAGGTACCCAACAAAAGGGACCATAATTTTGACAACTACCCGTTTGGTTGCGGATTCCCGGTCCAACCGATCCGTTGAACCTCACAAGTTGTGCTTACTCGAATGTAGGGATAATCTCTTCTTCCTTGGGCTATCTTCGGAGGATTGCGAATGAAGCTTTCCTGGACAAGCCTAGGTATGCGGAGTAGGGCTCTGGTGTGGATGCTACTTTGGGTACGTAAGTACTATACATGGCTCAGGTTCTTACAAGTCTTTAAGCCACTTCTCGGAGCTCCGTCGGTGAGTTTCAGGTCTCTCGAAGAAACACACATCGAAACGGCTAGGAGCTACTCCTGATGCAGACTGGAAAAGGAGCTGTGAATGTTTAAAAAAAAGGCTCCCATAGTAATAATAATAACAATAATAATAGTAATAATAGTAATGGTAGTAATAATAGTAATAATAATGAATAATAACAATAATAATAGTAATAATAGTAATAATCCTTATTTCGGCACCTGGACTTATCTCTGAACCCCAAGCCCTGAAGGCGCAACTTTGGGGGTTCAGGGTTCAGGGTTTAGGCTTTACTACTGCTACTGTCACATGATATATGTGTTGCTTTAAGGTTTTTCGCTTTTAGAGCTTGGGATTCTTGAGCTTCCGGCTTGGCGCAACACCACTCCTTCCGTCGCAGGTCACCGCAAGCCCTTAATTCTCTGTCGGGTGATTAGTAGGGAATGGGGGAATGGATCTCTATGATAGTCCCTTAAGGGTCCCTTGCGGTAGTCCCTATAACCCATTCCCCCATTCCTGCTAAGCACCCAGAAGCCAGATCCCCACCAGCGCGGAGCGGCGTAAATCCCCAGAAACCTTACCTTTGGTTACTAGGGAATGGAGGAGTGGGGTACAATTATAACTACTGTTATTATAACTGCTATATTATAGCTACTATTATTACAACTACTATTACTACCATTCTTCCGTTCCCTACTAACCAAAGGTAAGAAACAGAGAAGCCTTTGACCCCAGGTTAGAAAGAACCTGGAGAAGGCCTGCAAGGCCGCATCGTCCAGATAGCAGAGACCAGCCTGCGCTCCAAGAAATGCTCGGAGAGCTTTGGGGTTTTACAGTTCGGAAAGGTGGCTGAGGCTCTGTAGCCGCAAGGGTTCGGAACTTGTGCTTCATGCACGTATTTGGGACTCAAGGATTGCAGGCTTGGGCTTTGGGATGTACGGACTGAAGGTTCAAAGTGAAGCTTCCATTGCAAAAGATGAGCCTGTGTGCCAGGATGTGTTTTGACACAATTAGCCTCTGCACAAAGGATTGAAATCTTGGTAAGTCCTCTGAAAGGTTTGGACCCCCCTGAAGCATCAACAGCATCCAAAATAACCAGCATGGACAAAGCAAACACTTCGATGGATAAAGACAACATTGACATGAATTAGCATTGATCCCTGGGCAGCGTGCCTCGTCGCTCACCAGACGGCTGAACTGGTAGAGGTCGCAGCCTTTCTGGCTCCAACCGTAACGCCTCACCATGTAGGCGTACTCCTGTTGCGGGCTTGGACTTGGACTTGACTGTTTCGCGCTGTCGGTTCCGCTGCTGAACAAGCATCAAAGATCAGCACGACTAACCTGAGATCACTGCTACTCAAAGTCTGCACTGCAAGCCCTGGTTATGAAAGACCTTGCCAAGAACCCATCAATACCCTGGCAAAACCAAACAATAAGAACCGGCATCGTCCGTGCCAACGACGTTTTAAAGAACCCCAAAGCAGAAAGTACCCCTGCAACATGCCGTACCGGAGGTCGTAATACATTCAATGGGTAGCTGTTTATCTATGCGTATTGTTCATTAATACATGCATGCATGCATACACACATGGAAATACATACATACATACGTACATACATACGTACATGCATACCTACTTACCTACCTACCTACCTACCTGCATATATATATATATATATATATATATATGTGTGTGTATATGTATATGTATATGTATATGTATATGTATATGTATATGTATATGTATATGTATATGTATATGTATATGTATATGTATATGTATGTGTGTATGTATATATATATATATATATATAAATATGCATGTGTATGTATGTATGTGTATATATATATATATATATGTGTGTGTATCTATGTATGTACACATATATGTGTATAAATATGTATGTATCTATATATGTACTAATATGTGTATATATATATATATATATATATTCATTCATCCATCATCCATGCAAGCAGGCATGCATTCGTTAATTCATTCACTTATCCATATCTATGTTTCTATTTGTGTATGCATAGATGTGTACATGCATCTGTGTATGTATTTGTATTCGTATATGTCTATGGTTAGATGCATGCATGCATGCATGCAGGCATGTATGCATGCGTATATGAAAACTCAGATCAGCCTTTCGGCAAAGATCCTCAATCCTGCCTAGCTGCCCTGAACCGCAGAGGTTGAACCATCGCGGAGTCCCGATGGTTGTGCACAAACACGATCCCAACTTGGAGGTTCATGGCTAGTTACAAGTAAGGTTTGTAAGCAGGATAGCTTTCGTTATAGGGTATATTAGTTAAGGGACTGGTCAGTCCATTTATACCTATCCAGGAAGCTCCGAGAAAGGTTTCAATAGCAGGTGCGCTGTTCGTCGGGAAGGCCATTGAAGGGTCTTCTTGCCCGCCCAGGAAACTGCGACAGACATCGAAAGAACAAAAAATGTCCTGACAAGAACCACAATATGCAAATACAAACCACAAGGAAAATCGCAATAACGACGTAGTCACCTTAACGATACTAACAAAGTACTACTAATAGTAAACTGTAATACTAATGATAACTATAACAGCAATAATCATAATCACAAAAAGAACAGCCTGCGATCCCCGTAGAGACCCATTGGGTCCTTCTCCCACTCTGCGGGGTCGCCCTCGAAGCCAAGGTGCTTTGCAAAGCGCAGGATCTCTCGGCTGCCCAGCCTGCTTGCAGCTTAAGGTTAGGGTTGGGGATAGGGTATAGGGTTTAGGGTTTAGGGTTTGGGTTTAGGGTTCAGGCTTTGGGGTTGAGGGTTTAGGGTTATTGTTGTCTTGCTTCCCAGGTCTATTGGGCAGAGAGAGGCGTTCTTTCTGTTTTGGCGGGGGGTTTGGGCATTGACATAGAGGGTTTAGGGTTTACGCTTCGGGTTTTCGGCTTTTTCGGTTTTGCGGTGCTTGAGATGTTTTTGGTTGTTGCGTTCCCAAAGTAAGCCCCCTTGCAGCAACATTTGCCATTACGAGGATGTCCAAAGCGAAACCTCCATACCAATCGCCTTTGCTGTCTGAGCCTCAGCAGACCAAATCGAACCCCGACATCTGAAACTGTAAAACTTCATCAGCTTCCGCACCTCTACTTCCAAACGCCCAAATATCTATTGCTCAAAACTCAGGACTTGCTCCAAACTCGGGACTTGCAGCCCAAAGCCTAACACCCAAATCCCAAACAGATATGTACATCCCACTTCCAGTTCGGGTGTAGGGTGTGAAGTTGCTGCTTCAAGGTAAAAGGGCTCAGAATGCCTGCCTGTGCCAGGACATATAATATACTGGGACTTCTTATCTGCAAATTCTACAAGTGTTGCCAGTCCGACTGTAAATTGCGGTATTGCAAATAGCAAAAACTACGACAAGTTCCATCAAGATCGACATGCAACCGAATCGTGACGTTGATGCTCTGAACCTGGGTAATTGGAAAACAATGTCTTCACTAGCATCTTGAGGAAACTACGTACTTGCCCTTGCACAGTCCGGAGGAGTCTGTCAGCACCCCTGATCCTGGCATCACAGAGACCCGTGGGCCTGTTGTTGTGGTTGATATCGACCCAGTTGAAGAAGGTCTGCACAAACATGTCAGGGGTCCAGGTATTCGCTGTCAGCTACAACTTGACTGTGATCTCTGCAAGTTTATCATACCTGAAGATGTATGCTTACGGTCTTAGTCTGGTGGAGTCCAGCAGCAAAAGGGAGAGCTGAGGCTGCATGATGCCTGGAACTGCCGGGCACGTGCAAATGGTGACTTCTGGAGTTTGTCGCTGGAAAGACGCGGAAAAGCAGACGCCGCTGCAAAAGAAACACAGTGGGATCCCTTTCGAAGGACTATGCCGATCTGGCAGCAGGATCATCGATCACGCGCAGGCATCTATAACGGCGTTGACACCTCCGCCGGAGTCTCCCAAGCGCACCAAGACAAAGACAGAACCGAATCTCAATTGCAAAAAACCCATGCCCCTGGGCCTTCACCAGGTCCTCTCGAGGAATCTGATGCGGCTGGCTGGCCGGAAAGTTGCACAGCATCATCGCCAGCTCCATGTCGTTGCTGAAGGCATCACCTGGCATGCACCGCACTTCCGCCAAGGCCAGCCCAACATGAAGACGCCGATCTTACTCTGTAGCTACGATGTTGTGAAAACAGCAGCAGCAGCAGCAGCGGCGGCGCCAGCAGCAGTGCTATCAAAGCCAGTACGTACAGCAATGCTGTCTACCAAGCACAAACCAATAGCAACAGCAAGAAAATGTACGGAACATATGCCATAAGAGCCAGGAATGGACAAAAATGTCCTGCACTTCTCAGTGCCATACATCAGAACCGGTGCCGAGATACGCGTACCACCTCAACCACGAACAATTCAAGTGAGAATAATCTCAGAGCATACCAAACGTCATGTCCCTAAATTTGCGCTTTGGCATAGACCCTGATTTACCAGACAAGACCGCTTCACGGGATTATTGTCAGGATACTGCTATCGCTATTGCGGTCCTCAACCCAACGGGGTTCATTAAACCTCGACCCTCTACCACACCCTCAAGCCCCAAAACCCTAAAGCTCAAAACCCTGAACCCCTGAAGACACCCGTACAGCAACGGCATGATTAAAATCCTGAACGAGCACTTCTGCTCGCCGTTAAACCAACCCTAAACCCTAAACCCATTTAGAGCCCCAAGCCGTTAAGCGAGTGGCTGTCTTCATCGTCCAAGAGCTCGGCAAACTGCCGGCCTTTGGGTTCCATAACGGTTCCACAAGGGTGCGATAAAGGTACTACAAAGGTACTCCAAGGGTACTACAGTAAGGGTACTGGAAAAGTACCGTACAAGGGTTTAGGGGTTCGGGTTTAGGGTTTTGGGTTAAGAGCTCTGGGTTTAAGTTGAAGTTATTGGGTTCAGGGCGCCACGCTCCGGAACGAGCTTGGGACTCTTTGGACCCTGGCTTCGTGTGTTCGGGTTCTGTAAGGGTTCTAAAAGGTTCGAAACGGGTTCGATATGCGCACTATCAAGGTACAAGGGTTTCAGGATCTAGGGTTTGAATAGTAAGTTAAGCGGAAACTTCAGCATTTGTGATCACATGCTGTGCGACTTGGTATGTGTAGCTTCATCTTCACACATTTCCTCTTATTTACGTATGCATACATACATACATGCATACATACATACATACATACAATACGAACTACCTATCTATCTGTCCCTGTCTCTCTCTCTCTCTCTGTCTCTCTCTCTTGCTCTCTAGGAAAAGAAAGAGGTAACTGTTGCGGGCGTGGAGCGAGCCCAAGGATCCAAAGCTTTGAAACAGATCCGTCTCCATTGGCACCGGAGTCGGCGCTGTAGGCGCTCTTTCTTCTTGCTGGAGCGGCCACGCCCACGACCATCCCCTGGCTTACCTTTGCCATGACCATCCCCTGGCTTACCATTGCCATGAAAAGCAAGCATCACCCGGTTTCGGGACTTGCCGTCAAGGAAAAGCCCTCCAAGGCCAGATAAAGCAGCGAGATGTGGCATGAAGCCGAAGTGAAACACTTCATGGAAGGAGTTCATGATGCAGCGAAGCGTGTGGGCCGCACTCACCTCCACAGCTACATTGTGCCGGTGTAGCACCTCTCGCAACTGCTTCAACGGGGCTGCGGTATGGTTTAGGATTTAGGGCTTAGGACTTAAGGTTTAGGGTTTAGGGGTTAAGGTTTTAGTTTCAGGTAAGCACAACGCTAGACAAAAGATGCAAAGCCGAACGCCACAAAATCTTTTACCGTAAACTCCCAACCCCAAACACGCACAACCAAACAAGACAAACACACCGAACTAGATCCCGCCCAAACCCTCAAGCCTACACCCTGCTTTCTCAACCCTCAATCCTTCCAGCGGTGGATTGATCCCTAAACCCCAAACCCTGAACCCTAACCCTAAAACCCTAAACCCCTAATCCCTAAACCCTAAACCCCTAAACCCCCAAACCCCCAAACCCCCAAACCCCCAAACCCCCAAACCCTGCGCTGCAGGATCCCGAGAGCACTGCGATTCGCTCCCAGCTTCTCCTTCCTCAGACTTGGGCTTTTTAGTTTGGGGCTTCTGGGGTTTAGGGTTTTTGGGGTTTAGGGTTTTTGGGATTTAGGGTTTCTGGGGTTTGGGCTAGTTTGGGGGGGTTCCCAGAGACTCCAATATCCCTTGATTAAGGAATATACCTTAGACTATAGTAGGATCCCTAAATGATTTAAGGGATATTCCTTGTTTGAGGGATATTGGAATTTCTGGGTTGAGGTTTAGGGATTAGAGCTTAGGGTTTAAGGCTTAGGTTCTAGGGGGCTTTTGGGCTTTGGGTTCATGGTATAGGGCTTTAATGCAAAAAGGGTTTGGGGTTTGGCATTTCGTTTGGCCTGAGGGTTCTACAAGAGTTTACGAGCTATGGATTTTTCAAGGGTTCTACAACATAATATGTCACTGTGCATATTGTTTGCGTTATATTATATGATATGATTCGTAGACCATCTTAACCTTCTGCTGTGGCTTATGGCTGCCAGTAAATGCACTGTTGCTAGCTGCATAAGCCAGAAACAAAAAAACTCCAGGACATCAACTGCTGGATCCAGACTAAAACTGGCCGCCTGGCCCCTTCAACCCTCTATCCTGAGCCTTTTAGCTCGAATCCCCCAAAACTTTTCAACCTCAAGGGCGAAGCCGCTGGGCTCTGAGCCCAAGCCCCGAAATCATGAATCCAATCACGCGAAGTAGCCAACCGTACGAACGGCAGAGAGCCAGATACTCTGCGTGCCATTCCTGCATCCAGGGTTGCTGTGGCTCTGTAAGCTGTGACCCGAACGGTACGGGTTATACGCATCAGACAGGCTATGATTGAAGCTTCCTCCCGTCATTTCATCGAAATGAGTTTGGACCCTAATCGCTCAACCCTAAAACCCGAAAAGTCTACATCCCCGAAGCCCTGGCCCTGAACCTGGAAACCCCTACTTGGAGGTTCATGGGAAGTTACAAGTGGGGTTGTAAGTCCCCTCACATGGGTTATAACTAGAGTTATGCTACTTATAACCCTACTTATAACTACCCATGAACCTCCTCTTATAGAACCCTTATAGATCCCTTAAAGGACCCCTATAAACCCTACTTCTAACTACCCACGAACCTCCAAGCAAACGGTTCACCTTCCTCCTAAGCTCTCGCCTCCTCGCCGCCTTCGAAGCCCAGAAGCTGGGCCATGCGAAACAGCTGCTGGCTGCCTGACGACTTCGGGCTTAGAGTAGGGCTTAAGCGTTTAGGGTTGAGAATAGGGGGCTTCGAGTAGGGTGGAGACTTTTTTGGGGCCCTTTTTTTTTTGGGGGGGGGCCCTTTTTTTTTTTGCCCCTACGTTCTGTTGTTTACACAGGGGAGCAAGACAGCAAGGAAACGGGGGAGGAGGAAGGAAACAAGGAAAGAAGAAGAGAGAGAAGGAAGGCGTGCTTTCCTTGGGCTTCTAAGGCAAACCCCCTTCTTTCGGTTTTCCTTATTGGTCGTGTATATACATACAAACTATATATATATATATATGTAAAAAATATATAGTATATATAGTATATGTAGTATATAAATAGTGTAGTATAAAAACCATATACGTTGTATATATGTATATAGTATATATAGTATATATAGTATATATAGTATATATATATAGATATATATATATATATATATATATATATATATGGTATATACATAGATATAGTGTATATATATATATATATATATATATATATCTGTATTTATGTTTCTGTATTCACTATATATTGTTATATATAGTATATATAGTATATATAGCATATATATTCTAGTATATACATAGTAAATAAAGTATATAGAGTATATAGTGTATATGTAGTTTATGTATTTGTATAGTATGTATAGTATATATAGTATATATAGTATATATATGGTGTATATATATATATATAGTATATATATATATATAGTATATATATATATATAGTATTTATAGTATATATATATATATATATATAGTATATATATATAGAGAGAGAGAGAGGGAGTACATGTATGTATATACATATATGTATATACATATATGGAGGGCCTATTATTTGGGATCTTATACTTTTGTAGATATTTATATGTATATATATATATAGAGAGAGAGAGAGAAAACAACAGAAGAGAGAGTAGACAAGCAACGTATATAGCACATGAAGTTAATATTGCTAATGTATAGTAGTGTTTGTACTATACTTATGTATGTTTGGATTCACAAAGCATATCCACTACGTCTGTGCTACAAGCAACAAGCTTGACTGCGAACTATCATGAGCGCAGGAGAGCATGCGCAGCCGTCTGCCACAGCCGTTGTAGTTGTTCACTGCATGCTTCTTAAGTAAGCCAAGCAATGTATTTTGGCTCAAATGCCTTGTGTAACTAGGTGCGTCAAGTGCGCACCGTAGATTGGCAGCAGTAGTTTCTAGAGTTGTTTCCCAGCGGTCGCTGCCGGACGACCCGGGTTGCATGTAGGGAACTGGAGAGCGTGAACTCGCGAAGCCGATAACTACCGGCCCAGCGGGCTGAATGTGCTTGCTTGTTTGCAACACCGGATTAGCCGGCTCACAAAGACAGCAAATCAGCGTGGATGTTTTCATGGAAGTGCTTCAGTATACTAACGGCAGCATCCACGAATGCACCTTTTTCCGCTCAGAGCGCGTCGGACGGCGGAGGCTTGGACAGGAGTCCGGCAGCGCCCAGGCGCGCGTAGCTTTGCCGCCTCCGGTTGGCCTGGTCGCCGAGGGCTCGATCGAGACATGGTCTAGTTTAGTTCGACATGAAGGCGAGGAGTCCGTGTAAGGCGGGCACGGGCAAAACAGCGGGCTCGACAACCTGTTCCGCAGTCACAGTGATGGACTCTGATGGACCAGGAAGCATGCTGCGACAGCAAGCTTGAGCGCGTCGCTGTTGTTGTTTCAGGCGAGACTGACTCCTTGGGACAGGTGAGAGGTGCGACAGGAGGGTAAAAAGCTATAGTAAGAAGCCGGCGACTCCATGCGAAACAGGTAATTGCTTTGGGAAGTAAGAGTCTGTTTTGGGGTGAGTGTTTGAAGCCAATAACGCTCAATCTTAAATCAACCAACAAATGGTCTTCAAGACCTACGGCGCATATAGAAAGCACACGAACGACCTACACTGCGTGCGGACTAGTTTCTGCATTAGTTTCTCGACGGAGCGCAGGCCGCACTGCCGCTGCAGATGCGCTGCCACTGTGGGATGCCTCGGCTTTCTTGCAAAAAGAAAGGCGCACTCACAGTGTGTGTGTGTGTTTCTGTGTGATTGTGCGATTACGGTGCCAAGGCCTCGACCCCAGACAACACCTGCTTGAGGCGGTAGGTCTCATCCATCTTCATGCCGAACATGTTGTAGAAGCAGTTGTAGGTCAAATCGGACAACATTTCCACAGTGGCCCCGTGCGCAACCAGAGCAGGCACGAAACGGCCCAGCCCGGCTTCTCGGAGCACACGGACAAGTGCGGTCTCGGAAGGGCTAGCTGCACCAGGCGGTAGAAGTGAGGCCGGATCCACTGCCGCAGGGCGAGAGTTTTGGACGGCGACGCCCGGAAGAAGGATGGCGGACGGAGCCTGGGACGGAGGCGTGGCAGCTGACTTCGGCGGACGGCCCTTGGGCTTTGGAGGGGCTGAAGGGCCGAGTTTGCCCTCGTGTTCCGCGCAGCAGTACATATGCTCACATGGCCCCCACCGAGCAGACACGGAGCAAAACCAGCAAAGGACATTCATGTAAATGTTTCTCGCGCTTGCCGGCGGCAAGCCAGGGCAATGGCAATCCCAAAAAGCTTGCGCCTGCGGGCCAACACACACTAAACGCCAATCATCGAAGGTTTGGGATGCTGCTCGCCAGTCAGTCACAGCTTTTTGACGTCTGTCGTAGAAGCCCAAGTGCTGCAAGTCGGCTTCGACAGCTTCAATGTTGGTGGCTGTGACAAGCCGCTTGAGGATAGCGGCTGAGTTTGGCGGGAGCTCTATTGGGCTGCGTGGCTTGTAAACTTTTTTCTTGGTTCTGCAGTCTCCTGAACCTGAAGCTGCTTTAAACGCTGCCCAATCCACCTTGAACCTGGATGTGGGGACGAGCATCCACACGGAGCCATCATCAAGATCCTGCAGTCGGGCGTGCCGCCCCCAGGCCAGCAGGGACTGTCCGCTGCTGCGGCCCTCTTTGGACAGAGCTGTATGGTTCTTCAAGCAGTGCTGGTCTGTGAACTGCCCAACTCCAGGCCAATCCTGGAATGTTTGCCCAGACGACTGCATGTTGCGAAGGACGCGCAGCTGCTTCTTGACCACTTTGGACGCGATGGCTTGCGCCAGTGCATACGGGTTTTTCATAACATGCTTACACGGTTTCTTCAGCATAGTCTCGTGCCAGGCCTCTTGCGGTGCCGAGCCCACGTCTGTCCCGGGCATTATTCGATCTGGCGCCGACCTCCAAGCTGCCTCTAACAGGCCGTCTTGCACCTGAAAGTACTGCTTCTTGAAGGCAGTCGCCGCAGACTGCTCACCCTGCGCTTCCATCCAAGCAAAGACAGCCTTCCAAATGACATGGAAGAGCAGGCGTGGCATCACCTTGGAGATGCGGCACCACTGCAACACGTGCGGCAAGACAGTCTGTTGTTTGTCGGGGCCCAAGTGCTGCAACAGAAGCGCTGTCATTCCACCTGGTCCTGTGGACGTGGCACCTCTGACGTGGGCCCAGTCGGAAAGTCTGGCAGAGTTTGGGGCCACTTAGAAAGGGCTCCCAAAGAAAATCAGGTCGGTTGCAAGACTGGCCTGCAGGGTTGGCATCCGGAACAGGCTCGTCAGCAACGCATGGCACGGCGGCCTGCATGTATGGCAGTGTGCGATAGGCCTTGCGGTCTAGAGTTTTGGGGCTCGAGGTTCATCATCTTTATGTACTACTGCTAAAGAGGCATATACTCGAAGCTTGGGCTGCCAATTCACCAACGGTATCATTTCTGGGGCAGGTGTTGTTACTAGCATGCTAGTACTACCAATTATTACCCGCACTGGCGTGGGCCGCGCTGCGCCTCGATCTGGTGCTTCTCGTTCGCCGTCGGCTGCGCAGATGGCACAAGGTCGCCTGTGCGTCGTGGCATGAAGGCTAAGAGTTAGAAAGGGCTTCCAGAGAAAATCACGTCGGTTGCAAGACTGGCCTGCAGGATTGGCATCCGGAACAGGCTCGGCAGCAACGCATGGCACGGCTGCCTGCATGTATGGCGTTGCCGATAGGCCCTGCGGTCTAGCGTTTCGGGGCACAAAGTTCATCAGTTTCATGTACTACTGCCGCACTACTGCACAACAGGAATATCTCGAAGCTTGGGCTGCCAATTCACCAACGGGATCATTCCTGGTGCAGGTGTTGTTGCTATCATGCTATTACTACCAATTACCAGCCGCACTGGCGTGGGCCGCGCTGCGCCTCGATCTGGTGGTTGCGTAGCGCTGCCACTGTCGCTTGCAGCGCGGCAGCATGCGTCGCGTGTTTAGACAGCGACTGGTACGATCCTCGCACGTTCTTTCTGCCCACCATGGCGTGCCAGGCCTGCATTTGACACAAGGCGTCCAAAGCCCTACAGCAATCTGCGACCGTAGTTGCGAAACAATATTCAAAAAAATTTGCTGAGTTGCTGCGAGGCTCGTGGCACCGCTGGTTGTAGTAAATGCGGGCATTGCTTGGAAGAGAAGTCTGCAAGGTCTCCAGAAAGCCGCGCAGCGTCTCATGGGCCTGTTCTCTTCATGCGTGGCCGACACGAAACAACCCAAACTGCGAAAACGCTGCAACTCAGTTCATGCTACTCTTCACGTTGCTGGGGTCCGCGTGTCAGGTGGCCTCCTCTGCAGTGAGAGCTGTCGTCGGCGTATTGGCCTTTGGCTATGCTGCAGTGGAGATGCTCGTGGCTAGCTGGGGGGCTCGGCTCCCGGTGCACATCTGTGAAAGTGCAATGCTGGCTCACACATGGACACGGGGCAACTGTTACAAACCGTGAGCACATGTCGAAATGGGCTCGGCCTTGCGCGATGCGGAGGAGCGATGCGTATCGCACACATAGCACTTCTTCTTCCTGCGCGAATGGTGGGGGGAGTTTATTCGTCGTAAGAGGGATTTGAAATCGTTGGCAGACCAGTCGCGGTTTGACATTGCTGATTACTTGGAAACCAAACTCCACAGTGCGGAAACTGACACTTGGACGGCGCTGGCGGCAGTAATGGCTGCAACCGCCGCAACTTTATTTTTTGTCTTGAAGTTTTTATGCTGCCAACATGTCCGCCGACCGACAGGTTTGATAATTATACAATGCGTCTGCGTATATACATCTACATGTGCAAGGCACAGGAGTGCGGTCCCGGCCGTCCACCAGCCCAGCTGCACGCCGGCTGCTTTGCCAGCGGCCCTGAGGGGATTGCTCTCGGCGGTCTGCTGGCAATCGGCAACCATACAGCGCATAGCAGCGAAGAGACTATACTTCGGGCAGGCCTCTACAACTGCGCTGTGATGCTGCTAATGGGTTCGTGCAGAGATCCCAAGCTTTAAAAAGGATAAACCTAGCAGCAAGCGTGCCAACAACTGCATGCTGTATGGTGCCGAAAAGTGTTGGGTCTGCAGTCGCAGTTTTTACAGGGTGTAAAAGATGTTAGGAATCGGGGTTGAGGTTTGGCGGGTTGTGAGTAAACTGTGCCTCCGTGATGCATCCATTGTCGCACCGCCCAGCTGTGGCGCAGCTGAATAGCTCCAGGAGCAACAAGAAGCATAATACAATCCCAACGTCAAATGCCAAAGCTGGTTCATGTGCATTGAGAGCATTGCTAACGTGAGCTTATTTCGTGTGAATGCATGTCGAGTTTAGGCCTGGTGGCTTAGCATAAGTTTTTTGTTACAACTACTACTGCACTTACTTCCACTATACCTCCTACAATATATATACTGTATATACTATATATACTGCATATACTAAATATGTACTCTATATATATAGTAGAAATATTATATGAACTATATATATATATATATAGAGTACATATATTTAGAATACATACTATATAGACTAGATTTACTATGTATACTACATATATATATATATACTCCATATTTAATTTATATACTGACATACTACCGACCCTCCTTTCTTCCTTCTTTCTTTTCTTCCTTGCTTTCTTCATTCCTTCCTTTCCTCCCTTCTTGCTTTGTTTCTTTCTTTTCTTCCTTCGATCCTTTTTCCTTGCTTCCTTTCCTTCCTTCCTTCCTTGTGTCCTTGCCTTCTTGTTTCCTTGCTTCCTTCCTTCCTTCCTTCCTTCCTTCCTTCCTTCCTTCCTTCTCTCTCTTCTTCTTTCCTTGTTTCCTTCCTCCTCCCCCGTTTCCTTGCTGTCTTGCTCCCCTGTGTAAACAACACAACGTAGGGGCCAAAAAAAAAAAAAAAGGGCCCCCCCCAAAAAAAAGGGCCCAAAAAAAATAGCTTCCCCTTAGAGTAGGCCTTGAGGGTTTAGGGTTGAGAATAAGGTTTAGGGGTTTGGAGTTTAAGGCAGTATCATCAAGTTTCTTTCATATAGCATAGTATAATATAATGCAGTCTTATACTACATACTTGGGTTTAAAGTAGTTCCCTGTTGGCTATGGCTGCAAGAAAGCTGGTCGCCACATGAACCTACGAGCCCAAAAAAAACTATAAATCATAAAGCTTGCGAAATAAAGATTTACTTTGGAAGATCCGGGTTCAGATACGGGTGGCTGTCACAATTAGGATCCCTTTTTGGGTACCCTAAATATTAGGTGCCGTATTGTGATCAGGACCCAAAAAGGGACCCTAATTTTAACAACCACCCATATGACAATGTGGTTTCCTCAAATCAGAGCACGGCGAATGGAAATACCTAAGAAAGAGAGAGTCCCCAACAGATCACCACCCTTCGGCACCTAATCCCTACTATGTCTGCTCTGGTTCGCTCGTTCTTTATCAGTCAGATTCCTACAGACGACCATCTCTACAAATAAGCACAAGAAGAGATCTTGGGGACCCTCTGCAGAACGGCAGAACCCAAAAGACCCCCGGCACGCAAGCCCAAGAACCACGACCATTCCTCGGGGACCCGAAAAGTGAGCTGTATTTCGAGTAATTATTCAAGCTGATAGCCCGATACATACCCCTTCTTCTGGGCATCCTCTTAACAAGAGGCCGTTCACCAATCAAGGAATTCTAGGTTTCCGAAACCTCGAGTCCCAAGACCCGCAAACCCGCCCATACGTGGAGGTTCATGGGAAGTTACAAGTGGGGTTAGAAGTCCCCTAATATGGGTTATAACCATAGCTATCCTACTTATAACCCTACTTATAGCTACCCATGAACCTCCTCTTATAGAACCCTTATAGATCCCTTGAAGGACCCCTATAAACCCTACTTCTAACTACCCATGAACCTCCAAGCAAACCCTGAAACCCTCAGTTTCGATAGTTTCGACCCAAACCTCGAGGGCCTCGGGTATAAACTGTTGACACCTCCTATAGGGATCTTCCCCACGGTTTAGGGTTTAGGGTTTAGGGTTTACAAGATCAGACAGGGCCCGGAGATGATCCGGTTGAGCTACGGTGGCTTTAGGGTTCAGGGGCTCAGTCGGCGGGTTTGTTAGGGCCTAAAGCTTAAGATTTAGCTTAGGGGTTTACAGCTTCCGGCGGTTTATGGATTTACGGGCTTGGGGTTTAGAGTGGGCGACTCACTGCGCGCCTAAATAGCCTGTCTCCTGGCCGCCCAGGGCGTTGAAAAGCGACACCAGGAGCTCAGACCTATCCCACGAGAAGCCAAGCAAGTGATTTCGGACATCCTGCCTGCCTCCACCAAAGTGAAAGAGACTAAGAACGAAAAATGCAACATGACATAGTGATAGTGAACGAAAAGTGCAACATGACGTAGTGATAGTGGTGATGTAGGCTAGATGCCATCACGTTAGAGCCGGTGTGATCTACGAGCTGACAGCAGCATGCAACAAGAGTTGCGTTCAAGACTGGGGATTGTGATGGTGGGGATCAAGCTTCGGTTCAAAATCGGCGGAAGCCCGAGACTCAGGCAGCACTTCTACAAGAACCAGATCGGAAAGAAACCGATCATTAATAGGGTATATAACTATATAACTATACCTCCTAAACCCAAACCTAACCGACCGAATCCTCGATCCCTAAACCTTCAACCCCAGCACCCTTGTGCTACCCGAAAACCCAGCCAAGAAAGCCCAAACAGTTCCCCCCGGCTCGGCCTGGAGGTCACTTTCTTCTTCGGCTTCTCTTGTTTGGCTTTCGGCGTGGCGCGTGCCTGCGATTCTCAAAATCTCATCGATCACAATGACAAAATCACAACCAAGACCCCGCAAATCCCGACTCCATGTCCCGATCCCGAAGCAACAGACAATGAATCCAGAAACCAACCTTCTGCACGCGCTTCTTCGCGGCTGCCACAGCGCGGCGCACTTTGGCTGCTTCAACATCGGCGGGAGTGCCTGACCCCAGAGCCCCCACGAAGAAATCTGCGGTTTGAGACGCACAGTTTAGAATTCGATTGCACTCCAGGCTTCTAAACCGTCTAAACTATACGGCTTTTTACAGCGGAACTTGGAGATTCATGGGTAGTTGTAAGTGGAGTTATAGGTCCCCGAATTTAGGTTATAAATACAGCTACCTTACTGGTAAACCCTACTTATAAGTTATCCTACTGATAAACCCTACTTATACGTTATCCTACTGATAAACCCAACTACCCTAGAACCTCCAAGACAATCCGAGACTTCCTTTGAGGAAGTTTTGACCCCCAAATCGCTACACCACAGAAACAGAAGGCTCCGCCTAGTGGTCATAAACTTGTAACAGCGCCCTTAAAGCGATCCTTCCGAGGAACCCTGAAAGGGACACTTGAGCGTTACGATGAGGGTTACTATAAAGTTTTACTCTAGAGGTCAAGGCTGGAGAACGATTGTTACAACAAAATTGCTTGCTCACCGCCAAGCAAGCGGAAACTTTGAATGCTTGGTCCCCTTTCGTGGCGTGCTTCGAAGAAGTTCCATACGAAGCCTTCTCGCAAAAGTCCCAGCTGCGCTCAAGGCAGTGACGAATTGAAAGTGCGGGACAACATGCAATGAATAACGAGCAGTTCGGCTCTAAAGCCAATGAGAGCAGAGGCACGGCGCAGCTGCAAGATATGGCAGGTTCCGAGTATGAGGAGCACCTGCAATCCCGCTCTTCGCACCCCTTTCCAATCCTACACAGACCCTATACAACCCACACTGATGCCACAACGTGGTGGCTGCACCAGGCTGCGTTCATTGGCTTCTCGGAGTCCCAGATTAAGCCATAAGCCTCGCGCCTCGCGGAGGTTCCTGCATATCTTGACGGCCCATTAAATATATATATATATATATATACATATACATATACATATACATATACATATACATATACATATACATATACATATACATATATACGTGTATATATACACGTATATATATATATATATACACGTATATATATATATATATACACGTATATATATATATATATATATATATACGTGTATATATATATATATATATATACACGTATTTATGTGTTTATGTATTTGCATACGTTTCTATACTCGTTCTATACTTATATATTTACATATACATATACTTGCATAACTGCTTATTATCTACCTATATATTGTTCTACTATATATACCGTATAACATGGAGCCTGAACTGAACCAAGCCTCCCACCTGATTGCTGCAGCTCCCTGGGCACCAATGAGGATCGGCGCCGCGCCGGCTGTTCGCTGGGCCTCGTGGCTTGAAGCGTTTCAAGACGTCGGGCATTGTATCATTGCGCGGGGTTTAGACTTTAGGGTATGCGGTTCAGGGTTCCGAATTTCGCGTTTAGGGTTTAGGGTTCTGAGCTGACGGTATAAGGTTTAGGGTTCATTCAGAGCTTCGAGTTTAGAGTTTATTGTTTAGGGTTTCTCAAACCTTGTGACTGCAGCGGTTTTTAGGGGCAAGGGCGTGGAGGGCATGGAGCATATTCCGCGCAGGGCCTTGAAACCTGGGGCTTGAGCTGCAGCTGAAACCGGAAAGCTCATCATTGCCCCTACTACCTTGGGGGTTCCTTATTATAACTATGGTATAGTATATATATATATACATATAGAGGTGTCTTTTAAAAATAATATATATATATATATATATATATATACATACATACATACATACATACATACATATGTATATATATATATCCCCCGCCAAGATCTACACCCGCCTCTTGCACACAATTCTTTTTTCTTCTCTACATTGGTCCACTACTCATTTATGCCGAAGACACCGAAAAATACCGATACAATCGTGCTGTTCGCCATGTGCATGCAAACCGTGTTGCTACACGTCGCGGGTTTGATATGTGTATAAATCTGGCGCCGAATCTCGGCCGCAGATTTGTGATAGTTTATGTGTTGGACAAGCTGAAACGCTGGAGAGCGTGCCATTTTTGTTCATGTGGTACTAAAACACCTCGTGTTTTCTTGCATTTTACAGTGGTTCATGGTGTGTTTATTAACAACATTCTTTCAACAATAAACATGCTGTAGTCTCTCTTACGAAGAAGTCTGTTGCGTGGGCCATCTCTTTCCCGCTGCTCGTGAAGCGTCCGATTCTGATGCGGCCTATTAATCAGTAGCTCTAGCATTTGATTTACGAGTGAGCAGACGCAAGTAGCCCTTTTCATCTCCTTTCGTATACACGAAGGAAGTCGAACCTTGCGTCAGGACGAAAGTTCGTCGCATCGGGTAGGTCTGTTAACATATACATCGTTCTAGTCCTTGAAAGCGATTGAAAGCTCACCGTTCTCCTGTGATACAACATACCCTGCCCTGGACATCACGAAACAGCGTAGCGCTCAAAAATTCCAAAATTCCCAACCTTGAAATTCACGAAACACTGTAATGCTCAACAAACTCCAAAAACTCCCAAAATCTGGCATCTATGGCCAGGCCGGGGGCAGATTCCGTAAAATTTTGTTGGAATTTGTTGAGCATTACAGTGCTTCGTGCGTTGCAGGGCTTGGAAAATTTGATTTGTTTGAGCATTACAGTGTTTCGTGGCCTGAACATCACAAACCACTGCCGTGCTCAAAAAAAGCAACTTTCACAGCCTCAAAACTCACAAAACTTGAGCACAGCAGTGTTTCGTGGTCTATACCTCACAAAAAACTGTAATGCACAAAAAAAAACTTTTCACTGCCTCAAAGCTCCCGAAACACCGCAATGCTCAAACAAGTTCAAACTTTCAGGAATCTGCCACCGGCCTGGCCCTAGATGCCATTATATTTGAAATTTTTGGAGCATTACAGTGTTTCGTGACTTTTGAGATTGGATTTTTTTATTTCTATGCATTACAGTGTTTCGTGGCCTGAACCTCACAAAACACTGTCCTGCGCAAAAATCAACTTTTCACAGCCGCAAAGCTCACAAAACTTGAGTATAGCAGTGTTTCGTGGCCTGAACCTCACAAAACACTGTAATGCTCAAAAAAACTCAGCTTTTCCAAGCCCTGAAACGCACGAAACACTGTAATGCTCAAAACAATCTAATCTTTTTCAGGAATCTGGGCCTGGCCGCTTCACGCGCCTCATGCCCCAAGAACCACGAAAGCGTAGATCTTCGGGGGGGGGGGGGGGCGGGAACATATATATATATATATATATATATATATATGGATATATGTATATGTATATACCCATACTACTTTGGGGGATTTAAAACTATACCTATAGTATGTTTTACCCTCCCAAAACCCTTTTCTGCTTTGCAACACTTCTATATTGAGTCCTGCGATCTCATAGACTGCCACAGGGAGAGCAGTGGCGGCTTGCGGACAAGTCGCACGAGGAGCTGCGTGGGAGCCTGGACATTGCCGAGGAAAGCGGTAAATGCCAAACGGTGATCAGAACAGGCTGGCAAGTTAGGTACTGCCCCCATACAGTAAGAGTCTATAGTAGGGCTACGATGTATTATTCAACTATTACTGAGTGGGGGCCGTACCCAGCTGGTAAGTCGTATGACTGTCACGTGGTACAACGGCAACATAAGCCACAACAATCGCGATCGTCAGCATCGTAGTCATCGGCAGCAGGGGCATCATCCTCAACAACTTCTTTAAAAGACTATGGAGCTCATGTCTGAATGAACCCGAACCCTCAAGGATTCAAGCCTCAAGTCTTGTCTGCAAGTTGAATAAACCCTACGAGTATAAGGGCAAGATCATGTTAATCTGGTCTTGAGTGGATACTTGATCCCATGGTTATAGGGGGTTTAAACGGATAACACTGGGGTCCCAGGCCTGCTTTCAGAAGGCCAGAAGACTTACAAGCAAAGCTGCTTGGAGGTTCATGTGTAGTTATAAGTGGGGTAATAAGTCCCCTAATATGGGTTTTACGTATATTATAACCCTACTTATATCCACCCATGAACCTCCAAGTAGCCCCTAAACCCTATACTCTTATAGAACTCCTATAGATCCCTTTAAAGGGGCCCTTAAAGGAACGCTTATAACTACCCATAAACCTCCAAATGCCCTCAGGATACGTACACTCGCGGGCTGCTCCAATCCCCAAACACCCCAAGCCCTAAACCCCTCAACCCCAAACCCTAAACCGAAACCCCCAAACCCAAAACACCCAAAATGTCCTATATATACTACATATACTATATATACTACTGTTTATATATATATATATACTGTATATATATACTGTATATATATATATATATATATATATATATATATATATATGTCCTAGGGTCCTAGAGTCCCAGAAGGCCTGCGGCGCGGCAGCCACGGGTTTGGTCGGGGTCGAGGGCTCCTCCTTCGCCTCCTTCTTTCTTGGCTGCATGCCAGTCGCACGGAAGCCCCCGGGTGCCAAACATTTTCGCACTACTTAGCAACAAGTATGTACATATAAGAAATATCTATAGATACGTATATGTACATATAAATATATATGCGCATATGTATACGTATGCATGTGTATGTGTTTACGTACAGGCACACGTATACGTAAACACACATGTTTATGTTTACGGATATGTACATGTGTAAACAAATAGATGTATAGATAGAAGGGTAGACAGATTGATAGATTTAGACAGATTTAGATAGACAGATAGACAGATAGACAGAGAGACAGATAGACAGACAGACAGATAGACAACTGATAGACGGGTAGACAGACAGATAAATAGATAGATTGACAGATAGGTGGGTAGATACATAGGCATGAGTATATGTGTATGTACGTATACGTATGTCTCTTTGAATTACGGAAGGCTTCTGACTCAAGTTTCGAGAGGTTTCCGAAAAAAATATGAAATTGTGCAGCTGCTACACGTCCCTGGCCGAAACTCTTGATCCATGCGTGTGTTGTGTATTCCCGTGAGACATGGAGACGCCTCACTTATGAATACGGTCGGAAGTTTACTCAGAAGAGGCTGTCCAACTAAGGTGAACGGAAGCTGAAGGAATGGATTGACTACAGTCTCAGATTTGCCAAGGATAGCTGTCGTGCAACAGAACTCCAGCTTCATTACGATCTTCGGCTGGAGTTGGGTGTGCTCCTGGCTCACATGTTTTATGTTCATCCGAACTTGTATCTAACCAGCCCTCAAACCTAAAACCTCGACAACCCCAGACTCCCCCAAACCCGGCAGGAAGCCCCGATCCTCCTTCACAGGTTGCGTGGAAGTCTTCTCGCCCTCCGTCCTAGCAGCGGCAGTCCAAAGCCAGAAACCCGACGACCACAAGCCCTAAAACACAAGTAAGGGTTGGGGTTTAGGTTTAGGGCTTGTGGCTTTTAGGGAATACTTCTCTTCAAAATTAAAGAGCCTTGGTTGCCTGTTGGAGCGAGACATTTCATCTTGAACATGCGGGGACTGCAGACAACTGCAGAGCTAAGAGAGCTTGCCGGACACCGAGATGGGCTTCAAACTTCAAACTGCACTACTTGGAGGTTCACGGGCAGTTATAAGTGGAGTTATATGACCCCTAATACGGGTTATGACTATAGTTATCCTACTTATAACCCTACTCATAACTACCTATGAACCTCCAAGTATGTAAAGCTGACCCTGCCCCGAAAAAACCCTTCAACCCTCAAGCACACTTTCAATCTATAGGCCCCTCTCCAACCCCAAAGCCCCGACCCCCAAAGCTTCTTTATCCGAAAAATCCGTAGGAACCCTTAGCCCTGAAGCCCCAAAGAACCCCAAAAGCCCAGGGGCCCCTGCGTCCTTCCTAGCCCTGACCCCCAAAGTAGCACGGCAAGCCGACCATAGCCAGGAGGCCTGAACTACAAACCAATAGATAACCCCTTTAAACCAAACCCGAAACCCGAAACTTCAAACCCTATGAAGCCAACATCCAAAAAAGAAAACCCAATAGAGAGCCAAAACAAAGCCTGAATCCTGTCCAACCCGTAAACCCCCGCTCACCCCGTAGAAACCCACACTGAACCCCTTTTGCCGTTGGCTGTTTGAGGACACGACCTCGGAGAGGGCTCGCTGCGGGCCTCCTCCTGGAAAGTGCATTTACGGGCGTTTTGTGTTTTGGGCTGATAGGGTTTAGGGTTTAGGAGGATTGCTTAGTTACTATAAGGGTTTCTGCAAGGGCTCCATCAGGGTACTTTGAAGGGTTTCAGGGCTTCAGGGTTTAGGGCTTGAGGCTTGAGGACTGTAGTTTCGGGTGCTGCATTAATGTGAGCTCTTTTAAGGGCTCCTTTCCGGGTTCCCTGGAAGGCCCGAAGAAACGAATATCTCCTGCATTCCCATACTCTAAACTCCCTAGCTGCGAGGACGCCTGCTGAAGTAAGGAATGCTTTGCTCATCTGGATTCGGCCGGTCACAAGATCCCGTACGGAAACCCTATGCAAGGACAAACCTCAAACCCCAGCTCCAAGACAGTACAAACACCCGTCGTCGTCTTCGCCGTAGTAGTAGCAGTAGTAGTAGTAGTAGTAGTAGTAGTAGTAGTAGTAGTAGTGGAAGACGTAGAGGTAGATGTAGACGGTACGCGTAGACATAGACATAGACGTAGATGTAGACGAGACGTAGACGTCGACTTAGACATACACGTAGAAGTAGACGTCGATGTCGATGTGGACGTGGACACGGACGTGGACACAGACGTCGACGTAGCGGCAAGCCCACAAAAGGCCGGTGTCGGGACTCTGAAGACAGTCAGCACAGCTTCTACGAATGGGGACTCCCCTACATTCTGTAAATTTCTCAAAAAGTGCTTACGTAGGGTTTGGGGTTGCAGGATCGGGGCTTGGAGATTAGATCTTTGCGTTTTGGCTGCAGTTTCAGGTCTTGGGGCTTTGGTTTAGGGCTGAGGGTGTAGGGCTTAAGGCTTTGGGTGTAGGGTTTAGGGTTTATGTTTTCAGGTTCAGGACTAGGGCAGGGGGAACCAAAAACACATCCAGAGTCGTTGAACTGCAGCCTTGCACGAGTACAAATCCCTCTTGGATGCCTTGAAAACTAGATTAGTATATTATGCCATTATGTTACGTTGAAGATCGTTGAAGCACATCATAGCATAGTACAGTATGGTACATAAGAGTACACTATGGCATGGTAAAGTGTGGTATAGAAGAGTACATTATGGCATCATACATCATAGTATCATACACTATACAGTCTACTGGAATTACCCTTAAGCCTCAGGCCTCTTTTGAGGGCTCTGCACGAGGTGCTTCCGCCCTTCACGGTTTGGGGTTCAGGTTTAGGGCTTAGGGTTTATAGTTCAGAGTTTTATACGTCGCTTCTGGAGATCTACAGGGCCCTACAAGGCTGAGGGACTCAGACGGGCTATTCGGTTTAGGGTTTAGGGGTTAGGGTATATTCGGGTGTCTGGCACATTTAAGGATACCTTTTTATGAACCAACGTAATACAAGAACGCTTCCACTTAGCAAGTCTTCTGACTGCCGCTAGTTGCTGAAACTCCACGTGTTGGCTTTGAATGCCCCAAAGTCATGGCCACTGCTATGCGTCAGGCCGAAGTGGGTACACAAGCTGCAACAGATGGACAATGTTGACACGAAATCATGTTACGGTATATTAGGGCATATTATAGCATAGTATATTGATTCTTATGGTATATTAGATCATACCTTGACCCCGAAGCCTCGTATACCCAAAGTCTTCTCCTCCACTTGCTCCTCTGAGCTTGAGCTTCCATCGTTCACGGCCATCCTTGGTTCGACTAGGCGGCAGGTCTTCGTTGGAGTGCTCCGATTTTCTGAAACTCTCCCATAGGCCCTCAAGCCTCAAGCCGTTGAGGGCTGGTCTTGTTAGGAGTCTGGGCTTCATTCATGGGAGTTTCCGAAAATAGGGGACCCCAATATACTACTCTAAATAGTAGGATCCTTTTTAGAAGGACCCCAAAATAAGGTAGAAACTCCCTCATCAGAGTTAGAGTACGCCGGCTGCTTCTGACTGTCTCTCTCTTGACGCCTTGATCCCGACTTCGTCTTCCTTTGCCCCGAAACCCCCGGGCCAACATATCGGTGCCAAGACGAGGACCGAATTCCCGAAAGGCTGAAAGTAAGAGTAAAGATCAGATTACAGTAGAAGCATAACAGAAGCTGCAAGCGACAACAAGAACAAGGTAGCCGATGTGGCGGTAGCGTCGTCGTGATTCACAAGAAAGACGTTGTGAAAACAGAAGCAGCAACACGTGAAAAGGAGCGACAAAGAGAGTCCCAGTTATGCCTTCATGTATTCATGCATATAGTATTTGTCTATGTTTGCACTCATTCATAAGATTGCCTATGCTTGGATCTGCCGTAGAGGCTCGACACACTCAAGTGCTTGTTTATCGGTGTGTCTGCGTGTCTGTTCTAGGGCAAGAACGATAAACGCAAACGACTCCATCAAGAACCGTGGTCACAACCGTCGTACTGCCATCAAAACCAGAACGAGAGTAGAACGAACACACCAATGGTAATAAGCGCGATAAGAAAAGAGAACGGACGCTGCATGGACATGAATCTGAGCCGTGGACGTCTGGGGCACAACCTCGTCAGCATGGTAGCTGCGACTTGTGTCAAAAGGGGAGCTTGCAGGGCAGGGGAAAATCGATATTCTCACGAACGGCCACATGTTGATTTACGGATGCATGTAGTCTTGATTGCACTCCCTCGCCACGGCAGTTCCAGTTGGAATTCATGGCCTCCAAACTTTATCGCTTCAGACAATATCCAATCTGGTTCATGGCTACATAGGTTCCATGATGTACACCACCCGAGGGGTGAAATCCCATATGGGCAGAGAGCTCGGGCAGACAAATCAGTGAAAAGACCTGAAACCCTTCGCGGCCCCAAACCCTTAACCCAAACTAAGCCCCACCCCCCACCTGGACCCCCCACCCAAACCCACCATCCTAAACCCCAAATCCCCAACCCTCAAGCCGCAAAGCCTCAACCCAACTCCCCCCCCACCACCGCGCAACTTGCCACGAACACAGAAAAAGACCCCCCCCCCCCCCACACTTTTGCGAAGCCTCTGCCTCGGAGCTGCCATCTTCGGAAGCCTCCGGGGTTCAAAGCTTAGGGCTTTCAGGCTTAAGGCTTGGGGTTTAGGGCTTGAGGCTTAAGGCTTAGGGTTTAACGCTTTGGGCTAGGGTTTAGGGTTCAGGGTTAACCATAGTTAGATGGAAGAAATCGTAGTGGTAGCTGTGAGAACCCCGAAATCCTGGGTCCTGGTCTGTGTTCAACTTGCGATACTAAATTTTTGTTGACCCCAAAACCGATCCGAATAATGCCATGGTTGTTACCCAGTCTATTGCATATTACTAACGCTAAGCGGACTCGGGTCGCAATAGTGATGACACTGGAACCTTATTGACAGCACTAATTTGTAACATGCACAAACAACAAATGAAATGCGCACCCTTTGCCAGGAAAAGCTTGGTCTTGGAGTGAAATACCAAGGAAAACGATGGTTTTGGCGGGGAAAGGCAGCCAACTATTTCTTAGGAAAAAGATGGTTTTGGGAAGGAAAACCATCTTTCCTTGGAAGAACCAAAAACAAAACATCTTTTATACGGTCACACTACAAAAAATGTTTTTTGGTTTTCTCTAGGGAAAACCGGGAAAACATGGTTTCGGGCGGAAAAACCAACTTTTCCTCGAAAACAAAAGGTTTTGGGTCGGAAAACCAATTCCTAGGAAGAAGATGGCTTTGGCATAAAAAACCAACTTTTTCCCAGGCAAAAAATTGTTTTGAGCAGGTAAACCTTTTTTCCAAGAAAAGATGGTTTTGGGCAAGAAAACCAATTGTGTCCTAGTGAAAACCAAAAAAAACATCTTTGGGCACTTTGGCCGCAATAATTTTCCACAAAAAATGTTGTTTTTGCAAAAACTGTTTCCCAAAACCATCTTTTTCATTAGGAAAAATTGGTTTTCCTTCCCAAAACCATCTTTTTCACAGGAAAAAATTGGTTTTCCTGCCCAAAACCGTTTTTTTACTAGGGAAAAGCAAAAAGCATCTTTTTTGAGTCTGGCCGCATAGTGTCTCAGAAGATGTCTTTTTCTGCTTTGTTTTGTTTTCTTTAAGAAAAGTTGGTTTTCGCTTGGGAGGGCACAGTGTTGCCGTTGACTATGTGCTCACGTCGAGCCTGAATGAGTTGACTGACACGTTCTCTTGAAATTTGAATTTGTTTTCGGTAGTCTTTGGGAGATACAGAATCCGGACCTGCCGGAAAAGCTGGTTTGACACGGTATCTACAATACCAAACGAAGGTCGGTAGTTCTTGCATATATGTATGTATATATATATATATATATATATGTATTGTATGTTTTTATTTCTTTATTTATTTACCTACTTAAATTTTTGGTATATACTATAATATATGCTATACTCTATACTATAAGGCACGTCTGTGTGCTGCGCGCCTCGGCGCGCTGCCCGGAGGCCTCCGCAAGCACCGACGTCAAAGTTGCGCAAGTCGAAATGACGGCTCGTCCTCAAAATGCCTAGGCGCCTAGTTACCTGCACGGGTCCGCTTCTGCATTAGACAGTGCCTCTCCCAGCTGCTGCGTAGATGCCGACGAAGCCGCAGAGTTGGAGTGAGACCTGGAAGGGAGCCAGCAACCAGCCTTGTCCACAGATTCAGAATGGACGGTCAAAACACGTACTGCTAGACTGACTGCCTAAACCACTGAACTTCATAAACAAAATGAGCCCCAGACTCTTCAGCCTCAACAACCCTGAGCCCCTGGCATCTCTGCCCCCCAGGCAACTTTGGGTTCTACACTAGGGTCCCCTGTAGGGAAATCTTAAGGAAGCCTTATTAACTCGAATGGGCTTCTCCTTGCCTGGAGGCCCTCGCATCGAGAGTGGCCGCCTGGCTGTGAGCTTCAGACATCAAAAAAACAAGTACTCCATCTTTAGCAAACATAACTGCTCCTTCGAGGGATGCTACAAGGCTTCGTGTAAGGGCTTCGCGAGTCTAAGTATTGTTCTGATATACTGTTCCTTTGCCAGATCTCCAAGGGTTTCTTGAAGGGTTCCGTAAAGGACTCCGTCAAGGATTCTGTTCGGATTAAAGGCTGTAGAAGGCTTTGGGGATGCAGGGTGCTAGTGTATTTCAGGTATGGCGAACTTTCACAAGATGAGGAAGGATGGTACGAGTTATTGCAGAGACCCAACGAGCGTAAGCTCACTTGAAGACGCATCGTTCGAAACTGCTTTGAGATGCCCTCTGGTTCTCAAAAGATGCCGTCGGGTCCCAGAAAACTCAACACATCCTTACATGCAACCTCAAGACCTGCATCGTCTCACCCAGTGTTGCAACTCTAGCTGACTCAGCTGGACACAGCACGACCCGCTGGCATACCACCATCCCCGGCACTCCGAGACATGCCTCCGCCCTCGCAGATGCACCGACGCCTCCAGGTGACATTGGCACGTTTGGACAAAAGCCTTTCAGCCACGCGACTTGGATCTCCGTAAACAGATCATCGCACCAGGGTTTAGGGTTTAGTCAACATTCAACATGGTCCGGTGAAGCTCGTTGTGCACATGCTCCGCACCTTGATCCTCAGCCGTGGCACCATCGTTGCTGGAGCTGCTGGGACGTGTGGCTTCGCGGACTGCCAAGCCTAACTATGAAAAGTCGACATAGGTTTCGGAAAGCTCGCAACAGTCTCGTTTCAAAAATGATTGAAAAAAACAAGAAGTACAAATGCAGCCTGCTTTCCGAGTTTAAACAATTGCAACAAAAGCAAGTTGTCGTACTCGAAACGGACTCGGACCTCAACGACGCAAAGCTAGAAACCGGAAAAAAATTGCTGATCATCAGAACACCCAACCCGCACCTTGATCCTCTGCACTGAGGCTGGCCGTGGCACCATCATTGCTGGAGCTGCTTGGACGTGCGGCCTCGCGGCCTGCCAAGCATAACTGGCCAAGGCGACTTTGGGCTGCCAGCTCATTGAATTTCAATATTTTGCCACAAGTCTGACAGAGTGAAAACTCGACATGGGTATCGGAAAGATCGACTACCAGGAGTAACTTAAGATGTTGCTTGTTGTTTGTTTGAGTTTTGGGCTTTCCTCCCTAGGAGACCTGCAACCATGGCCAGGTGGGCATCCTCCGTTAACATCACGCTATTCACGTTGTTGCCAACTCCCGGCGTCCTGTTCTGTACAACGCATGGTCCATTATGGTCCAAATCTGGTCCCCGCGACCTATTCTCTACATAGGATGCTCGCTGCGAGTGTCTCCCGCTGTGGTGCAGTGCATACTTTTCATCACTTTACACAGGGTTCCATGTGCTGGAGACGTGACTCATTGTAGATACGGTAACAACATATGGATCACCCGTACTCGTGGAAAACCTTGAATCGCAGCAACACTCGGGGAAAACGATTTTGGGTCTTGCTTTGGATGTAGCCACCAGCGGGTTTCAGGCGCGCACGGTAAAACGTCTAAGGCGCACACGGCAAAACGCGTGTCCAAGGCGCACACAGGCGCCAAAACCGACATATCCGCACTTCACCCCACCAAGCCGGAGGTTCTAAGGTACGCTTTCGTCCGCAAGAACTGACGTGTTCGCTTTTCCACAGCACGAAAGCGGAGGGTCTAGGGTAGTGTTGAATATGCAAGAACAAATGTGTTCGCATGTCATAGCACGGAACCGGAGGGCTAGGGTAGGGTTCGGTAGGTGCTCAGGTATCTCAAACTCGCCCCCTTCTTTGGCGATCCCAATCCATCACATATCTTCTACGCGCCCTCATTTGCCGATCCCGGCTGATCACGTAACTTAAACATGCCCCTCCTGATCCCTCCTGAAACGATCCTTGTTGATCATGTTTCTTAAACCTGTCCCCTCATATGGCGATCCCGATTCATGACATATCCTTAACATGACACCCTCATTCGGCGATCCAAGTTGATCACATTCGTTAAAGCCACCCCCTCAGTGGCGTTCATCACACATCTTAAACACCCCCCCTCATTTGGCGATCCGGATGAGCACATATCTGAAGCAAGCCTCCTCTTTTGCGACTCAGGTTGATCGCATATCTTAAACTCACACCCTCCTCTGGCGAGCCCGATTCATGGCTTTTCTTAAGCACACCCTCTCAGTAGGGAATCCCGTTGATCACATCCCCCGCCGTTGGCGAGCCCGATTCACCACACATCTTCAACACGCCCCTCCTTAGGTGATCACGATTCATCGCGTATCGTGGGCACGCCCCCCCTCATTTGGCGAGCCCGACAGTCATCACACATTGTACCCACACCCCCTCATGAGACGATCCTGGTTGATCACAATTCTTGAACACACCCCATTATTTGGCGATCCGGGGTGTCACAGATCTTAAGCATAACATACCCTCACAATTCGCGACCCCGATTTGCCACATACCTTAAACATGCCACGTCATGCCGCTCGCTTCATTTGGCGATTCCGAATGATCAATACCGTACGCTCGCCACCTCCTTTGGTGACCCCGGTTCCTAACATGTCTCAAGCACGCCCCTTCCTTGGCGATCCAGGCTGATCACATATCTTAATCTTAATCATCATATATCTTAAACACGGTTTATCATTAGGCCCATTAGGCGATCCCGCTATTAAAACTTCTCAAACCAGCCCTCTCATATGGCAATCCAAAACAGAAAAGCAAAGAAACAAAAAAGCAGAAAATCAAAGCAAAAGCAAGAACAAGCAGAAAACGACGAGCAACAACAGGCAGAAGGCACAAAGAACAGCGGCACGGCAGAAAAGCGGCGAACATAAAAGCGGGCAGAGAAGCGGAAAAGCAGAGAGGCAAAAAAAACCTCGCAAGCAGAAGCACAAACAAACAAAAAACAAGAAGCTAGCAAAAGCAGAAGGTAGAACGGGAAGACACCGTAACACAAGCAGCCTGTAAAAACTCCCCCAAAAATGCTGTAAACAAGGATGCTCCCAGTCTCGTGTCAACAGGTTTGGGTCGTACTCGAGGAGCAACGAGTTTGGGTTGGGTGTTCTGATTTGCACATCTTCGCGAAACTTTGCGTCCTTGACTTACCTTTGGTTAGTAGGGAATGGAAGGATGGTAGTAATAGTACTTATAACTTATGATTGTACCCCATTCTTCCATTCCCTACTAACCAAAGGTTTGTTGAGGTCCGAGTCCCGCACCTTGATCCTCTGCACTGGGGCTGGCCGTGGCACCATCATCGCTGGAGCTGCTTGGACGTGTGGCTTCACGGCCTGCCAAGCAAGGCGACTTTGGGCTGCAAACTCCTCCTTCGAGAATTTGTCACGAGTCACTAAGATAAAGGTATCGGAAAGCTCGAAACAGTCTCATGTCAACAAGTTTTAAGAACCAAGAAGTACAAATATAGTCTGCGATGCGAGTTCAAACGCAGGCAAACATCCGGCTGGAATTCCCTCCTAGACTACTAGATTGACACGAACGACGATAAAAACCATGCTTCCTAGACATGTGAATGCTGCCACACCTTGATCCCCTGGACTGGGCTCCGCCGCAGCTCCGCCGCCACTTGGGCTGCGAGCCTGTGCGTTTGAGCTCGTCGATGCACGGCCTCCCCGGTCATGTGGGATAACATGTCAACCGAGTGCCTCGGACTCAAAGATCAAAGCGGGCTACTCCTGTGCCAATACAGGATATCAAAAACAAAGAGCTCAAAGCGACTCTGTTGCAAACACAGCTGAAATCGAAAGCGTTCCATTGCGAACCGGTTTGGATGCAGTGAAGTGAACCTTCAAAATCTTAAGGCGAACCCCACAGTGTCAGCAAGCATGCTGCCACACCTTGATCCCCTACACCGGGCTTCGCCGCTGCGCCGCCACTTGGGCTGCGAGGCTGTGCGTTCGATCTCGTCGATGCACGGCCTCCCAGGTCATGTGCGCGAACATGTCAACCGAGTGCCTCTGGACTCAAGGATCAAAGCGGGCTACTCCTGTGCCAATACAGGATATCAGAAAAACAAAAAGCTCGAAGCGACTCTGTTGCAAAAAAAGTTGAAATCGAAAGCGTTCCATTGCGAACCGGTTTGGATGCAATGAAGTGAACCTTCAAAATCTTAAGGCGAACCCCACAGTGTCAGCAAGCATGCTGCCACACCTTGATCCCCTGCACCAGGCTTCGCCGCAGCTCCGCCGCCACTTGGGCTGCGAGGCTGTGCGTTCGATCTCGTCGATGCACGGCCTCCCAGGTCATGTGGGGGAACATGTCAACCGAGTACCTCTGGATTCAAAGATCAAAGCGGGCTACTCCTGTGCCAATACAGGATATCAGAAAAACAAAAAGCTCAAAGCGACTCTGTTGCAAACACAGCTGAAACCGGAAGCGTTCCATTGCGAACCGGTTTGGATGCAGTGAAGTGAACCTTCAATCTCTTAAGGGGAACCCCACAGTGTCAGCAAGCATGCTGCCACACCTTGATCCCCTACACCGGGCTTCGCCGCTCCGCCGCCACTTGGGCTGCGAGGCTGTGCGTTCGATCTCGTCGATGCACGGCCTCCCAGGTCATGTGCGCGAACATGTCAACCGAGTGCCTCTGGACTCAAGGATCAAAGCGGGCTACTCCTGTGCCAATACAGGATATCAGAAAAACAAAAAGCTCAAAGCGACTGTGTTGCGAACACAGTTGAAATCGAAAGCGTTCCATTGCGAACCGGTATTCAAAATCTTAAGGCGAACCCCACAGTGTCAGCAAGCATGCTGCCACGCCTTGATCGCTGGCACCGGGCTTCGCCGCTCCGCCGCCACTTGGGCTGCGAGGCTGTGCGTTCGATCTCGTCGATGCACGGCCTCCCAGGTCATGCGCGCGAACATGTCAACCGAGTGCCTCTGGATGCAAATATCAAAGCTGAACTATGCTGAACTGGCTCATTAAAGCGTGGCCCGCCCAACCTTCAAAATCTTAAGGCGGACACTGCAATCTCAGCAAGCATGCTTCCTCACCTTGAACCCCTCGACTCGGCTTCCCCGCAGCACCTCCACCACTTGGGCTGCGAGGCTGTGTGTTCGACCTCGTCGATGCACGGCCTCCCAGGTCATACGGGATCATTCAGATGCAACCGCCTCAATCTAATTCCGACACAGAGTATCGACCTGCTGCAACGCCAAACCGGCCAACTTCGTGTTCAGGTCTGAACGATGCAAAACATCGAAATCCAACCGACAAGACCGACACTTGAAACCGCATACCCTAAACCCTAAAGCCTTAAGCTGTCACACCTTGAGCCTGCGGGCCAGGCGTTGCCATGGCGCCACCGTTGCATGGAAGGCAAGTAGCAGCACGCTTCGAGATCCAATCTCGACATGCTCGTGATGGGATCTGGCTATTGACATTCCACGAGTCCAAATCCTTTGCTGCTGAATCCTACATGCTCAACCAAGCGACACCTTGCAAATTGCTAAACCACAAGCATCGAGAATGAGAAGCCAAGAATTTAGGCGGAGTGTTGTCGCTCACATGTTCAATTGACACTTCGGGGCTCAGCCGGGGGATGAGCCAACAAAATTACTTGGAGGTTCATGAGTAGTTATAAATAGGGTTATAAGTAGGATAACTATACTTATAACCCATATTAGGGGACTTATAACCCCACTTATAACTGCCCATGAACCTCCAAGCAACCCCGACCATGATGGGTTTAGATAGGCTGTGCGCAGCAGTACGGTCCGATTTTGAGCCTTTCCAGCAGGGCGGTTGGGAACTCAACGGCTGCACATTCGGCGGGACATGTATCAAGTACTAGAAGAGTGTGATGCTCACCTGGCCCATCCCCATACTATTGCTCACTATTGCTCTTCGTATAGCTCCGAGTTCTAGCACTTGCGCCCGTGCCCCGCCTTCCTAGAGAATGATTAAAGAAGTTGTAGATCCACTGCTTTCTGGTGGTCCGGCATGCACGCTTAAAGAAATTTGAAACTGAAACTGCTCGGGTCCCTCGATCCTCACGGCACCAGCTCTCAAGACCAAGCTTCCACGGTGTAACCTGAGGCTGCTCAGGGATGCACGGAGGCTTCACGAAACTCTGCAGTCAGCAAGAGTCAAAGCCCCCCTTCTGAGCCAGCAACGGCCCTCCATCTTCAGGTTTGACAGGGTTGCCTCTGCCTCCTCCTCGGTACATCTCTCGTTGGCCATCACAACCTGGAGACATGCCCCAAGCGAGGAAGATTCAACTGGGTCGCCCTAGCTCCCCTTGCGACTCCAGCTGGCGTTGCGAATACAAAGCCCGTTGACAAGGGCGACGTGCGCTCGTGACCGGTAGGCTTTTAAGAATCGGGAAGTGCGTGTGCGAAGCACAGCTGTCGTAATAACAGACTAAAACCATCAATCGTTATAGTAGGAACTGAAATACCAGTAGAATCAGTACTGTAACAGCTACCGCAACAACAATAGTACTAATGACAGTCATTGTAAAAGTGGCAAAAGAGACTGTTGAACTAATGATACTTTGAAATCACCACTTTTGTGCCTTGCCTCCTTCATGGCAGTGTAGATGTCCTCGGGCACTTGTCTTGCAGAGCCACATACGTAGAAGTGGCCTCCCTGCTTCAGCATGAGCTCGGCCACCTCTTGCCCAGCCTGAGCGCCAAGAGCGAACATTTCACAGTTCTGGTTTCGGAAACAGTCCACGCGGAGTCCACCCGCTTAATCTCCCCCGGTTGCCTCCACAATTCGGTGCTGCACATAGATCTTTCGCGCCTGCAGCAGCTGACAGGCACGAATCGTGCTGCCATGCCATCTTCGATTGCGCAACAATTTGAAGACAAGCTGCCTGTTCACGAGAAAAGGCAGTGTGCATGGCCAGGACACCCTCCTTTTCGTAACTCTCGAACTCCTCCCGGTAGAGGTATTCCTGAGGACAGTAGTTGTCCATGTCAGCTCGACGACTAAATGCAGCAGTGATGCCAAGTGGCAACCGCGTAGCGAGCACCAAAGAAGAGCAGGCACTTGCCCACTTTGCTGCCCTGTCGGCTCTGCATCACCCGCTCCTTGCGAACTAATGAACTCAGACCCTGCATCTCCCCCTACACAAACCGAAACTGTCTGCAAAAGCACTTCTTGAGCTGTCTCCTGCGTCACAGCACGCCATGGGGCCAGACCAGTTCCCATACCCGCCATGAGGACTGGCTTGGTCGTGTCCTGGCAAAAGCAGCTGGAAAGTGTTCAACTTGCATCTTGCATTAGGCACAGCAACTTGGCACTCCTCCGGCAGCACGATGGCACTCTGGCGCACAGCGCACATGATCTGTGCACCGGGCTTCTGCTTCTGCATGTAGCCTCTGCACGAAACAGCAGGTGACACAGGAAGCATCCGAACATCCGGAAAGAACTCAAAAAGATATGCGGAGCCAGGCCTGTGCACTCGCCGAGGCGGAGTTCTTTGCTGGTCTCCACGGTCCAGTCCACCAGGACCACACAGAGCTGGATCCTGTCCGGATGCATCAGCGGCGAGCTGGCGATCGAATAGCTCCTGGGCTTCAGCACCGGGATCATCTGCAGCAGCTGCTCGATTGGCGGCCGGGCACTGGAGAACTTCTTAAAGACATCTGCATGATGGGCAAAATCATGGACTAAGTCCCGGTAGAGAGCGGAGCCCTCTGCGGTGTTCTCCACGATGCTCTGCAGCTGCTTCTTCTCTGCCTCATCCTTGGTGAAGAAGGACAAGGTCTCGAAGAACTTCCGGTTCGGCTTGCCGAAAATGTCCAGCACGTGGGTGAAGAGCTGCCGCACGCTGAGCTCCGTGGGACACCAGTTCCTTGCACCTTCCAAGGGCAGGATGCGCAGCTGCTGGCCAGCATCGAAGCCCATCATCCTGCAGAATTCCTCCGCGGCTGGCACCGGGTTTCGGGGCCAGATGGCCAGGCTCTCGCCCGTCTTGTAGCTCACGGAAGTGCCCTCGATCTTGAACTCGTAGTGTCTGATATCTCGATCGTACTTAGCATCACCTGTCAGCACCTTGTTGCACAAGAGCTCCAGCTTGGTGGCACCTGGCGGCACGATATCGTCATCCTTGACGGGGGGCTTGTCCACGGTTCCCGGAGACACATCCACTCGGTAGCAAGGGGCCGGAGGATCCGAGGAGAGGGGCAGCGCAGGTGCGCCCAGCACCTTCCAGAGCTCAGGGAGCCACGCCTCCCAGCCGGTGTAGTAGCGGTCTTCGTCGCGGTCGTCGCCGACGCCGCGCTTCAGCATGCGCTGGGCGCCCAGCTCGGCAAGGCGCGTGTCGAAGCCCACGGCTGCCACGCAGAACTGGCTGTAGGTCGAGTCGCCCAAGCCGAAGACGCAGAACTTCACGCCAGCAAGCCAGGTCATAGGCAGGTCGGGAGACTGCAGCTTCATCCAGGTTTGCTTGCAGTTGGCCGGGTATTCACCGAGACCGCAAGTGGACACCACCAGGATGACGATCTTCTGATTCGGCAACTCCTCGAACTCGAAGTCGTCCAGAGAGCTCACTGTTGCCTTCAGGCCACGGGCATTCAGGTCCTGCTTCAGATTCTTGGCCTGCTCCTCGGAGTTGCCAGTCTCGCTGCCGTAAAGCACAGTGATGGAGTCGCCGGAGCTCTTGGCATCCGAGAGACCCTCCACCAGTTTGCTGAACTGACCCTCCAAATCTTCCTGGTCGGGTTCGCGAACTTCAGCTGAAGCAACACGAGCCAACTCAGGCCAACTTCAAGTTTCTAGAACAAGCCTTGTTCAAGACCTGCAGAAGGTGATTCTTCTGCACCACGTTCTCCTGCAGCTTGTCGTCCAGCTCCTGCCAAGCCCATTCGACCATTCCGTCCCATGCACTACTGTAACACTGTCATACTTACTTTCAGCTCACGCCCTTGGCCGCTTCCCTCCTGGGCGTGCTTCGGATCGCGGCGCATCACCGCCGCGAAGCGGTTCTCCTGGCGGCCCATCCCTATGACCAAGACATCACAAGACCTTCACCCTAGCCAGCTTGCCTTAGACAGGAACTTGAAGAGATCACCCTTGATCTTGCGGCTGTCCAGCTGGAAGGGGTTGTTGCCGTTTTTGGCCAGATCCGGGTGGTAGCGGTAGAGGGGCCAATATCCAGAGTCCACTGCCATCTGACAGTGCTGGATGGACTCAGCCATGGGGAAACCCTGGCTGATGCAAGGAGAGTAAGCCAAGATGATGCTGGGTCCTGCATAAGCATCCGCCTCGATCATGGCCCGCACTGCCTGCTGAGGGTTCACGTGAACGCAGATGCTCGCCACGTAGACGTTCTTGTATGTCATGGCCAACTGCCCCATATCCTTCTTCTGGGTGAGCTTGCCGCTCTCGGCGAACTTGGCCATAGCTCCTTTGGGTGTGGCCTTTGACGCTTGCCCGCCCGTGTTGCTGTACATCTCAGTGTCAAGGACCAAGATGTTGACGTGCTCCTCCAGGTGAGACATGATAACATAGGGGAATACAATGAATCATGGAAGTGCACTGAAAGCCTCGGATACATTCTGCCATTCTGCAAATCAGGGATCATAATACGCAATCTTGATGCTAGAATTCCGCAGCACCACAGCACAGCTAAACGATCAACGCAATTTCCAGAAATACACCAGCATGCTCCTCGCTGGCAATCACATGGTCCAGGCCACCGTAGCCGATGTCGTAAGCCCAGCCATCACCTCCCACGATCCAGAAGCTGCTGCGCCCGAACATGTCCTCCCTCGGTGCCAAAGAGACATCAGAAAGGTGTGCCTTGCCGAACATACTGCAGCTCAGCGGCAAGTCATGGAGGGCTTTAATCTTTGGGTGCACGTCCTTCTCCTGAAGCAGGCGATGGTGCACGCACGAGGAGCGGCTGTGAACTCCACATCGCAGGTCCTTCTCCAGAAGGGGCTCCAGCTTCTCCATGATCTGGTGGTAGATGCTTCGCCCGCGCGGGAGCAGGAGATCGTGCATCTGCTCCTGCCAGGAGACACTTCGCATTGAAGGCAGCAGCAGGGTCGTAGCAAAGGTCCTGGCGCATGACCAGGTACTGCTTCAGGGCCTGCCGAAGCTCCTCCGACATGGGCACGGACTCGTCAGTCAGGGCAGCCTGGCAGAAGCATGAGTGGGATATGACCAGAAAGATCCGTGAACTTCGGAAGCTCAAGGCACACCTCGACCTGCAAGGCCAAGTAGTCTCGGCGCTGCTTGAAGGCCTCGAAGGCCACTTGCTGACAAGACCCCTTTGCTCTGCGTATCCCTGTGTCCAGTCTTGTCTGGGCATCTTCTACTATAAGGCTACTATCAGTGATACGAAGGGACCCCTCTTGTCTGGGCTATAACTATAAGGGTACTATAAGGTTATAGAAGGTTACTATAAGGATACTATAAGGGTGCTACAAGGCTACGATAAGACTGCTATCATGCGCTCTTGCCTTTCGCATGCCGAAGCCGAACTCGGCGTTGTCCTCGAAGAGGGAGTTGGCCCAGGCGGGACCCTCACCTGGGTTCTTGTTAATGAACCTGTACTGTAGATGACCATAATATAAGAGAAACCGTAATATTTGCTCTATTCCCTATAAAATACCCTTGTAGTTTAAACCTGGTTTAAACCAAGTTCGCTAACAAGGACCCAGTCACCCTTGGTGTTGACGGTGTATGGGAAGGACGGGTTGGAGCCGCCCCAGATGGAAGAGCAGCCTCAAAACTCAAAACGCTGACCCAAGACGAGAAGGGATCATGTGGGGCTCCGACCTGTTGCATTGGCAATGACAAGCCTGTCTCCGAACCTGAGCCGCCGCGGGGATATAAGGCTCAGGATGCTGAAGCTGTGTCAGTCAATAAAAACTGAAGAAAGATTTCTGCAATGCTTCTCCGGAAACAGCTGAGTCATCAATTTCACATGAGGCGTCTCGCCACAGCCCTCACAGGCACCACTAAATTCCAAATATGGCTTCTGAAATTGGGAGCCCTTCACGGTTGTCTTGTCGATCTCCTCGCCGTGGTCTGGCAGAGTGATGGCGAAGTTCCAGTTTGGCTCCTCCTGCTGGATGACGTCTGCAGCTGGCTTCAGCGCCAGTGCGTCAGCGGGGCAGATGCGAACGCAAAGTTCACAGCCGGTGCAGTCCCACGGTGAGACTTGGATGCGGTACTGGTAGTTGTCCAACACACCGCCGCCGATTGCAGCACGGCTGCCGTCCTTGAAGCTCGCAGGGGCCTTGCCTAGATCCTGGTTTGTCATCAAGAAGGGCCGCACAGCGGCATGCGGACAAATGAGGCTGCACTTGTTGCACTGTGTGCACTTGTCCATGTCCACGACTGGCACCTAAGCTTCGCAGCTTCATGCAACTTCGTTCATGCTGATTGCAGCCATGTGGGAGGCACTAGTGACACTCACGATCCCGAAAGAATCACGTTTCAGCCAGGCCACGTTGATCGCAATTCCACGCTTCTCGTACTGGCTGGTGCCACATGGCACGCGGCCACCCGGCACGAAGGCGCTCACAGGCAGCGAGTTGCCATCAAGGTTGTTGCAAGGGGTCTGCACCTGCTTGGCGAACTGGTCCGCATCCTGCACCTCCGGGAACATGCGCGGGCCCTTGGCGTAGGCGACTTGCCGAGAGGTGCGGGAGGCCGCCTGAAAGAACAGCGAGGCGTGACACCATAGACGGCAACCTAAGTCTAAGTCGAAGCCCAGGTGCCTCCTCGTCGGTTGACAGGTCGCCCCAGGAGGCGGGGATCTTGACGGCGATGATGCCATCAATGGCGGCATCCACACCGGCGATGTTCATGTTCACCACTTTGTCACCCTGTCATGACTCTGCCATGGCAGCATGACATGCCGAAGCCAGTGACAGAAGCTACAGTACCAGCCCCAGCCTTCTTGCCGTACATCTTCTTGATGCTCTTCTTCAGCATCTCCACAGCCTATCCGCGGAAATCCAGCTGGCGACACCAGGCCGCAAGAACAAAACGCTTGCCACAGCCTCCTCGTAGGGCATCACGGCGCTGAGCTTGAAGAAGACGGTCTGGCATGAGGACGGATGGGGCATGCAACCCTTTGCTGTTTTCAGCTGCCCGCACCGAGCCTGCGTGATCATGTTGATGCGCTTGCCAAGGCCAGCCTACCAAAGGGACCAGTGCCAGCACCGATGCATGAGGAAACAACTTGCAAACTGCCGCTCGCACTTAGTCGCGCCTTCACTGCAATCTTCGTGGCATCGATGATAAAGAGCTTGGCCTGGTACCATCAGCGTACCATGCTGCATGGAAGGTTGGGGATGCAAAGGCAAACCTGCCTGCTTGGCTGCGAGGTCCTTGCGCATCTTGGCTGGCAGCTGTGCCTCCAGCTCGCTTTCGTCCCAGGAGCAGTTGATGACGCAAACTGCATTCGGTTTCAAGTACCTCGTCATATCCTGAGCACAAGAAGAGCTGCTGTCCGCTCCGGACAACTCAGGCACAGGTGGGGCAAGGCTGTGCCGCCGAAGCCGCATACTGCTGCACGTAGCTCTGCTTGTGGATGGCCATGTAGTCAGCTGCGCGGACATTGTACGGGGCATGGATGGGCTTGGGACCAAAGCGCAAGTGGCTGATGGTAACCCCGCCGCTCTTCTTGGCGTCATACTCAAAGTAGGCCTGAAGCCAGCGCAACTCTTCCGAACGCTTACATACATCCCCCGTTCCCCCCGGCCGGGCCTGTGCGTGGAGCTCTGTGCCCAGTGCGATCATCTTGACTGCAGACTTGTTTGCACCCACGGTGCCGTCGCTACCAAGCCCATAGAACATGCACTCTGTGGTACCCTCCGGAAGCACGTTGAGCCAGGGCCCCACCGACAGTGACAAGTTAGTCACATCATCGTTGATGCCCACGGTGAATCGCGGCTTCGGGGTGTCCTTGGCCAGATTCTCAAAGATGGAGAGCACACAGTTCGGCGTGAACTCCTTGGAGCCAAGGCCATAGCGGCCGCCAACCACCACGATCTCAGGATGTGCAGAGGAATGAAGAGTTGTGCGCACCTCCAGGAGCAGGGGCTCACCTTGGGAGCCCGGCTCCTTGGTCCTGTCTAGCACGCAGATGCGTTCTGTCGTGGTTGGCAACGCGGCCAAGAAGCGGGCATTATCCCAAGGCCGGAAAAGCCGAACTTTCAGAACGCCGACGCGCTGGTCCTTGGTCTTGGCGAGGTACGAAGCCGTCTCGCCACAGGTCACGGCAGCACTTCCCATGACCACTATGACATGCTTTGCTTCAGGGTGGCCCTCATAGCCATAGAGGGCAAAGTGGAGGCCAGTCTTCTCTTGCACCATCTTCCCCTTCTGCTCAAACAGGTCTGCGAGGCCATCGTAGAACCTGTTCCCTGCCTCCACGCACTGGAAAAAAATGTCTGGGCCTTGGGAAGTTCCCTGGACATGGGGGTGCCTCGGGTTCAGCGCCAAATCATGATGCTCTTTGATAGCATCCCAGTTGATGAAAGACTTCATAGTCTGGTAATCGATGAGCTTCACCTTGTTCACCTCGTGGCTGGTGCGGAAACCGTCGAAGAAGTGCTGCACAGGCACGCGGCGCTCCATGGACACGAGATGCGCCACAAGGCCGTTGACCTGTGCCATCTCCACAGACTCAGAAGCAAGCATTGCCCAGCCAGTGGCGCGGCATGCCATCACGTCGCTGTGGTCACCGAAGATGGACAACGCCTGGCCAGCCAAGGCCCGAGCCGCCACATGCATCACGCAGGGCAGCAGCTCGCCAGCAATCTTGTACATGTTCGGGATCATCAGCAACAGACCCTGACCTTGAAGGGCACATAAAAACTTACCAAAAGCCTGAATGAAAAGGGAAGGAAGGTTACATTAGGCCCTTTCGGCCCAGTGGCTGGCGGTGAAGGTGGTGCTCAGCGCGCCAGCTTTGAGAGCTCCGTGCAGGGCTCCAGCAGCACCTGCCTCGCTCTGCATCTCCGTCACGCTGAGCTTTTGGCCGTAGCAGTTGATGAGGCCTCAGACAAGGTTTACGGCCCAAACGCCCAAACCCTGCCCTTCACCGATGCATTCACCCGCCTTGCGCGGCCCATTCGTCCACCATCTCGCCCATGGGAGACGATGGCGTGATGGGGTAGATGAAGGCACAGTCACTGAGGGCACAGGCCACGTGAGCTGCTGCCTGATTGCCGTCGATGCACGCCACCGAACCCACCGCGGCTTCGATGATGTCCGTGTCCGCGCACTGGTGCACGATAGTCTTGTTCTCCTCACTGATGAAAAAAATTTTGCGACGACCGGCACGGTGACCCAAAACCCAAGGAAATCAAAGTTGAAACTTTCAGAATCGACTACCTTATAAGAACCCAAAAAAGTTGAGTTGACAGCCGATAAGTCTCTTGTTGGAACATAGCCCTCTGCACCTGCACAAGCAGACACATCTAGGACATACAGGATCTTCCCAGCACGTTCACCCCTCAACAAGCCTCTTTGGTTTTCATAAACTGCTCATACTCGACGTCTGCAGCACCAGACGCTGCTCCCAGGGCTTCCAGGCGCTCGGGAGTCTCTTCTTGGCGATCCTGACACGAGATGACATGAGAGCACTTCCCCCCCAACCCCAACCCGCATCGCTCATCGCGGTCCCGGCGCAGGAAGTCCCAGGTCAGGCCACCGTATGGCCCGAAGGGCGTCACCCTTAGCACGGTGGTGACACCCTGACATCCCTGACCAGAGTCAACGAACGCTCCCCACTTTGACCAAGCTCCGGGCTGGCCGCGAAGAGCCATGCTCGCGACGGAGTGGTTCCGAAACCAAAAGCTTTAGGATCTTTCCAAATGGCTAGCGACGGAAAGCACATGTAAAAAAATGTAAAGCATGCTTCAACGGATTTAGCGAGAGCTACGGTGCTTCAAGCGCAAACGGAGACCAGTGGCATCCTGCTTGATTGGATCACGACCGGTTTGGCTCCGACTGCTCGACCTTTTCAAAGTCTTGTTCTGAACAGTTCTTGCTATGGACAGTAGGCTGTCCAGTTGGGCTCCTTGAGCTTTGTACTAGAGAAATGGGCCGTTGTGCTGCACGGTCCCTTCGTATTATTAGGTCCTATATGAATTTCATGGTTCGCACGGAAAGTCTAGAAGGGACCGTATTCTGCAGCTAAATGATCCAAGCTCCCACCCAGCGCCTTCTGCATGGCGCTTCTAGCAACAGTGGCACTTGTATCCAGAATCGAGAAGCTTGATCAAAATCTTGGACGAAGGACTTGCAGTTCAGTGGGAGCTTTCAGAACTTGCTATGCAATTCAAACTTAAATGATAACTTAGCACTTGTTTGACCCTCTCGACCTTGCAACAACAACCTTCACTGGAAAATACTGCAAAGGCGAGGAGGGCCTGAATCTGCAAAAGGCGACTTACCTCGGAACTCCTTTTCGGAGAGCCGAGGCTGGGCCTAGCTGCAGACCTAAGCCTCAACTCCATACTGCTTGAAGGGGTCACCGCCCTGGAACCCGTAGAAGAGAACCCTCAGGTTCCACGAGGCATCGTTACTTTGCTTTGTGACGGATCTGATGGTCTTACACTTACACTAAAGTCTTTCCCACAAGTCCAAGAAGCTTCTTCCGGCAGCCATCGAACGTAGCTGAACCAAACAAGGACCCGCTGGGGCATGCGTCGGTGCCAGCAGTGCTGCCAATGTTGCTCCTCTGCGCCAAGTGCTTCAGCATCTAGAAGCTTCCGGTTGTTTACTAAGGGACGCCCGGAGCAACCTTGTGCTCTCGACAAGGGGCTAAGATAACTACAAGAATCAGGCTTAAAGTCAGAGTACATTCGGCCCTCTCCCCTGTATTTTTGGGGGTATCAATATTAGTTGGTTTCTCTAGGTAGGCGAAGCTGGGCAACGGCTATTGCCAATGCACCCAAGGGACCAGCTCTGGCTCGAGTAGGAGAAGATCCAAAGGCAGTCTCTCCCTCCGAAAGGAACGCCATCGATAATGCCGCCAAAGACCTGTCCACACTACCCTAAACACCGAACCCTACGAGGCCCTAACTTTCACGTGGCAGGAACTCCTCATTTGAGTGCCGTCGACCTTCTAGCATCGATATTACGGAGTCTAATGAATCCACTTCACGACATGTTAGAAAGGGTACATGCCAGTATATGCATCCTGGGCGAAGGGTGCGGGGAGCAGCCAGAAGTAGCCGTCGGGGTCTCGGAATCCAATCCCGGCAAAACTGCGTAGAATCCTGCGAGCCCTATCATGCACCAAAGGCCATCATCCTCAATGAAACAATCAGCCGAGGCATGTACATGGAGGTACCCGTGGCAGCAGCCATGTGACCGAACCGCGCAGCTGGCATTGCTGTCACCAGCTGTTCCCACTTGTTGTCGCCGCGGATGTAAGCCCACATGTCGTTTCTGAAGGTCTGCAAACTTTGCGTGGTCTCCGAATACTTTGTGCCTCCATAGACCTTAGAGACTTCTAGCATCTTGCAGTTCTAATCTGAAGCTTGTACGCTAGCTCTTGATTCTTGTGGTCACACTTTGTCTCCGAGCAACGTACATGGTGTCGGTTGCGGGTTCCCAGACAGCCGTGTGGTAAGCGCGTGCACTTGGTGAGGACGCGGAGTTCGTCTTCGCACTTGCGGTGAGGTCCGTCCAGGTGCTTGTGTCAAAGTGGTACTCCCAAAGTTCGTCCGTTTGGGTCGGATGGTAGCGGCGGTCCGAAGTCCCAGCCGAGCTGCCCCAAGAGCCAAACAGAGGCGCACCGTCAAGAGTTCCACCAAAGACAATCATCGAGCGGCGCTGCGAATCCCAGATGCATGACGTGAGATAGCGCCGAGGTGGCCACCCTGAAGCGTCTGCACCTCTGAGCGAGACATTTCTCGAAAGGAAGGTCTGGAATAAAGATCCGTTGGAGAAGGGTCGGAACTCCACGAGGTCATCCTTCAGACCTGTTTGTGTCAATCTGACGACTTCTCCTGCAGAACAGAAACGCACTTCTCGTAGATTCAGTGACATGCGGGTGTGGCTTCTTCGGGGTACCTAGCAGCACATACCTAGCACAACAGGCGCCTCGACAGCCGTGCTGGTTCTCAGTAAGAGTACTGTGAGTTTGCTAAGCTATGCCGTAACGAAGTAAAGAAGCGCTCTCTTCTTTTTACTCGCGAAGGATGCTTGAAGTCGGTGCGAGGCAAAAGCGACGCCCAGAGACAGAAGAAGCGGGGCAATGCGTTGCCGAGCCCTTTTCCCCCAGGGTTGGGAGGGTGGGTGAAAAAGCTAAAAGTACGGAAGCGATCCGGGTCGACAGCTTGAGCTAGCAGTGCGGCGCGGGGCGAGGCAATGCAAGCTCAAGTACTTACAGAAAACACTGTCGACCAAAAACAACAAACTCACGACAAGCGTTCTCAGTAAGAGTACTGTGAGTTTGCTAAGCTATGCCGTAACGAAGTAAAGAAGCGCTCTCTTCTTTTTACTCGCGAAGGATGCTTGAAGTCGGTGCGAGGCAAAAGCGATGCCCAGAGACAGAAGAAGCGGGGCAATGCGTTGCCGAGCCCTTTTCCCCCTCTTTAGTTCGACTTCAGCATCCTCTGCCTTGCGGGCTCAGAAAACCCCCCTCGCACGAGGATGGAGAAGTAGACCTGCCGGGACGGACAGACAGAAAGCAAGAAAAGGCCAGAGCACAAGGCGTGCAAAGGCAAAGCTCTGATGCAGAGTTTTTTGCAGTCACGACGGTGAGTAGTGTCAACGCAGTAGTAGGCTGCGCTGCGCCTCGCAGAGGCGAGGGGGGAAGGTGTTCTCCTCCCCTCGAAGTGAAACTGTATGCGAAGCAGAAGCGAGCTGTGCTAGGCTAATGCGAACGCGTTCGTCACTGCGGTGCTTAATGAAGGCAAGGCGTCCGCGGCTGAGAGCGTCAGCCCACGTATTCTTTTCACCAGCCAAGTGTTCGACCTGGAACTGGACGCGGTGCAGATGCGCCCAGGTGGCGGCAAGGCGCAAAAAAGTGCTGAGCGGTTCTGCTGTAGTGAACAAGCGGTTTACGCCACTTTCGGCAGAGGTGTTGTCGCTGGCGCTGGGAAGCACGAAGCGGGTGTGTTTATGCCGAAGCAGGGCCCAGGAACAATGGGCCAGAGCAAGTTGTGCTAGTGCCTCGAAACAAGCGATGTAGCTTTGCATGGAGCCGTGCAGTTGAGGCCATTCAGCGCGGACCTCGTCGGCGGTAAAGATCTCGCTGTACCACACAAAGTGCGAGGAAGTGCTGAGCCAGCCGCCGATACCCATGCGGTCAGTGTCGGCGAAAGCATCTGCCGCGCTCATGCAGGGCGCGACGGGAGGAGTGCGGAGGCTGCGCGGTTGCTCGTGCTTGAAACAAAGCTCCAGCCAGGCGAGGCAGAACTTACTGTCTTGCTTGAGGTGAATTTCTGTGCGATTAGGGTCTGCAAGGCGGACCCACTGGTGCTTGTGAGAAGGCGGCACGCGGGGCACGTCGGACTTGGAATGTATTTTGATGGATCCGACTTCGAGAAGCTGTGCATTGCGAGGCAGCCAAGAGCCGAGAGGCGTGGAAGAGAGCTTGGCGGTGTTGTCAAGGCAATCGTAGAAGGACGCCCAAGCTTGCGGGGCGATGCTGTGAAGGTCCCTGCACTGCTGTGCAGGTCCTTATAGAGGCATGACATGAAGGAGCGCATGTGTGGGCTCAGAGTGGTGGCCCAGTTGAGCAGGCCTAAACACGCTTCCAAGTCCTTTTTGAGGATTTTGGAGGCTTTGCGGAGCTTGCAGAGCTGCTGGCGCAGTTTTTCCAATTTACTCTGGACCAAGGCGACGGTTTCGGTGCGGAAACAAAAGGTCCAGCCGCACCAAGTGATTTGGTCGCCCAGCTGTGCCTTTTTCCAGCTGATGGGTGCATGCAGTGCGGCAAGCAGTGCAACGATGAGTGCGACCGGCTGGTCTAGCTTGTCACGCAGGAGTGCAGCGAGAATGTCATCCACGTAGAGCCATGCTTTATGCGGGTATTTGCAGAGCAGAGCATGCAAAATGCGCAGGATGAGGGATCCTGTGCGTTGCCACCAATATGCCGAAAAACGGGCGCCGAAATGGCAGACTGTGTAGTGATAAAGTTTATCGGCAATGCGAAAAAGTAGTGTGCCTTGCTCTGCGGGGCGAACTTTTTGTGCCTTGTGTGCTGCTTTGAAGTCCAAAGAGAGGCCTTGCAGGCGAGCGAAAAGGTCGGAAGCGAAGAAAGTGCGTTGCACATCTAGGGCGCTTGGCATGGAGACCCGCTCCGGGAGGTGCACGGATGGGTTTAACCCGCAGACGGAGCTATCGAGAACCAAGCGAGGATCTTTGCCATCCGCGTGAACTATATTGAGTTTGCCAATGGCAGTGCCGAGCGGCCAATGCTTGGCAGCGTCTTCTGCGGAGCCGTGGAAGGGTGCAACGTGTCCGGCGGCAATTTCTTGGTCCACTAGCTGCTGAAGCAATGCAGGATCGCGTTCCGCAGCAGTCCAGTTGCCCGCGCAGTGCTCAAGGCGGTGCGGGTCAAGGTCAGCTGACGTATCAATGTTTTGCGGGGCTGAAGGCCAGAGCCCACTGGGCGGGAGCGGCGAGAAGGCGCCGGTGGGCACCCCTTCCTTCAGAATGGGCACCAGGCCTGTGTCAGGGTCGTCAATAGCGCGAGCGAGCATTTCAAGGATTTCGAGGCGAAACGGCTGGCCTGGTTCAATACGCAGGGCTTCGGCTGATGGCATGCGCCGACCAAGGTGCAGTCTAATAATTTCTGCAAGCACGGAACCATGTTGTTCCGAGAGGGGCGGTTCCGGCAAACCCGCGTGCAGATGTTCTAGAATGGGCTTCAGGAGTCGCTCTTGACGCAAATATTCAAGCATGGAGTGCGCAACTGTGGCTAGAGGTGTGCTGGGCTTATTGGTGCAGTGCATGTGGTCTGCGGAGCTGACGTTCCCCGCCCCTTATTTTCCACGGAGCTTTGCTTTATTTCTAAAGTAAGATTCCAATCACAGTATTCCCAAACTATATGGGAAAATCAAAGTATATAAAGAATAAGAAAATTGCTCAGGCAGATGTGGCGCTTTTTCCTTCCGGCAAAGCCGAAGGGGGAAGTCGTGACATCCCCGCACCGATCGATGGCGAACACGAGGATCGCCAACGAACACCCCGGGAGTGGAGGGAGGGACAAAAATTTCCGGCCCTTTGGCCAGGGAGCAGCTACCCACCCATCCCACCCCTGTCTCGAGGCGGCGCGGGAAATAAAAGAGATGAACTCAGACGATTCAAAGCATGCATTCATGCCATGAAATGTGGTTCAAAATAAAGCAAAGGCGTTTTGAAAACTTCGCAATAATTTTCAAAACTCTCCTCGGAAAATAAAGCTAGTAGAGGCAAGCCTCATGTGTCGCTTATTTTCCACGGAGCTTTGCTTTATTTCTAAAGTAAGATTCCAATCACAGTATTCCCAAACTATATGGGAAAATCAAAGTATATAAAGAATAAGAAAATTGCTCAGGCAGATGTGGCGCTTTTTCCTTCCGGCAAAGCCGAAGGGGGAAGTCGTGACATCCCCGCACCGATCGATGGCGAACACGAGGATCGCCAACGAACACCCCATTCACTTAAGAAGGAGATCAATCGTGGCATTGCCTTTGATCGGGCATCGAGGCGACACTCTGCACACCTGCCCCCTGACTGGAAAGATTGACTTAGCTCTCGAAGGAGGATCGGCCGGGTTGCTTGCACTTGGAACGCGGCTAAACCAAGGGAGCATCGCCTCAGCGTCGCAGCTCTCAAAGATCAGCAAGAGTTGCCTCCACAAAGGGTCTTTTGAAGAGCCTTTCACCAAAGAGGCCAACACTCCGGAGTGATCCACATACATGGTCACCCTCTGCATGTTCAAGTGCTTCGACCACGCTTCTCTCGCACATACCACTGCATACATGTCAACTGGGCCTATCAAATGCCTTTTCCCGAGAGCCTCCCAGCTCTGTACAACGCTCAAAGGGATAGCACATGCAAAGAAGAAAGTGCACCACGCGCCGTTGTCGAAATGGTACAAGACTCCTCCGACAGTGGCGGGGTGAGTTTCATTCGTCGGCTCGTACGCTCCATCTGTGAAAATCACAGAACGGCGAGACCCCACACAGGCCGGGACTATCCTAGGGGTACCCCCAAGAACCCGGGACCTAAGATTACAAAGGGCCTGCACAGCCGTGGCATCAAGGGCTTTGGCCTGAGAACTCATCGTGCACGCCCTAAGGTCGGCCAGTGCCAATCTGCCCAATCGCCCGTGCAGCTGACCCTCGGCAAACTGGAGGCGACCGAACAAAGACGGCAGAGTCTTCGGATCAAGATGGCCCGCACTCAAGACGGAGTCCACCGCCTCAGCGATGGCAGTAGCACGTTCGGGCTTATTCCCAATCTTAACTACCCCAAAGCTACCAAGGTCAACCCGAACGCCTAGAAGTTCGGCCTCATGGCTGAAGGGAAGATCCTTATCTTCTGCCCAGGCGAAACCCAGCAGGTCCAACGCGGCTCTGACAGTCGACTGCGTGTTGTTACAAAGCGGCAAGACCTCTAACACCGGGTAATCGTCGAAGTAGTTGCAGGCGAGCACCTGCAACGCAATCAGAACTCTTTGGAGCAATCTTGCAACGCGATTGAATGAAACCACCGACGAAGTGGCCCCAAACAGAAGGGTTCGGCTCTCGAAGCCAAACGCAAGCCCCGAAACCGGGTCCTTGATGGCCACTATGCTCAGACAGCGGTCTCGTGGAGAAACCGCCAACTGTTTATAAGCACTTTTCAAGTCCACTGTTTTCAAGCTCGGCTGAAGCGCATCGGGCTTCAGGGCCCTCCAGAAAGAATGCACCGGAAAGCGAAGATGGTCACCGTCCGACAAAGGGATGCTCACCTCGCCTTTTGCAATGAAGATCTTAAAGAGGGTGATCGCAAGCCAGACCAATTCATCAAGGGCCCTCAAAGAAATCCGATCGGAAACAGCATAAGCGCAGTTTACAGAGTTCTCGGCCAAATCGTCTATCGACCGCGTCTTGGCTTTTTGCACAATGCCGAACCTCCGCACTGGAAGCCAGCCTTCTGGATGACGGGCTTGCAGCTCGTCCCACGAGTAAGGCCCGGTTAGCCACTCCTTGACTAGCATCTCTTGCTGTGTGGAGTCCCACACTTCCCGAGCTAAATCGTCCACCTCCGCGTTCGCCACCTTCGCCCACAGCGCAGGCCTAAGGAATTTAGCATGCTGCACAAGCTCTGCCCTTGTCATCAGAGCCGGTCTTCTATCCACATCGAAGATGCCAGAAGGACTCGACTCCCCCACTAAAGGAAACCCATGCTTGAGGTGTTCGAAGACTTCAGTGTCAGGCCAACTGAAAGACGATGCAATCTTCTCCAAAAGCAAGATGTTCTTGCCCTTCATAACAGAAGCTACACCAGGATCCATGGCAGCATGCAGATTTGCTTCGGCACCAGCCAAATCGCGTTTCCAAGAAGTCCACTGCTGGAGCAAATTCAGACGGTGTTTCATCACACCAACCGGGCCCTCTTTCAAGGTAAAAGCCAACGCTCTCAACATGAAGTCTGGGACTGCCACGCACAAGTCGAAGGGATGATCGATATGCAATGCCTGAGCCACAAACTCTTGTTCCGTGCGGTAAATGCCAAAGGTAACTGCTGAAGGCACACCTGACAGGCTTCCGACCTGTTTCGCACCGACGACCCCCCGATCACACACAACGCGAAGAAGGCGGGAGCCAGGAGGGATGGACCCTACGGCACATGTGAGATTGCCTTTATTATCCAAAGGAAGGGGCCACGGGAACTCACGGACCGTGGCCTGGCACTTAAACTCGGCGATCTGCGGCTGGAATTTTGACAATCGAGGCTGCCGCCCAGCGGCTGCGACGGCAGAATGCCGCGAACTCTGCAGTGGAACAGCGTGCTCAAGTAAGAGGCCAGACTGGCCAACCGCCAGCTGCAGGAGGCCAGCAAACACATCACAGAATTTGGGTGTGTACAAGACATCTGGTGCAAGCGAGCCCGCAGCGTGGGGCCCGGGGCGACAACGACATGCTGGCACCGGCATGCCAGCCAGCGCGGCCTGGGTTGTGCACAGACGCATTTTGACCGGACAGGGAGCCCCGTAGCAACCTGCACAGAAGTCTACGCAATGGAGGTTGTCGGGCAAGTCGAGCTGTTTCCACAGGGCTGACGCCAGGGGATGCAAGACACTCCAATGCGAATCAGATGCAAGCAAGAGTTTGGCGAGGCGAATGGTTTGCCCGGCGCTAAAAGTAGCCTTAAAACAATCCTTGGTCGCAGGAAAGAAATGCACGTGAAAAGGGGCGTCTTGGCTGATGACAGTCTGCGCAAAGGAGAAACCCGACTCAGTTTCAATGTCCACAGGGACAAGGTGAGTGTGCACTCGCCCAGCGGGGCGAGAATGTTCAAGCGCTATGATTTGGAATCCGTCCCGCCGCACCCGAGCCGGCAGCAGCCCGGACCCACACTTTATCTCGACATAGAGAGCAGAACCGGGCTTCAAGGGACTAGCAGGGTCGCTCACAGGTTCCTTAGGGCCAACGGCGGGGACAACCGAAGCGGGCAAGGGCCTAAGCGACTCCTGAGCTGCAGTAGAGGTCAAGGATGGCGGCTGACGAGCACACACTTCTGCAGGCACCAACCGCGCGCCCTCGGGCGCGCATTCCGGAACATCAACATGACACTCGCGGAGAAAGTCAAGATGTTCCTTGCATAGGGATTCGACATGACGGATTGTGAATGCAACCAGCAAGACTCTACGGCCCTGCCACGCCTCGGTGTAGTGCCAATTGTGTCTGGCATTGAATCGGACAGGGCCCTTTGCAACCTGCAAGCGAGAGCCTCGGGCACCATTAAGGTCGGATACATCCCGACCGTTTTCATGCTCCACAAAGATGGCTCCACCTGAGAATTCAGTCAGTGCAATCGCCAAGTTATGCAAGTTGGCATTCCACTGATCACGATGGCGCTCAGTGCGAACATCCTCGAATATATTTATTGAAGAAAATTTAAACCCCGGCGCACGCTGTCTCACAAACCTTGCAAAGACTTTGAGCGCCTCCGGGTTGGCTGAGGCATTGGCCTTCAGGCCCACATTACCACCAAGAACATACGCTCCCGTGGCATAAGATTTCGAAGTTGGGAGAGGTGCATCGGCACCCCTCTTCAAGGCATCCGAAGGAAGACCATCGAAGACTCGCAGAACATCGGTGGCACTCACATGACCCTCGTCAAGTGTAGAGCCTGCTGTGCGGCTCCGTGACTCCGCCCCGTCACGGGGCTTCGGGGACCTGCTGCGTGCGGCCTCCACCACACCTGGTGATGGCCTGGCGATGGCACTGTGAGAGCCAACGTTGTGCACGTGATGATCCTCTCGATCAACACCTGATTGCGGACGACAATCCACTCCACTCGGAGGAGAGCCGCCCGCACATGCATTGCTCGGCCGATGAACTCCCTCTCGGAGATCATCCACCTGTGCTGTCCTCGCTGCCGGCTGATGCACACTCTCTGGAGCACCGGCCGCCTGCGAAGCACCCTCGAGACCAGCTAGTCACGAGCCACCCTGAGCCCGCTTTGGGCACTGCGCTGCACCATGGTTATGAGCACCGCACTTAGGCACTGCACAGATGTGCAAGCCCTTCTCGCACTTCTGCCCCTTCGTCGAGCAGCCTCCCAGGTTGAAGGCAAAGCAGATTGGGTCCCCACGATTAGTGTGGGACCTGCAGCCTTCCAAGCCGGCGGGCAACCTTGTCATGAACCTCTGCTTACCTTTCTTTCCTTTGCCCCCACCTTTGGTGTAAGGAGATGGCCTCTCCCACTTGGGAGCATCCGGCTTCTGGGGAACATCCTTTCCTTTAGGGCAGGGGCCGGAAAAGGTTGCAATAAGCATGACACTTCGTTCATGTACATCGCATCTGGCAGAAGTGTGTCCAACGGGCGACCCGATGCGACGGTCTGCACTCCTGCCCTGGTCTTATCACGAAGCTCGGCAAACAGCTGCCGATCCGCCGACTCAAGCTGCTTCCAAGTGGGCCTGACAAAATGCTCCGCAGGTGTCTGCATGCGAGCCTTCATCAAGCGCTGAGTCCATTGGTCGGAGACACTGAAATCGATCAGGTTCGCCTGATCCATGGCCAGAGACCTCCTCGTGAGGGCCTGCTGAACAAGAATCTCTGATGAAGTATCCGCAACCAAGTCAGGCTGCTTATGCTCAATCCGAAGCTTGCCAGAGGACTCTTCGACCGTGAACCTAACATCTCGCTTCTTCTCGCCAGCCAATTCAGCTTCCTTTGACACACACCGGTCCCACGGAATGTACCTGAGCTCATTCGCCTCGTAGGAGGCCACAGCAAGGTCGACAAGTGCATCGGCAGGCTCCAGAGGCCCCTTTAGCGAAATTCCGACAAGCTTCTTTGCCTGCCGCTCGTAACGCTCAGACCTCTCAGGCTGCGACAATGGCCTGACAGTCGACTCGGGATCGGCCTTCTCGATCCGCTGCTTCATTTCCGCGGTCACAATGGCATAAGCCTCATTGTACACCGCACGCCAATTGGCCTTGTCTGCGATTGTCAGATCTCGTTTCAAGATATCCTTCAACACCCTCATCAAAGGCTCCTCGTCTGTCTGGCCAGGGGTGAAAGAAGAAATGAAAGCCAGCCTCCTCAAGTTTCCCACCTCAGGCAGAATTTTCAGGACATCTCCTTCCGCGAAACCCACGACGCTCAATCGTGACTGCAGAACCGATTGGCTCTCAGAGTAGTTCGCCATCTTCAGGAGAAGGACCCGGCTAGCAATCCGCTTAAAAGTCACATGAAGTATGTCAGCATGTTCTAATGCATACACAATGCGATGCGTGAGCTAGACTCCGGCCGACCAGTGTTAGCGCAGACTCTAAAAGACTGAGCCGACTCCTCGGAACAACGATGCCCTGTTCTAGTGCACATCACTCTCGACCCTCGCATTCACTCAAGCTATCGCATCACTCAGCTCAGGAATCACGCTCCAGACACTCAGAAATCCCTTCTTTTCTACAGCATCTCCTCGGCATCACTTCTTAGGTGGACAGCAGCTCCTACACAACGGAAACAAAATTCGCGGGACGGAAGACAGCCTTGCATACCTGGTTGAGATGCTCCTGCCACATCTGAACTTGTCGCCCTCCTCGGACACGACTGCATGAATGAAACGGCTGTCTTTATTCCTGAACAAAGGGACTGCCTCAAGCTCGGCCCGCAAGCCTGCATCGGGCTCCCATTGCCTCCCCAACTCATCGGCGGCGGCCTCCGCAGCTTCATGATCGACATCCTCGGCATCCTCGCTGGCCTCGGAAGAAGAATCCGACAGAACCTCGTCAGGAGGAATGGGCATCCCCTCCGGCTCTCCAAAGCGCTTCACGAAGTAGCCGGACCTGGTGGCATCCGGCATGAACCTTTCGCGTGACACTTCGAGCAGGACCTCTTGCAGCCGGCGCACAGGAGCAGACATGTTGTCTCTCCCATAGATGATCTCGGTTCCATCACGGCCCCTGGCGTGATAACCAAGGGCCGCCCTCACCTCGCGGGCTAATCCGAATTTGGCGCTCCAACTCAAGGTCGTCGCCTTGAGACTGTGCGTCCCAAGCGGTTCGACAGAAGACCTGTCGCATCCTGCACGGATCAAGAGTGACTTCATCCATTTCGTGGCACTTGCCACCGCCAACGGCGCCGTTTGCCACCCTCCTCCAGAGAGCGGACTCGGAAGCAAGGGCTTACCCGTCCCCAAAGGAGGCCCATGCACCTTATAGAACTCAAACCACTTAACACCCCAGGGCACCTCGCCTATTCCCTGGATGGGAGCGAACATGTGCAAATACCTGACCTTTCTTTCAAGTGAAAACGAAGTTTTGCTTCGCTCAACAGCAGCCTCAAGGTATCCCACAACGCCATCTGGGGTATCACTCAAGTCGCAAGTCATTGCACCTGCAGCCTGGGCATCTGAGTACCTCGCTCGTGCGTAAAGGGTCCAAACAAAGAAGCCGGCAGCGACCCGATCTGCGGGTTCGAGATTGATCGAACCAGATGCAATGGCTTCCAACTTGCGCACATGATCAACTTTAAGAGCTGGCTTCTGTCGAGTCTTTCTCTTGTCAAGATATAGCTTCGACGACAGCCCACGGACCCTGGGGCTAAAGACTTCATCGCTCACCTTCAAGCTCACAGTGAACTTTGCAAAAGCAAGGCTGCTCAAGAAGCTCCTTGCGAAAGTGGGCGCCTCGTGTGATGCATAGTCTTGAAGGAAAGCATAGACCCCGGCTTCGGTGACAGGGAAAGGATTGACCTGGTGACCTCGGCAATGCTTGACGTACCTGGCTAGAGGCCCGGCACGGCCCGAGATTGTGACGCTCGCCTTCTGAGAAAACACATCTTGCAATGAGGTCTTCAAGTCGGCATCTCGTCCATTTTCCCGGTCTAACCGAATCGACAAAGTCAAACCAAAATCCTCGGGGAACCTCTCAAGAATCCCAAGCCACTTTGCCAAAGCCGCCTCCCTTGCTTCGGAGAGTTTTTGATCCCAGCTCTGCCCCGGTGCATTCGGGACCCTCACTCCTGCAAGCCTGAGTGATTCAAGCTTTCCTGAAGACGACTTAACCGGCCCTGCAGGGACGGCCGGCCCCACAGGCATTGACACTATGCTCCCACCTTTGGCGTAAGGTGAAGGCAAAGCAGGCATGTCAAGAAAAGCAGAAGATACTTCCCACGGCATCTTAACTGCGTTTCCAATCCCTCGGGATGCCACACGAGTCGATGACACACAGTGACTCTCATAAGCCCCAAGCACACGAGCCCTCTTGAGGCTGCTTTCAAGAGAGTCACCTCCCGACATGCTGGCTGCAGATCGGCCTTGTCAAGCCAGCATGGCCAACGCTACTCCCCACTTCTACAAAAATTTCCGGCCCTTTGGCCAGGGAGCAGCTACCCACCCATCCCACCCCTGTCTCGAGGCGGCGCGGGAAATAAAAGAGATGAACTCAGACGATTCAAAGCATGCATTCATGCCATGAAATGTGGTTCAAAATAAAGCAAAGGCGTTTTGAAAACTTCGCAATAATTTTCAAAACTCTCCTCGGAAAATAAAGCTAGTAGAGGCAAGCCTCATGTGTCGCGTCGCAAACGGGGGAGCGTTTGCAGTGAAAGGTGGACGCTCCTAAGCTGTGCAGAGCGTTCAAAGGCAGTGGGGGTGAAGGCGACTGTGACGTCACATCGGTTGTGCAGAGAGAAGCCAGAGATTGCAGATCTGGGACGCCGTCCGAGTGCAGCTTGGTGTGCAAGGAGCAGCTAATCCCCATGAGCGTGCGGTGAGGCGAGCGCATCCATGTGCACGTGGCGGCAAGTTCTTGGGCGAGTTGCAGGTACATGTCAAAAATTTCCTCCGTGGCGGGCTGAGGGAATGCAAAGATCACATGTGCGCCTTGAAGGTGGGCGGCGCGGTGCAAGGCGCAAAGGCTGCGGTGGAAAGACGCTGGGCAAGAGCTTGTGTCTCCAAGAATACAGAGCACTGCAAGGGCTCCAGACCAGGCCGCGCCCTGCATGGACGCTAGAACCTCGGGGTGCCAATGACCTTCCGAGTTTTGCAGGGAAGGCGGAGAAGCGAACCTGTGCAGAAAATGGTGGACTTGCTTGGCATCTTGGAAAAGGTCCGGCGGCCAAAAGAGTAAGCAGCGGGCTGAGGGAGTGCATGTGGCGGCAGACGAGGTCGGGGCGAGGCAGACGGAGTCACTGTCGTCTGAATCGGAGGCTTCGCTGCCTGAGGGGTTACGATGCTGCGAGGAAGGTTTGGCAGGTGCATGAGCAGCGGCAGGCGAGGTTGTGCAGGGCGGCCTAGCAACCTGAGAAGGCAGGGCCTTAGGGGGGCTGCGGGACCTAGAACCATTAGGTGAGGTGCAAGGGGAGGCTGAGCCGGATGCGCAAGAAAGCGAAGGAGGCGAAGGGCTGCGCTGATTCCGGGCTGCCGGCAAGAGATTGCTCCCGGATGCCATCTCCTGCGTGTCTCACGAAGGGCTGGGCTTTTCCACTTTGTGGTTGCAGGCTGCATGATTTTTCCGCAAGGTTGACCTGACGGCAGCTTAAATGCACACTTGTGTTCGAACTTGCAGTTTTTGTTCGTGCAGTTGCCTTTGTTGAAGCGGATGCAAAGGGTCTTGTCGCCAAGCTTAGTGGCGAGCGGTGCGGTTTGCTGGTTGCCCGAGTTGGGGGTGCGGAGCTGCTTGCCAGGCTGTCGCACGCCCTTGCCGTTGGCTTTGCCGCCTTTACCGCGGATGCGGTCTTCCCTGGTGGGGCGTAGGGGCGGCGCGGGTGGCATGGGCTTGGCACGAAGTTGCAGCAGGGAACTAATGTCCGAGCGGACGCTGGTGATTTCATGCAGGGCATCATCCAGGGACCACCCGGAGCTGTGCAGTGCAGCAATCTCTTGCCAGATCTTTCGATCGGCGACGAGTAGTTCTTGCGTGGTAACGGTGCGCAAATGCAGGTCCGGCGAAACGGTTTGCATTGCGAGGTCAAGGACCTTTTTGTCAAACGCCTTCAAGCGCTGCAGGTGCGCTCCGTTGCAAATTGCGATAGCATTGCGGAATACAGTTTGCACGCGTTGCAACCAGGCAGAGCTGAGGCGAAGATGATCGACAGCCATTTCGGGCGTGTCGTCGAAAAAGGCGGTGCTGATGAGGTGTGCTTCGGTGCGGATTTGCTTGGTGGCCTTGCTCTGTATGATCTCGTCATACTGCATTGCAGACAGGCGGAGCTGCCACGGTATCCAGGTAATGGTGTGTCCCGGTTGAAACCACCGATGGACAAGGCTGAGCAGACGAATGCTTGGCATGGCATCGCTATCGAGGTGCTCGCCGGGAAAGGCGTCCTTAAAGGCTTGCACGAGGCGTTGCACAGAGGATTGATCCAGGCGAGGCGGTGCGTGTTCTGCCCATGAGTTTGCGGGGCTAGCAGCCGCCGGTGCGGGGGGTGGTTGTGCTGAGTGTGGCTGGGGTGGCGATGGTGCGGAAATGGCTTTTGCTTGCTGCAAGGCTTTGCGGGGGCCATGGCCGGGGAGATGCGGGGCACAGGTGCATCTAGCTCTAGCCAGATGTGCGCAAAGTCGTCGCCGCAGAAGTGATCCAGATCGGCCGTTTCCGAGAAGGCATATGCGAAATCCGACACGGATTCAATGCCGGTGCTGTGCAGTGCAGTGGACAGCGAGTCCGGAACTTGGCATGATTGAAGAAGCTGGGCAAGAGCGCTTGCCGGCACGTGCGGTGCTTCGTCGAAAGAAAGATCTGCGGCCATCGAGTAGATGAGAAGTGCTAGAGAGAAACAGAAGTAGTTTCGAGCCGAAAAGACTGGAAGGTGCAATGGAACGGTTGCGAGCCAAGAAGAAGTGCAGAAACTTGGCAAGGCGGGCAGCGAGCCAGGAAGGCCTCGAAGGGCAAGAGGTCGAAGAGCAGCAAGTACCTGACAGGAGGGCAGCCAGAAAAAACTCAGAGGATTAGGGGGTACAGAGGTGCAGGGCAGAGGCAGGGGAGCAAAAAACCGAGGCGGTTTTGGCAGCAGGCGGCAGAGGTCAGGTTTGCGACGCGGCAAGTCGCAAAGCGACGCACGCCTTGCGTCTGCAGAAAGGGCCCTGAGGGGCCGCGCTGGTAAGCGATCCCAGGCCTAGGCGGGTGCCACAGGCTGACCGCAGGGTGCTGTCGCTCGCGGCTGAGTTGAGAAGGCTGTGCCAGCATGCCCACGGGCCGTTGCAAGCGAAAAGGGCATTATCTGTGCAGAGAGGCAGAGGAAGTGGGACCGCAGTGGCATCATCCGAGTCCATCTCTGATGCGCTGGAAGAGTCGGGGCTAGGCGGGGCGTTGCGGGCAGCACGTTCCACAAGCATGGCTTCTTCGTCGTCAGAATTAAAGCCCGAGATAGGATCATCTCCAGAGAAATGCTCAATGGGATCATCTAGCAAAGAGTCAAGGTGCTGGTGAAAAGCAGATGTGCTGGCAGTGTCTGCCGGGGCAGGAGAAGGAGGTGCCTGCATGGCGTGCAGGTGTTCATGGCGAGTGGAAAAGCGAGACCAAGGGCCGTTGAGGATGTCCTCAGGCCGAACAGATTGAAGCACAGGGCCCGGAGCAATGCTGAAGGGCGGTTCGGGAACGGGTGCTTGACCTCCACGGGCAATGCTGCGTTGCGGGCGCCAGCCGGTGCTGACAGCCGTGGCGAGGTCTTCTTGCACGTCGAGGCTAGCAAAAGTGTCGTTTCGGGAGTATAGTGCGGCGCTGTCGCGATGATGACCTTGTGCAAGGCGGGAGTCCTTAGGAGCACGGCGTTGCGCGGCCGCCGCCAAGAGAGTCGATTTGAGGCTGTGCAGGGTGAGGGACCTGGCCTCCGACGGGAGGAGCCCAGCCCCGGAGGGCCAGTTGCAGGTGCAGGCCCACCCTCAGAGAAAGCAAGGCGGTGCAGTAGCTGGCCGGCGCCAGCTGGGCAAGGCAAATACGACTGGGCGCCGTGTGGAACCAAAGAGAGTCGATCTGTGCGAAAGAGTCATAGAAACGGTGCGTGGCCTGAAGTATGACGTCGAGCCAATGCAAGACCCAAGCGGAGCGGACGTCCCGCCCAGAGAGTCCCCCTAGACGGCAGGCCCAAGGCTGACCTTGAGACGTGGTTTTTGTAGCAAAGCAAGTGCCGTGCAGTGCTTGGCATGTGAGCGACAGGCTAGAGAGATCTATGCGTTGCAGATCAGCGAAACGCAAGCTGCAGTGCAGTGCAAGGAGCGCAGCCCCCAGGATAAGGCGCGTGGTAAGCGGTGCCTGGTTGTCGCAGACACGGCGTTCCCAGCTAACGACCAGAGATAGTGGTATCGGCAAGGCTTCTTTGCGATCCTTGGCTGAGCTGGAGAAGGTATAGGCGGTGATAACTGGGCTGCAGAGGGCATTGCCGAGAGCCTGCCATTGAGCATGTTTAGCCAGCCAACGAAGGGCTTTAATGCAGGAAGGCACGGTCATTTGATGAATTTCGCGGTCTTGCTTTGCCGAGGCGCGGGCAGCGGCTATAAAGTCCAATATGACATGAAGGGCAAGCGCAGTCGGCAGGATGCAGGAGCTGTGCAGGAAGGCAAAGAAATTAAAGGTAACCCGAAAGTAGCGTGCACCTTGGAAGAGAAGGGCCTGAGCACTGCGAGCATGTGCTGTTGAGCGTGAGAGCTTTGCTGCAAGGATTGCCAGAGGAAGGACGCCCCGGCTAGAATACCCAAAATTTGGGTCCAGGCCGTGTGGCAGGCTTGGCGACGCATGTCGTTTTGGCGCCGGCTGAAGGACATGGGCACTCCCTGAACGCGGGGGACAGGGATGGGCGCCTGAGCAGCAGGTGGAGGTGAAGGTGCAGTTGCGATATAACCCTGGGGCGAGGCTTGCCCCGAAGCAGGCGATTTGGGCTTATGAAGGTGAAGGTTGCGTGGCATGGCGCGGGCTGGTGGCGGAGGCCGGCCCCCTCGGGGAAGAGGCGGTGCACAACCTAACTTAGGGAAAGGTTTATTGGGACTAGGGCAACCCAAGGCGGGGGCTGGGTACTTGACCACGCGACGAGGCGGGCGCGAGAGGCCGTGAGTGATGCTGCGCGGCAGTCTGGGCACACCCGAACGGCGATCTCAGGTCGCTGCGATGCTTCGCAGGTGAGCGGCAGGACCCTGGGCGAGGCCGGGGTTTCTGGCAGGGTTGGTTCGGGCAGAGGGCTTAAGGTCCTAACTAAGCGCAAGGGCAGGGCTGATTGCGATGCAGGTGTGCCTGGCGAGCTGAAATCGTCTTCTGAGGCGGATTCGTCAACCTCAAAAAAGCCTAAGAAAACCGGCAGGTGCGACGGTTCATCGTCCGGGTCCGAGGCAGGCGGAGCCGTTGCAATGCTTTGCTGTGGTTTTAGGGCTGAGGATTGCGGTGCAGTGCGGGCCTCAGGGTCCGCCAAGGAGCCGAATTTCCGTTTCCAACGCTGGCGCATGAAGCAAGCAGAGCGTGTGCAACGAGGCAAGAGAAAGGCCCGAGCAGGCTACTGACTGAACGTGCCTCGAGCAAGAAGCCGGCGGGTTCAACCTGCATGTATGAAGCTAGCAAAAGAGCCGTCGAGAAAAAGGTGCGAGCTTGCCCGAATGTGTGCAGGAGCAGAAAGGCGGGGCACTGGAGGCCGAGGCAGAGCCTGGCAGAAAAGAAAAGTGGGTGCGTAGCGAGCTCCCAAAGAACAGTGCTGAGCAGAGGCGCTGCAAGAACGTGCCTGGGTGACCAAGCAGACCTGAGCAAGCAAGAAAGGAAAGGTGCATGAACCGCGAACATGAAGAAATGCAGAAGCTGGGCTGAAACGGACGGCGGCCGCTTTTTGCAGTGCGGTGCGGTGCGGGTGCGGGAGGGGAGCTCACTGCTCTTCCCTCTCCTCTTTGCTCTTGCAAATCGAGCAGCGGTGCTTATTATGCATCTCTGATGCCAGAGGCTGTGCATGGCGGAACGGCTTACCACATGGTAAGCAATCGCCGGTGCTGTGCTTGGAGTCGCATTCGACTGCGCAGCAGGCCCGACCGTGGCGATCTCGATACCACGGTCGGGCCTGGCGACTCCAGCGGACTTCCGCCGGAGTGCGGTGCGATGCCTGGCACCAGGTGCCGATTTGCGGTGCATGTGCGAGGTCGTCCTCTGCGGGGACCTCGGTGGCTGCGATGAAGTCTTCGATGCGGGGCGGGGGGCGGCTCTCGCGCCGCTCTTTGGCAGTGCTGGGGCGAGGCTGGGGGTGCGGGGCAGGTGCTGGTGCAGGGTCTGCGCAGCGCTTTTCTCACCGGGCGGGTATGCAGGCATTGCTTTCACAGGCACTGAGCTTTTGGCCTGCGGTGGCGGGACTGGGGGATAGGTGCCACGAGGGTCAATAAGGCGGGTGTGGGGGCAGACTGAGCAGCGGCAGGCGGTGCAGGGTCAGCCGTGGGCGCTGGATCCGCCTGAGGGGCTGGTGCGGGGGCAGGTGTCGGCTGTGCAGGGGGATCTGAAGGTGCAGAGCTGGCCGGGGGTTCTGGAATACTAGGCAGGGGTTCGCGAGGCGTTTTGTTGCCTTTGCAGTGCGTGTCGACTTCGGCCAAATAAGCGCCGTGCGTGAGGCAGGCGCTGAGCCTGAGGCTTTGCAGGGGACCAAGGCGCTGTGCAGATTCCACCAATTCTTCATTGGAGGCGGAAGCAAGTGCGACCCAGGCAGCGCCCAAGCCAGACATGATGCAGGTGCAGAGCGAAACGAAGCGAGGTTTTTTTTTTAGTCTGCTGAGCGACCTTATGCATGCCTTAGAGGCTCTAAGCTAGAAATGGCGGAGCTGTCTACAGTGCTGTGCCTTGGGCGGCTTTAGCCACTAGCGGGGCTGAAAGCGAGTCTGTCCTGTGGCCGAGAAGCTGTGCGACGAGCCTTGCGTAGCCCGCTGAGCCAAAGAAGCAACGGCGTGCCGAACGAAAGTGAGTGCAGGCAGCTGCAGGTGAAGTGCAAGAAGAAGCCGGGCTGCACAGGCTGAGGCCGAGACGAAAAGAGCTCGAAGAAGACGAAGTGCAGACCTGAGCAGGCAGCCAAGAGGCAGAAAAAAAAGGCAAGAAAAGCCAAGGCGTTAAGCAGCGGCTGGGCGATGCGATCGCGTGCGGAAAAGTGTGCAGAGCAAAGGGGCTCTTAGCAGCAAACCGCGGTGCTGAGCAGGATCGCGATCCTGAAAGAAAAGACCTGAGCCAGGGCAAGAAACTGAAAGTCGAGCAGCAGTTGCGGCCCAAGCGAGGGCAGGCCCGGCTGGGTCGGGGCGACCCAGGCAAGAAAAGCGACAGGCGTGCCTTGGCCAGCGGGCTCAGGGAAGTCCACGAAGTCGGCGAAGAAAAACCTGGCAGGCGCAGGGGGGGACAGAGCGGGTTTAGGGCTAGGGAAGCAAAGAGAACCGGCAGAAGGCTGCAGCAAGTGTTTTGCAGTGCGTGGCCGATGCGTTGCAAAGCTAAAGAGCGGTGCTTGCAGCCCCGCAGTTGTGCCGTGGTGCAATGGCATAAGGGTGGAAAAAACCACCAGGCAAAAAATCAATGAGTACATTGGCATTGCTGGGCTGAGCATCGCAGAGCGAGTAAATCGGCACAGCCGAAATGCCATGCTAAAGCAAAGGCCTGCGGTACCAAAGGGTGGCGCAGGGCGGTGCATTGCTGTTGTAATCGCAGAAGTAAAAGAGGTGATCGCGAGTGCGGATCTCCAACCATTGCTCCCAAAGGGCCTGGGAGCTGCAGTGCAAAGCCCGAATCTCGTCCGGAAGCAGGGCGGAGCAGATGCTGTGCAGAAGGCGACGGTCCATGAGCGTATCCTCTTCGAGAGAAAGATCGGCAAAGCAGGGGCCGTGCGATGCAGGCGAAGCGGCGCCTTGCACGGTACGTTGCGATGCAAGCCATGCTGCTGCACGTCGCGATGCGGAAGCTTCTGCCTTAGCGCACGCCGCCGCCACGACGCTGCTGCGGAGGCTGCTGGGTGTGCTGGACCACTCCGATGCAGTGCTGAGCGGGCTATCCTCCGCTCGCCAAACGGGAGCCGGGGCGTTGCGGAGCAGTTCCTGTGCGGAATAGCGCAACCATTCGGAGCCGGAAGGCATAGCTGAGCAGGGCGAGGCGGGAGGCTTAGGGGCCTAAGTTAGGGCTAAAAGCTCCGAAGGTGAGAAGTGCGAAAGTTGGGTCAAAGCGTGACGGGCATCCCTGTTCACTGGAACCAGACTGCGAAAAGAGGCTGCGCAAAAGAAGCTGAAAAAGAAACCAGCCACACGATACTGAAACCAACAGACGCAAAGAGCGGGTTCTGCCTGAAAGGGAACGCGTGGCGAAAGCCTCCAGATAGCAAGGCGGCGCCTGAGCAGAACAAGGCGAGGCGGGGCAGGACCTAGAGGGCAGGGCCTAGGCTGTTGGTAACGCCAGCAAAAAGTCTCAGGCTGGGTGCGGTTGCGAAAGGCGACGCTGAGCAGAATGCGTCTGCAAGAGGGAGAGACGTCCCAAGATGTGCAGAGGTGCCTGTAAAAATCGAGGCAGAGCTGAGCCAGGCACCGGCAATCATAAAAGCAGAGATAACCGAGCAAGTAGCCTGCAGAACGGGCCGACTCGATGCATTGCAGGGGCGTGGCTGTGCTGGGCATGCTGAAAGACCCAGGGAAACTGCGCCAAAGTGCCCAGCGAGCAACAACAAGCTGAGCATGCGAAGGCGAATGCACGGCGGTGCTGGCAGATGCGACTGCGGGCTCGGTGCGCGGCCTTTTGACGAATCCGCGTCGTCCCATGGCGCGGAGCAGAAGGAGCTAAAGCGGCTAGCTCGCAAAAGTGAAAAAGTCAGCAAACTCAAGCTGTAGAAAAGATGCTGTGCTGAAGCTCGTGAAAAAGCTAAAAGTACGGAAGCGATCCGGGTCGACAGCTTGAGCTAGCAGTGCGGCGCGGGGCGAGGCAATGCAAGCTCAAGTACTTACAGAAAACACTGTCGACCAAAAACAACAAACTCACGACAAGCAAACCGCAGAAGCAAAAACGAACGAACCCGAAGACCGTCCTGTTCCATAAGCAAGAAAGGATTCTCCCGTCCAGACTGCACAGTGACCTCCCTTGTTCACGAGGGGATCCTCAGGCTTTCAATGTCTAAGTGGGAGTTTCCGAAAACAGGAGACCCTGATTTAGTGGGTACTAAATAGCAGGATCCTTCTTAAGGTACCCCTAATCTTCGGAAACCCCCAAATAGACTCTAAGTAAACTACAAACGCAAACCTGACTTGGGACCTCTCATGTCCAAGGACCAAATTACAGGGTTTAGGGTTTAGGGTTTAGGGGTTTAGGCTTTACCTGGACCCCTGTTCCCCTACCATTATCTAAGCGTTCCTCCGATTCTAAGCGTGTCTCTTGGGGCTGATGAGGGGGTCTTGTCTTAAAAGCAGCTTAAAAGCTAATGAATTGGGATTTGCTGATTAACTATCGTTCAATGATCGTGTTTCTTGATTTGGGTTTGAAGAGCTCCGGGCAGCATTGGGGTTTCCGGTGTCAAAGCCGACTAAAGTAATTGGGTGGTGCTGTCTTTGGGCTTTAAAGGTTCTTGTGGCTTCGATCGATCATTTTCACCATCATCCACTTGCAGCTCTTCGAATCCTCAACCGGTCGGGGACTCAGCCGGCACGATTCCATTGATGCATTGTCGAAGCCATCCAACGTTGCAACACCCTTCCCTGAGCAGTGTTTGCAGCGACCCTCCTCGAAAGAAGTGCTGTACGTCCAATAAAGTCCTCAGCTTGACTACAACTGAACCCCAAAGGGTTCAGGGCAGGTGTGCCCATATCAGATGCTTGTTGCATTTCGATGACGAGGTGGTGGAATGCGTGCACCTTTGGCCTAAAACACCAAAGAGGTTTGCTCTGCGCCAATGCTAGTGCCGCCAGTTTAGAATAGCATTTCAAGAAGAGCTTGGCGTCTGCCACGATTGAAGCTGCATCTGCTGGCTCCTGGGTTTGTCTTGACTTATATTAATCGAGAATCAATCCACAATCTTGGTTCAATCAGCTTGGTTCTTGCAAGACAAGAATGGTCATAACTTAACCTTGGAAGCATAGGTTTCTTAATTTGGGTACAAACCAGCATCAGGTTTTATATATAGCTTCGAACTAGCCTAGCATAAAATTATGCCACATGGAACTCGGAGTCGACCCACAAGTCACTGGCATAGAGAGCCTGCATGAAGCGGGTGATCGCGAGTGCAGCACGATACATATACAGCATGATCTTGTCATCATTGAGAGTGTCTTTGTGTTCGTCACAAACATACACAATGAACTTCATGATCCGTGCCGTATCAGCGGCCTTTGACCAAGTGCCAGAAGGGAATGTCGAAGAGGCATCGAAGAACTGCAATTTGTCTCTCGTGAAAGCTGTCAGATGCACTGACTCCTTTTTTTTCCAATCGCCATGATCGGAAAACTGAGTTCAAGTTCTCGATTTGTGCATCAACGGAGTTATTGCCCTGATCACCAGCGAAACAGATCGGCAGCATGTACACCAGGCATGATGAACAGAAATCTTGCCCAACTCCAGCCAAATAGATGTGAAACAAATCTGCCAAATAAAACTTGGCAGGTCGGTCCAGATAGCACAAAGAGGGTCTCAGCATCCCTCCTTCAAGCCCAGGCCGCCACGGTGGCGTTGTAAACTCAGGCATCTGCTGAAGCCAAACAGGATTGTCACTATGGATTTCTTCGAATGGGGCAGTGACATCCCCGGCTGAACACAACCAACAGCATTGTCCAGAACCCTTGGCTGTTTCCGAATATGGAGCCTTGCGTGCTGTTGTGAACCACCTGGTTAGGCGACCGGCACGTGCCTGAAGTTTGAGATCACCTTTTAATCCCAGGCAAACCAAGCGCAGAACCCGGCCTTTCCAAGAAATTCCCTCGTCGAAACATTCCCTGAGGTCTTCGGCAAACGTACGAAGCAAGGCCTGAAATGAATCTTCTTGATTCTTATGAAAGGAAGAAGGCATCGCAGCATAGAGAAAATGGGAATTGTAGGAATGGCCCAGCAAAGGCAACTGCATTTTGTAGCCACGGGATCTGAAAGCTCGAACAGCTGGGTCCTTCTTGTTCTTTTTCCCCGAACCTGAGCCTATGATAGCCGCCCAATCGAATATCATAAACTCGCTCTTTTTGTAGCCTCTCCCTCCGTCAATATGTGCAACAATCGGTATGCAGTCTTCCAGAGGAATATCGCTGTGGTGTGAAGAGAAAAGCTCGAAGTCCGGATGTATGGCTCTATAGTTTTCCCAGAAAGACAATAGAAGCAGATGACTGGACTGCACACTCCTTCCACCCAGCAGCTTGTTCAGATGCCCGGAATCAGCCATGTGTTGCAAGATATCTAAAGGCTTCAATCTCGGAAAACCTTGGATAGCTGGATCCCCATGAACATTCCTGAGCGGGATGGGCAGACTCAGTTTGTGCTTCTGCAGCAGCTTGTGTGCTTTCTCTTCAGCATCTTTCTCCGAAACCTTTGATAGCTCATTGATGAAGCCACTACCCGAGGCCGTCAGACCATCGGCCGTCATTGCCTTCGCGAGCCCCACCATCTTGGAGCACGGCACCTCAGTGGGAGGGTGGTGAACACATATGTAGACTTGGATCGGTTGCTGCTAGGGCTAGGGTTTGCAAGGTGCTTTTGTGCATGCCAGCAAGACTGCCAACATCAATTTCGCATTTCAGTGCTGCCTTTTTCCCCCCTGAGCATATATGCGCTGTCGCTTCGGTGCAACCAGGGCCGACTTGAACACAATGTATGTGAAGTATGGCGGGTCATACACTTGCCGCCCCTCACCCCCAGGATTGATATTGCGATTGCCAGGCCGGCCCTGAAACTCTGCAATTAGTACAGCCTCCATTAAGGCAGCTTCATCCCACGTGGCCCCTGCAAACAGTACTTGCATTTCTGCATACTGGTCTATATCATAACGATAGCCTGCTGATGAGTTTGTCTTCGAGGGCACTTTGTAAAAGCGGAACATGGGATCACCACTAAGGCCGATCTTAAACACAGTGGGCCCCAAACGAAGGATATTAGCAACCCTTTCCCTAATGGAAAGCAGAGCTTTGCCGGCTCTCAGCAAAGGTTGCGGCAGGCGAAGCTTCACACGATCATCATTGCCGAGGCCTTCAAGCAATAGCTCCCGGAGTCGCGGTAAATCACGGACCGAAGGTTTGAACATCTGCAGCTGCTTGTAGCCTGGTTGTGAGAGGGGTTCGAGTCTGTTGAAAGTAGTTTCGGGAACTATAGAAAGTGCTGTTGTTATCTGCGTGAATCATGCTACTCAGTCTTTGGATCCTGGGATGCTAAGTACTCTTTCTAGATACCAAAAAAAACCCAAGAAAGCTCCTATTGTTCCAGATCTATACAATATATACAGAAGCAATTAAAACCTGAGACCCGAATTCCGAAGCCAAGCAAAGCCTTGCACCCGGACAGGTTCAATGCTGCATGCAGTGGCCAACAGCAGCTCGTACACCCAGAGTGGCACAGCATTGCATCCGGATTGATGCGGGTGTTTTGTTTGGTTTCGGGGTTGTGCTTCCCAGTTTCGGAATGGGGCCGTTCGTGGTTTATTTTTCCTCAGAATTAACCCTTGGGGGTTTCCCAACATAACCTTTGTTACCCAGCCGGCTAGTTGAAACCTGAAAAAACCCTGCACATAGTAACCTTATAACTTGCTGCACCCAGGAGCTGTCCTCATCTGCTTCATGTTGTTCAACCAGAGCAGGTCGTGCATCGAAGGGGTCATCACCGGGTCCTTTCCAGGCAGTGACAGCTAGCAAAGCCTAGAATAGACGGGCCTGTATCGAAGAAGCCCACACACACATACATGCAGACTGTAGAAAAGCAAACCCAGCAGGCCTTGTGCTTTGGGAACATATGGTGGACATGGCGCACTCAACTTGCGACTGCCATCTTGACTGAACCCTAGCAACTCTTCTAGCCACTCCTCAGGCTGTGTCATGCCCCCAAAAGCTTGAGACAAAATCATCAGATCAGACAGAATGTGTCGGGAGAACTCCGCCAAATCAGACTTGTCAGACATTCGACATGCAGCAACTCTGGAAGCACCTAGGCTGGGTGAAGCACACCACTGCCAATGGATTCGGCCATGAACTTGGCCGTCTCGGTCTCTGTCGTATCCCATGCACCTGGCATTCTGTCAGTATGTAGCTGAAGTCAGCCAGAAGCTGAAATGCTGAAGACATCCCAGTGGCATTGTGCATGCGTAGCCGACACATGACAGAAGTGCACAGGTTAATTTCTTCTGCACAAAGCACCCAGGTGCATCGAGTTGTTTCAGAAAGTTGTGTCCAGATCAGGGCACATCCACAGCAGCAAGTGTCGCTGCAGAAAGACCGATCAAGAAGATATTAGGCTTCGGTCTTGCGCATCTGACATTCCCACCGTGTAGCTGTACACGGCAGGTTCACAGCAAATTGTAGATCACCCCAACACATTTTGTGTTTGATCGAACCCCATTTGTAACACCTGAGCCCTACTTGTCCTCATCATCCTCCTCCTTCTTCTTCGGCGGCTTGCGAAGGACAGGCCTCGTCAAACAGTAGCAGCCATCATAGTTCTGATGCATCAAAGTAAAGGTACTTGTTTAATGTAGCCGGCTACACATGTTGGATCCTAGCACATGCCCTGCAATTCCGCATGCTAACCTTTTCCCCGAAAATCAGAAATCACTTGCTCAGGCAGTGGCCGGCAGGTCCGGTCGAGACCCGTCCACATGCAGCACCTTGCCCAGAAGCTGGGAAGGGCTTCGGGGTTGAAGGGTATGTTATCTCAGGTTCGGGAAGTTTTCTTTCAACCGGGCAAGCTAGGCACTTCTTTTTTCACTCCAAGGCCCAGGCAATTTCTTGCCCTCGGTTGTAAGATCCAAGATGAGCTTGTTTCCCCTGGGCAGAACCCACAGATCTTCGTTTACAATGGTAGGTAGGGCACGAGGGCTTGGCAATTATGGCTATTTTTAGACTAGGAGCTCGGGGGTCTTGATATCCAGCTGCTTCGTGTGGAGCTTGGCCACACTTTCTGCCATTCTCTCATAAAGCTTCTCAGCCGACTTGGACATTTCTTCCAGCTTGGGTCGAAGCCTTAGCCACACTTAAGAACCCAAGCCCCCAATTAAGTAGCACATACTTCCACACAGTGGTAACTACAAATAAAACATGTAAGTCCAGGGTCTGATTGGCACGATCCTTCTTCTCATCAGGAACCCCAGACAGCTTATCCAGAAGGTTGGAGCACTTCTCCTGCATCCCTAGAAGCTCCTTCTGCTGGATGTCCAGCTTCTCCTCCTGGGCACAAAATCACAAAGTAGCATGCTCCATGGCTGATATTTTTAGAACCGGTCTTGACAAATATGCACATAGTGCAGGCAAAGCAAACACTCATAGAACTAGATTCCGAAGATTTACTAGTTTCTCAAGGAGAATTACCATATCCACCCTCCCAGGCCTCGGTTTTGACACCCTCCACATCAGCGGCGGTTCGGATGCCCATGGTTGAAGGCAAGCAAGCATTCTTATCCAAGCCACTAAGCATCATGGGGCCAGTGCCCTCAGCTTCAGCCGTTTCCTCGGCAGTCTGTGTCTGCCTCAAGCGCTTGAGACCTTTGACACGTGTGCGGCACCAATAGTACTTGATGTTCTTGTCAACCAGGTCGGTCCTAGGCAACATGCACATGAAGGGTGACTGTGCTTACCGTGGACAATGTACATGTTTCACTGCATACGGCTGTGTTTAACCATGGCACAAAACAAGATCTTCCCCGTTGGCAGGGTCGTTGCACCATGCCACCGTCGCATCGGCCCGAGCCCTCAGTTGAAGCAGTGTAAGAAAGAGAGAGAGAGAGAGAGAGAGAGAGAGAGAGACAGAGAGACAGAGAGACAGAGAGAGAGAGAGAGGGAGAGACCGTAAGAGTGAGTGAGGGACAGAGAGACAGAAACAGAGAGAGAGAGAGAGAGTGACACAGAGAGAGAGAGAGAGACACACACACACATAACCAAAGAAGTAAACAAAGTACTACATTATATACCTACATAAGTATCTCTATATGTATAAATATGTAAAGTTACATAGATGGGATGGAGGAACTTAACAACAAAGGTTCCTACATGTCATGACCCATTCGGTTTCCTTGCCTAGGTTGTTTGATTTTATTACAAAGACAGAACGAGCTAGATACACAGCGATACAGGAATGTGCAGAGAAAACGAGGCAGACAGTAACAGTCACCATAACATCATTAGATGCTCCGAGGGGCACTGATCATGGAACAGCATAGTGGGAGAGACAAAAAGGGTTTCAGAACTATGCAACCAACAACCATACCGAGGCCTAGGGTACCCTGGGTTTATTTAAGGGGTACAGGCATTGGGATTATGTGGATGCATATTTACAGCTTAGGACAACAGTCTGGTTTTGAAAGCGGAATCGTGAAAGGGGTTTGGTAGTGTAGCTTCCGGATGATTTGGGCAGATAGTGCCTGTCGGGCATATGCAGGGTTGGCATGTGTCTGTACAACTATTTAAACATTTATATGTTCCTCACACATGACATGCACACCTACATTTATATGTGTAAGTATACATATGTGCAGGTACATGTGTACATATATATATATATGTATTCCACTTATAGAGTGTAGCTAAGGTTTCCTATGGGCTTAGGCTAGGTTTTAAAACTACCCGGCTTGTGCACTCAAGATGCGAGGAATAGTTCAACAGCTTCTTCATTTCATCGGGGGTGTAATAGCCACCCTCCTCATCCAACTGGTTGGTCGACTCAGAGGTCTTCTTCAGCATGAAGCGCCGGACGAACTGGTCCTGCAACGATGATTTTAGGCATCCTAAGGTTGTAAAAACTATGCACTCAATTATGAAGTCTATGCAGGTATAGAGGACCCGAGACCAAGTAGTATCCTAGCCCCTGCACATAAATATAATGGCTTCTGGACCCTATCCTTGTCCCCACCAGCTTTGATAAATTGCTCGAACATCTGCTCTTTGGCCTTGCCCTTTTGAAGAAATACATCATGCATCTCTTTAGGAACATCCAGCCGCCCGGACATAGGTTTCGGTTGGCAGGCCCGCCCAAACTTCCCTCGCCAGCTGTTGTACTCTTGGATAGTCAGCACGAGGTCTCCCACTTTAGCAGTGTCACGTTTCAGACCCTGATTCGAAAGGCTCACAAACCCCCCAAACCCCCCAAACCCTGCTATTGAACCGACCCAGCATCAGTACAACTAGCTAACCACTATTATATGTATAGGAAATATATTAATTATCCGAAAACACCTTGCACCTTCTTGGCAGAATCGGAGTCTCCATCTTCGACATCAAGCACCTCCAAGGACTCAGTGAGCCCGTTCGGGGGGGAGGCTGTTTGGGATGACGTACTTGTTGTCGGTGTTGGGGTCCCAGATTGGCTTGCCAACCCAGGTTCCGTGGACTTCGAAGGTGGTGTCCGGAAAGAGTGTGTCTTCGATGGTGGCGTCTGGCACAAGTTACGTGTGTATTAGGTGGAAGGTAATTAGGGGCCAAGGTTTGTTGCTTCGGGAACTGGGCTTCTTTTAGGTGAAGTAAGAGCTTAGATGCAGGGTTTCGGGTGGGAGATCATACCTGGGATTCTTTGGATCTCATATGCCTGAAGAGCGGAAGTAGCCAAGGCAGCTGTGAGGTTCTTGACAGGGGTCAGAGGTGCGCGCTGTGTCTCCGCAAGCATCACCAACTGCTTGCCCAAATCCTCATCAGATAGCTCTGGGCCAGCCAAGGCCACATCAGCCTCACATCAGGTTTACATTGTACAAAAGTCAAGTCAGCCTAGGACAGTATATTGGTGTTTACATCGAAGATGACTTATGCAGCCAGGGCAGTCTTTAACATTAATGAACACACACTAATGAACACATTCATCCTGTTCCTTTTGTAAATTAAGGATCTAAGAAGACAGCTTAGACCTAAAGAGTACATATGGGCCCAGACATGCACACACATATGTATATGTGAACCACTAAGAACAATTAATAACATAGGCCTGTGCTCATATGTATACATGCAAACCAAGGTACCCAGATGCCTACTTTTATAGATATATGCCTCCACAAACACATGCACCTGGCTTATGTTCGTATGAATATAGATAGGTATGGACTTTGAAATATGAACATTTACAGTAGAAGACAGTATGATACATGCACATGCACCACTAAGATATGTGTATGCATGGATGAGCAGCCCATGCCAGACGCTGATGTAGCCTCTGTCCGAAGGCATGCCTGTATGTGTGCATGCAGACAAGGAGCCACAACAATGGAACAGAGACAGATACAGACGAGATGTCATACAACATATATAGTGAACACACACACACATACACTCTCAACTTTGTCTACATATTTGGTTTTGGACACATGTGTATGACTATACACATACACACCAAAACTTTGTTATATTGCAACCACAATCTGTGCATGGCACCTACGGAACAAAGCCATGTGAATAAAATCACAGACAGGGCATGGCCACCATCATTCAAGTAGCATCGGCTGCTGCAGGCATTTCATCATCACTCTCCACCACCATATATGCATCGGCCATAGCAACCGGGCTGTTCGGTTCCACCGGCTGGCACACCAGCTCCTCCTTGCACTCATTCTTCACCAGCTCCTTTTTGCAAGCCGGCTGGCTCTTGATGTCCTGGACAGAGTGGGGACATGCTCAGGCAATACATACAGAGATACATACAGAATGAGAGACAAAGCCGCAGATAGAAATATCGTACCTATATACATACATATGTAGACATACATACAGACATGCAGACAGACAGACATACATACACACGCAGACATATGTTGTCTGACATCCACACACACACATACGTGCATACATACATACATATACATACATACATAGACACGCACAGACGGGCCGGCCGGCAGGCAGGCAGACACACACCGACACAGAAAGAGAAGCATACATCTATACTAGTTCTATGCAGACATACCTACACATGTACACATATACCTACATTTTCATGGCTATACTCATGTGTATTTATATATATATATATATGTAGATGCTTATATATATATACACATATACATATATACATATATATATATATATACATATATATACATATTCATATATACATATGAACCTCTGTATGTATACACCTATCTATACATTATATATATATATATATATATATATAATCTATCTTCACAGATACATATATATGTATATAGAAAGACAAAATTATATAGATATGAGCACACACACACATATGGATATATACATATAGACATATATACATATACATATATATATATATACATATACATGCACACATGCACACATGCACTTACAACGACCAACAGACATACACACACCTAGATATCTAGGAACCTACCAACGTACCTACATAGCTACATAGCTACCTACATTTCCACATACATATACACATACTACATATATATATATATATAGACACATGTGCAGGCATATGCAACATGCATGCATATGTACCTACATATACATACATATACATACATACATACATACCTACATACATGCACATATACTTACACATGTACACACATACATGTGCATTTGTGTATATAAATATACATATATATATATATATATATACATGTGTTGGTATGTATAGAATGTGTGATCTAACAAAGTATGCCTGTGACAAACTTAGTACTTGGCCAAACTACTGAGCCCCGAAATCTATCCTGGATGAACTTCGCAAGCTGATCCGGATCGTCAGGTAGTGCAGCTAGCAAGTCTGATGCATCCATGCTACCTAGAGCTGAAGCTAGGGAGTCGCACGACCATTGCCGGGAAGTCAGGCGTGCCGGTCGTGCCGACATTGTAAGAACTCAGGAGGCTACAAACAACCCCCAGCAGACAAAAACTGTCTTGCACACAGCAGCCTGACAGGAGCCGGGAAGTCAGAAATGGTGCACTTCAGGCCATACACAATGTATGGTTTTTTCTGGGCGTTGTATGGTTTTTGGTTGGGCGTTGTGCGGGCAAATATGGGCGTGCAGAACTAAGCGTTTCTTTTTTTTGGGCGTTGCATGGGTGTTCTTGGGCGTTGCACGGGTGTTATTGGGCGTTGCATGGGTAAATATGGGCGTGTGTGGTTTGGGCTTTTAAGAAACCATAAAAACTGCGTAGTTTATGGTGTTGGAACAATCGAAACATCAGAAAACTATAAGATTTGTAGTTCAGGACGAGCCCCGTACCTTGAAATCTAAGCGGTTCCCTTTTAACTTCTCTTATGGACCCCACCCCTGCTAGCTTCGCTGGCTTCAGAACCCACGAGACTCCAAATGTAGGTGTTTCCCCTTGAACCTGCTCTGGAAACTGCGGGCCTTTGGGGCCAGTCCTGAGTTCAGAGGCCGGGGGGTGCCCAGTCCAAGGTCATCCTCGCTGCCTCTCTTCACCTCTCTTTGTCTTTCTTTTCTGTTTCTGTCTCTCTCTCTCTCTCTCTCTCTCTCTCTCTCTCTCTCAGACTCTGTCTCCCTCTCTTTGTGTCTTCTTTCTTTCTCCCTCTGTCTCTGTCTCTCTCTCTCTCTTTCTCTCTCTCTCGCCCTCTCCCTCCCTCCCTCCTTCCCTCGCTTTCTCTCGCTCTCTCTCTGTCTGTCTCTCTCTCTTTCTCTCTCTCTCTCTCTCTCTCTCTCTCTCTCTCTCTCTCTCTCTCTCTCTCTCTCTCTCTCTCTCTCTATATATCTATGTATACATATATGTATATAATCTACAGCTTTGTAGTCTATTATATATATATATATATATATATATTTATATTTATTTATATATATATATATGTGTATGAGAAAGCGATTTGTTCACAGGGCTTCTCTAGTATAGCTATCTATAGCTAGATGTAGGGTTCAGTCTGGGAACACCAAGAGGTTCATTCCTAAGGCCAGCCAAGAAACCCACAAACATGCTCATTTTTTATTCAGCAGGTGCTACCTAGCATACAGGGTTCCACCTACTTCAGAAGATTGCCCTCGTAGAGCTCAGAGTTCTCTGGGTAGCAGCGGTGCCCACTGGCTTGGGATCTTCAAGGTCTTGGCACCATAGAGGTACTGGATAAACTCCGTCATATTAGCCATTGGCCACAGATCATCCCAGGCCCAATCATTCCAGATGTCCATAGCATCACGGCGTTGTAGTTCATCATCTTCACTCATCTTGGGTGTGAACTCCATCAAGCTATAGAGCTCTTTCGCAATCTTTTGCCCAAAGGCTGCTGTGTACTGCCTTACATGCAAACATAGATTTTAGCGCAAACTCCATGCAAAGACCCAAAGCAACCCAGTATGGCATATACCAGTAAAACTAAGACTTGAAGTCTCAGGATAGGACCCAGTAGTCCGGAGGTCGAACGTGCCCTTGAAGCGGTTCCTGCCTTCCTTGTCGATCCATCGTTTGACAGGAGGCCCCCGATGATGGGGGTTGCGCCGGCTCTGCTCAGCAAGCACCTCGGCACGCTTTAGTTTTGCTGTCCAGAACTTTGTAATAGCACGGCTTGATGACCACAAAATTGTCGGCTTCGGGGTTCGAGACTCATAGTGCCACATCCAGAACCGGCATTTGAATACCTGGGTCAGGGGTGAAGGTTGTTTCTGGATTCACTATGTAGATGGCATTCAAAGCTGGGGCTCGTGCTTGCATTTGGGCACATACATACTGGAAGGGCGCTGTCTCAAACAGCAATGAAGACTTTGGCTGTTCCACCACCCATGTCCCCATAAAGGCGGATGTTGCCAGGAGCAATAGGGCCACCCTCAGGGAGTTTCTCGACTACATGTATTCAAGCAAGCAGCCTAAGCAATCAAGATCTATATAGAAGTTAAGCCCCAAAATTTCTAAGTATACCAAAACTCCTTTCCCAACATATATAGGACCTTTCCGGAGCCTGAACCCATACCGGCCTGGCTGCCATCACGTTTGAATTTTGAACAGCAGGGAT